CAGATGTTTAATCAGCTGGAGTAGAGTTAAAGCGGTCAGATATATCAGACATTTTATTTATTTATTCATTTTTTCTATTGTAAACTCCTGGTCAAAGGTGATCACAGGACAGTTTGTAATAGATGCCCACAGCTAGAATGGTAAGGGTGTCTTGGAAACATCTGCCAGCATAAGTGTATTTATGTTCCTCAACATTTTTGTTGTGATTTAGTATTTCCCATTACCGAGGAAATTGTTAAGGAGAGGTATTCCTCTCTCATCAGATTATTGTTTGAAAGATTAACAGACTTGTTTTCACTGATCTAAGAGGCAGGGCAGTAAAACAGCAGGGATATGTCTAAAGATACGACTAAATCCTACACTGGAGGAGAAATACCAAGAGGATGCTGCTAAATGTCGATTTCGAAACTTCATTCACTATTAACACACTGTATATACAAGGAAAACTGACAGTAAATTAAGAGGCCAGGTGTCGAAGACGCAGCTGTACACACACACACACACACACACACACAGACACTCCTCCTGTAACAGTCTCATGATCAGCCCTCACACATGCATCTCTGAGACTCAGCTGGCTCTCTGTCCTGAGACGTGACAGGTAGGGACCCTCAGGGTCAGCTGGGGCCTCCCTGTGAAATGTTGCAGCAACTTGCAGCAGCCTCCAATATAGGGCAATTTCCTAAAACACTCTTTCAGCGTAGCATTGTGGCTGCCATGTAGGTTCAAGGTGCTCATTAAGCTCTAATGGTGTGTGGTAAAGGATTTAATGATTGTTGAATTACATCGCTTGTGTTTACTGGAACAGCATTGCTCCCATTTTGAACAGAACGCATAAAGTATTCGGCGCACCCTCTCCACTCAGCAGCATTCATCAAGATCATGTAATATTAGCTTTGGTCTAACCAGTCGTCAAGAGGACAAATGCACACTCCCTGTTACTGTCCTGACAAGGTTAAAGTTTTCGATTTTGATGTTTACAATCTACGTTTTCACTCCTATGTGGCTGTAAACACAACACTGATTTACCATCACCCTTTAAGCTCAAATGGCTTATATGTTAGCAAAGAGTTGTTTATTTACACAAAGGTTTGGTGCATGGAAATCAGTCCAACAGGACAAATTCATCAGGTTAAAGGTAAGGTCAAGGCTGAAACTACAGTCATACACTGACTCGCTAAGAAACCTCCACACAGGAACAAAAGGCTGCACCGCCGTCACAGGAGGAACAAGACGAACTGGCACAAAGGGGAAAGGAACACTGAAATTAAATACACAATGAGACAATGACACACAGGTGCAACACATTAGGGCACGGTCAGGTAATCACACAACAGGGAAGCACAGGAGGGTAGGAAGTGAAGGGACGGTGAGTATCAAAATAAAACAGGAAACACAAATACTGGAGACATTAGGGAAGAAGACAGAAAAGACTTAGCTAGACTGACAGGGTGTGACAGAGCATCATTAGCATTTTCTTTTTAAGTTTTAAAGTTTGAATGTAAGTCCAATATTCACTCTGCTTTTAGCTCCGTTTTGCTCTCCACTTACTGCTGAGAAACATGTCTGACTCTTTAGCTGCTAAATTCTCCACTGTGGCATTCAACAGCTGACTTTGTTTATCTGCTGGTTGGTAGCATAACCTCTGTTTTTTCCAGCTGTCTCCTGCTGCTGTGAACAGTAATAAACCAAAACACTGAAGTTGTGGGTCAGAAAACCAAAACATTGAGCTAAAAGACACTAAAACTCTTCATAGAGTCGAGGGAAACCACAGGGTGCGGTGAGAAGTTGAACTTTACCATGAGACTGTAAAACTGACCTCGGATCAAGTCTTCCACTTCCACCCCAGGCTGCTTTGAATGCTCTGAATACTTGAGAGGATTAGTTTGTTTGCTTCTGTGAACATGTATCAGCCAGGTGTAATGTCAAGAGCGACCTCTCAGGATCCTGCTTTAACCTTCCACAACAGTTTACAGCCAGTTCACATTCACCTGGTTTTTCCTCTCACCAACAAACAGCTCTATTGAACCCAATAAAACCTTCTTCCTTCATCTTTGTGTTAAAAGCACATGCTCAAAGGAAAAAGTGGATATTTGTGAATGTGTGTACTTTTAATAGATATTTTTGGAGAGAAACACAGTTTGGTTTCATTTCGATGACTTTATTTTTATACTCCAGAATAAAAACAAGAAATACAAAATAATACAAATATCAGGAGGAAAAAAAACGATGAAAGTAGCAGCAGCACAGTGGTTGAATGTTGCTCTGTTCTCAGGCTCTCATCACACTTGTCACTTCACTTTTAAAGTAAAATTAATTATTCAACTTTCATGTTTTTTGTGTCACGCCACTTACAAAACTGGTTAAACTGCATCTGAAGCACTAAACTGAAAGTATGCTATAGGAGCCAACACTACAGACCTCTCCAGCATGTTTTATTCTTTTAGATAAACGTATAGAAGTAGACATGGTTCACATACTCCTCCTCAGCACACGCAGCAAAGCAGCAACCAGGCCTGCAAAAAAATGCCAACACTGTCAAAGCATTTCAGAGGTTTTTGGCATTTCACATCCGTTCCTACAAACCTCGCCTACAAGTGGGAACAGAAGTGGGATGAAGGAATTTTCAACTGCGCAAAAGGATGCAAATGGATGCTGCAGTACCTGAGCATCAGCACTTTTCTACCTGGAGCACTAGGAGTGTGAGAAGAGCAGGTGAAAGCAGAGTAAGGCCGAAAGAAGGATAGAGAAGCTGTTTACTGTTTCTTTCTTACTGATGCCTCCTCTCTCTCTCTCTCTCTACTTAGATTAAAAAATAAATAAATTTGGATGTTCTTTTTTCCTGATGCTGTACAGGCTACTAACAGAGGTGCAAAGGCAACATAGTTAATATCACAGCGACACCCGTATAGGCACAAAAAGCAGATTATCATTATCCTGTGAAACACCTCAACATTTACCAGATGGATCGGCACAAAGTTTGGTACAGACACTCATGTTCCCCTCAGGATGAATTTCTATCACCAGGTCATATTTTTCATTTTCTCTTTGGTTTATGACCAAAAATCTGCCATCAACCTCAGCTGTACTTTCTTTGCTGTGCTAAATTAGCAAAAGTTAGCATGCTAATATGCTAAACCAAGATGGCGAACATGGCGAACGTCATACGTGCTAAACACGAACAGGTTAGCATTGGCAGTGTGTGAGCATGTTAGCATCCTGACACTAGCATTTAGCTCCTGAGCAGTGCCCTTGCCTGTGCCTAAGTACGGCGTCATAGAGCTGCTAACACGACGAGAAAAGATTTTACTTTTTAGTCAGAACTAAAACTAAATACAAGCGCAAGTGTCTGACTGAGCAGCTTTGTATCAGATCGCATCAGTATCCATTATTCTCACGTCACATCAGTTCATTCAAGCATCCAGAACAAAAGTGGAAAATAAACCTGACACAGGTGTATTCCCTTTCACTGCAGTAGTCACTCTGATGGCCAGCAGGTGTGGTGAGAAAAGAGCTGACGGGTGATTGGCAGAAGTCCAGTTGGGAAGGTTGTGACAAGGTGGCATTGTTATTGTAATACTAGTTAATGATTTAATGCTGTGTATTATTTTTGGCAACGCTTAAGAGGAAATTGCATTAACAGGAAACAGTAATATTTCCACGCAGCTTTTGACATCAGCTCAGTATTTAAGACTTGATAAGGCTGTTCTGATATGAAAATACTGCTGTTTAGTGTAAACCTAGTTCACTTTGTTGTTTTTTAGAAAGCATATTTTGTACACATGGCTATCGTGAGCAAGGTGAGTCTCGTCTGTCTTTCATTCTGCCTATCCTATTACATTACATGCAGGATTTTCAGAATAAAATGTATACAGAAGTACAAATTATTATCAAGTGTCAAGGTTGAGGTGTATTTAGTGTATCAGTCTTTAATAATTCCCTTTATCAAATCAACTCCATCTCTAAAGGAGTTGGTGATAAGGAGAATTTAGCAGCTCTCAGAACATTGAGAAGTTAACTTTTAAAAGCTGCAAGATGTCTATGATATTTGGTACATTTGGTGTAGTTTTCTACTTATTTCATCAGACTTACTGCACACAATAGTGCTTATCAAATAGAGTTTGTTTTTTTTTTTACACACAGAGGCTGTGAAATCAACATCTAGTTAACAATTGACTCTCATGTCCTCAATCGTGATCATCATTCTGGCCACTTGGGGGCAGTGCAACAAGCTGTAAACAAAACTTTAACATGCAGAATGTGTATTCAGTTTGTGAAGCTGTCCTGACTTAAACTTCAGCAGAAACAAGGAGCTGTGTTTCTGCACACCAGACAAATGTAATTTCATAATTCAGTCTTCTTTTTAGTGGTGCATCTGTCTGTTTAGATGCCAAATGCCTCTCTATGTTCACTAGCTAGTAGCTACATTTGTCACTAAGTTGTTTGGTGCTGGTCAGGTGGGGTACAGTGGGTTTATTGTAGCTCTTTTAAAGTGTAACTTTCATAGAAAACAGGCCTCTTATATGGATTAACAATCTGGTTGATTTGCAGCTTTCTATTGAGAATCCATCCTACCAGGCTCCAAGGTATTCGCACGTGGCCGAATCTCAGTGGTTCGGACCAATCAGCTTCCTTGAGGGAGGAGCTACTTGCAGCTAAGGAGAGGCGACTGTTTTGGTGTTGTGACTCTAAAAATTTAGAGCTGGACAGAAGGTGAAAGTTGGGACAAACTTTCTGAGCAATGTTTAATCTCCATCGTAGAAAGAAGCCGAGAGTTTGTTCGTTTAGATTAAATTTAGGATTTAAGATTCTATTCTATTATATTCATTTAAAAAAATCTTTATTATTAATTTCTTTTTATTATTTATTTGGTCTATGCTTTATTGTCAGAGTACACGGAGACATTACAGTATGTAACAACAGGGAAAATTAGAAAATTAAGAAATTAAGGGGAACAGATGAGATAAAAAATAAATGACAAACACAAAACCAAACAAGGATGGAAAAAAAACTCAAGATTTATTTGTAAAGCACTTCCACAAAATGCCCTGTAAACAAATTAGAGGGACTAAACAATAAACAACAAAGTTTCCTAAAAATAAATAAATAAACTTTCTACAATCCTATTCAGGTTAGTTTCCCCATCGGCTTTGCGCTGGAGTGTTAGAAAGGTTCTACCTCTAAAACATACACATTAACCCCTCCTGCATCCTGTCTCCATGGCAACAACTCTACCGCCTCCATACAGAGGTCACACTGTCTCTACGGAAACAACGCCGCCACAGTCATGTACTTTGGGTCTGTTGCAGGAGGAGGGTAGACGTTAATAATACAGCACTAACGTTTTCTTGTTTTCGTAGCTGTCACTGTGTGTGTGGAGAAACAAAACAAAAACAAAAACATGAGGATGAAAAATAAAAACTAGCGGTTCATATTGTGATCTGAAAAATGTGCTGCTTCTGCACCTCAAGAAAAAAAAAAACAAATCTCCTCAGTCCCGTTTCCCCTCGAGCATTTCTCCCCATAGACTGAGGCATGTGGTTGTCTCTCTGCTTATTTGATCCTCTCTTACCTTCCACCCACATTAAGTACCCCTCCCAAAAAACACACACACACACACACACTAAAATATAAGAAATTGTAACAGAGAATATAGCAGAAAAAAAGTGTTGAACAGTGAAATGTTTACATGTAAATGTCACAACTGCCTGTTAGTTCAGAGGAAGTTTGAGTTCATCAGTGTGTGTCCAAGAAGATAACACAAGTCCCAACTACTCCCGACCCATCCACCCACCTCAACAAGCACACACACACACACACACACACTCATATATCCACACACACACGACAGACATCCACAACACTAAAAAAAAAAAAGAAAAAAGAAGAGCGTCAAGTCCTAACCCGACGCCATGTGTGTTACAGTTACATGGCTTTATTACAGGATGTCGTCTGAAACACGGTGTGATGGAGTTTTAATGGTACGCTGGTAGCTGGGCTCAATACGCCGAAATATTGATCCCAAAAGTGAGAGTGAGATCACTGACCCAAAAAACAGTCGGCAGCAGGAAAACAGCACAACTCTGACCCACTTTTCAGTGATGGTCGCAAAACAACTTTCCCACACAGGTACGTGCACCTCTGTCAATCTGAACACGTGACGATCTGAGAATGAAGTCAAAAAGCAATTGAACTCCCAATACCCAGAAATCCTTTTGAGGTGACATCAGTAGGTTGCACATGGCGTGCTCATGTTAACCACCACGACAACTCTGTAAGGCTTTTTAGAGATAAATATGTAATGCACGTAGGCTCTGAACAAAAATAAACTTATCGGAAAACTTCTACTTTTAGAAACAGTTCCTTTAAAGAAAGACGTAGAGTTCAAAGGTTTTCATGACATCCAGACAAGTGAGCTTCAATGGGTAATCCAGTGATTTAGTAATCGCATAAATTGGTGGATTTGTAACAGATTAAAAAAATAAAGTAAAGGAATGGTCAAAACGGAAGCAGCACAGGCTGAGAAATAGTGACTTTTAGCCTGTTGTATCAGTCACCCTGCGATCGAAAATCACTGGATTCCTACGCTTCTCATCGTCGTGTCTTCTCTTTAGAGCGCTCCTACTTGGTAAAAGCCCACAGCCAGTTTCTAACTCAAACTTTCTGTCTGTTAGAAATTTGAAGTCCAGGCTGAGATAACCCCTGGTGACATCACTATGACATCATGGCTGTTTTTCCCAGACTTGACAAAGGTCCTCTGTAGCCACAGAAGAACATTGCGATTGATGTCACAGGCCGAGTGCTGCTGGAGAAAACTGAACTTCATCCCCACGCGGGAGCCGACCATCTGGCCGCAGCGAGCCTTTATCAACAGTGTGGTTACCACGAAGAGCAAAATAAAACAGAAACATCTCTTAACACACCAGGATCTTCATTTAGCTTCACTCACTTCCTATAGCAGCTAAGACAACTAAAAAAAAAAAAAAAAAAACACAAAAACAAACACAAAAACGACAGAGAAAGAGCAGGGCTGAAACTCACACACTGAAGGGTCATGGACTTAACAGTGACTGATAAGCCACACCAAGACGCTAGATCAGTCTGGACTCTAGGACGGTGAGCAACGACACAGACAACACAAAACTTTTAACTAAAAGTGCCAGAGATTTGTAACAACCGCAGAACATAAACATTTTCTGAGGAAAAGCTTCGTGGATATCTGAGAACACTGATCTTGCTAAGCAACGACTTGAAAGCAAAACTTATTTCCAGATTAAAAACGGATGCTTTCAGGATTTTTTTTTTTTTTTTTTTAAAAGCTCCTTGTTGCTCATTTCAGACTTGCGAGAGCTCTCTTTACAGCTGTTTGCAGGTGGACGCCATCAGCGGCCACACCTGCCGTCATAGCCAACAGTTCTTCATCTGCCACATAAGGCACAACTTGCTAAATGCAACAGGTTTCTCATGAAGGAGGATATTTTAGAGGAACTTATTCACAGAGAAATGACAAGTCATTGAAATTTATCGTAAAAAAAAAAAGAAAAGAAAAGAAAGGACAACATCAATGCATAACAGCCTATGAAGGACAGTTAGTGACTAAAAATAGGCCATTCTAAACATAACACCCCAAAAATGTCAGCAACGTAACAAAAGAAAAGTAGTTTCAAAGACACGGTAACTTCAAACACCTGCGCATGTCTGTCTTCTTCATCGGTGCCTTATCAGCACCCTGCAGACGGGGTGGGTGAGAGAGAGAGAGAGAGAGAGAGAGAGAGGGAGAGAGAGAGAGACTGGGTTGAAAGGGTTCACTAGAGGTCAAGCTTCATCAGCTGTGATGTCAGAGATCGGTGGAATCCAATTGGCCACTGGCTGAAATTAGAGGCGAGGCCGTTTAGGACTCCTGGGGGACCACCTCCATCACCTTCTGACACATGGCTGTGGTCGAAACTGCAAAAAACACACACACACACAGACGAGCAACAGTTATCCACAACGTCCAGTGAAGTAACACTCCCAGAGACTCAGACATGAGAAGAGACGAGTTGCTGTGCTCACAGATGCCATGCAGCAGCCACTTGGGCTTGGTCTTCCACCACACGCCCAGTAAGTAGACAGGCACTCCGGTACCGATGATGCCGAAGCCGATGGCGCACTCCTTCGGGGTCTTCCAGAAGGAGACGACGATGAGGAAGAGGCAGGCCAGCACGAAGCTCACCGGCAGCAGAATATTCACCTGCAGGAGAAAGACAGGAGAGTTTTTTCCAAGCTTTGTCTGAGGTGCAAAGAGACTTTCAAAAACCCTGGACAAGAGGATTGATACCACTGACTTTTCACAATGTGTTGTTTTTAAACTGGCAATAAATCATCTGCACATTTATTTTTCTCACTAAATAAATTCGCCTCATTACTGAAAGATGTACTAAAGGTGTGTGTCTTTGTTGTTTGATCCCACATGGATCCTGCAGAGACTCGCCCCTACTCTGCCACTGATTGGCTCTGACCCTGATATTATTCTTCGCTGAACGTGGGTGTCGAAAAAAAAATGAGGCATGTCCCTGCAAGTGCAACTCAGACACTCAGGTCCGAGACAGAGAAGAAGATGAAGTGACTCCAGTGGCCCTCAGTTGGTAAAAGTAAAGAGTAAAGTTTGACTTTAGCTGCTAAAAGCTCCTTTTCGTTCACCAGCAAGACGACACCTTCGTCCGTCTGCTCTTTGGCTTTGGTTGAGACTTGACCCCTTCGCTCCAGTGAAGGTGAATCTTAAAGGGATAGTTCAGGTTTTATTTTGACGTGGGGTCGTTGGTACATTACCTGCATCGTTATACAGTGCGCTCCGTAGGTACGCTTGCGTGTAGGAATACGGAAGTTCAGCGGTTGAAAGAAATGTAGTGCCAAAGGAAAGTGCTGTTTTCATGGGAGGATAAACTTGGATCGTTTCAGTGGGCGTTTTTAAAAGTGTTTAAAACATGTTTTTTCTCGTCGCCCCGTGCACAGCAACACATCGGGTGAACTGGAACGCCAACATTATCAGCGAAACATCGTTAGTTAACCTCACTAACGCTCTAGTGGCTGAACGACAGCAAATCTCTCCAGGTTCAGGAGATACGCAGATTCAGAATGAGACGTTCAACAATCCCTTCAGTAACTGTCAAGGCATCCACATACTTTCGGCCATGTGGACTCGATGTGAACTAGTTTAACAACCAGGTTAATGATGTGCAGTTTTTCTCTTAACTAAAGACGTTCATTAGTAAAAACTTAATTGAGTGATTCTCTGGCAGCTTTGCTCTAAATCTGTTGAACAGCAGGAATGTGACAGACAAAGAAAGGAGAAAGAAACAGAGTGGGAGAGTGACAGAGCGAGATGGAGGTCAGCAGTGAGACAGTGCCACCACTGTCCCACCGCTCACTCACTCACTCACTCACACAGCACAGGGCCAGTGGATCTATCTGCCTATCTCACTTCACTGCCCTGACAGACTCTGCCTCTGTCAAACACACACACACACACACACACACACACACACACACACACACACACACACACGGCCATGCCAGCAAGCGGATGAGTAGAGTCAGGGCGGCCATCCGGCTCTAATAAGAGATACACATACTCAACATCACACGTGAAAACTTGCACACACGCACATGCAAATAAAATGCAACAATGGCACAATGGTCCTCTGTATGTCTGGGAGTCCTGCAGCAACTGGTTCTAGTCAGAAGATGCAGCTCTCTTCCTCTCGTGCGCACGCACACACACACACACACACACACACACCACTACCCAGTAGGCCTCAACACCAGCTGACAAGCATCCAGCTTCTCTTCTGTCTTTTAATCTGCCATCAGCCTCTATTCATCCGATCTCCACTGAATGAGTCTTTGTTGTAGGCATGAGACAAAGAGGAAACATTTCCTGCTGCCAAAGCTAACTTGAGTCGGAGTCAATGGTGACAAAGACCGGAGGGAAACTTTAATGTCCGCTGACTTGTCTGCGTATGTCTGTGCGCATCCCCCTGCGATCGACGTTTTTCAACTGATAAATCTGGGTATTTTTTCAGCGGAAAGTCTTACCCACTACCGTTTGCTTCTTGTATTCTGATTGGCTGGCTGCGTTAAGTCACCACCTCACCTTGATGGGTCGCTCCAACTCGGGCTTCTTATAACGCAGGTACATCATCCCAACTATTGCCATGGCGATGCAGAGCCAGTTGAAGAAACTGAAGAAGTTTATGACGGAGAAGATGTCGTTGGAGAAGGCGTAGAGCAGCGTCATCAAACACTGGAGAGAGCCAGATAGAAGCAGTTAGAAAGCAATTACCTTTATTTAACTTACATAAATCCCTCCCCGTATAACTACATCCTGAATTTAATCTCTGATATCTTATTTATCTTGGGTGGCATTGCTTTCTTTGTTCTGACACGGTGCTATCAAGTTCTTATATTAAAACAGCAACCACACACCACACAAGTTTTCAAAGTAGCTGTAAAGGTTGTGATGAAGTCGTTACTGTGTGTGGGAGAGGGCAGCAGAACAGTGTAGGTTCTGGTTTGTTTCCAGTCAAATGTTTCTAATCCGACAGCATCGTTATCCTAATACTTCATTACCACTGTACATCAGTGAAGCGACAGCCCCCTGATTTAAAGACTCGGATTCGTAGTGTAAGATCCCTGTGATCTAGTGTACAGTCATTGGACAGTAAGAGTACATACGGTGAATATAAGTGAGGGAAGTGGCGTCAGCAGAGTGGGGTGGATCATTGACAGCAGACTGGGCAGGTGACCCTCCCGGGAACCCACAAAGAATAACCTGAGAGGGAAGGAAAAGACACGGGTGAGCGCGAATAGATACATCATTTCAAGTGTGTCCGAGTATGTTTTTCATGTGCTGTGGTTCGTGCTGTACATGTTACCTGGAGGATGTGAACAGAGAGCCGTTGACTGATCCAAAGCAAGACAGACCCACAAACACCGGGATGATCCAGGCCATTGGACCCAGGTGGCAGTTTCCAAAATCCTGCAGGACGCCACATAAACAGGACAGATGTGATAATGAGTCAACTATGTCGGGAATGGAGGCCCAGTCACGTCACCGCACACCAAAACTGTCCCTCGTAGGGACTCTTGGTGACGCGGTGAGTACTTGCAGGGTTAGTTGGTCAGTTGTACATCATCTTATTCAATAAAGAATTTATTGAAGAGAGGAAAAATAAAAAGAAGCTCTCTGAGATCACTAGCAGTCAGTTAGCAAGCTTGTTAGCCTGGTCACAGACAAGACAATAAGTTCACACAGTTTATTAGAAAGATCTATTTTTATCTATTCCTTGACTGCAAACCATTCATTCCCCCTTTGTGGAGCAGTGTGCACTTCATCAAAGAACGGTTACACAGAAGTGGATTGTATAATAAGCTTCCTTCTTTCAGGACTCTATCATCCTTCTGAACAGAGGATTTCCAGAGGGATGATTTAGGCGATTGATCAATGAAGTACCAGAAACACATTTATGATTTTACTGCATTTGGTAACCTTCATACATAGAAAACAGCTCAAGCACTCACCACAGCCACAGCCTCGGAGTTGAGCATCTGCTCTGGTGTGAGTGTGGTGAAATATGCCAGGTTGGTCAGAACGTAAACCACTGTCACTATGGGCAGAGAGATGATGATGGCTCGGGGAAGGTTTCTGAGGAAGACATAAAAAAAGTCTGGAGTTATAAACTAGATTACAACTACATCAGTCACTCCTCTGCAAACAAAACTGTATTTCAAATGACGTTTGATGGCGTGTAAGTCAGTCAAGCGTACTCACTTGTAAGGCTCAATCATCTCCTCAGTCACAAAATTCAAGTAGTTCCTGGAAGCGGGAAGGTCGACAATCAGACACAGTCCAGTTATATAGTAAAACAGATGTATTGTCTACTGTACAACTCCTCTGTACAAGTGTAAAAATACATGTCAATAATGGTATGAGTGGTATCACTGATACGTAGACTGTGTCAAACCCTTCATTCAAATGATCTCTCAGAACAAGTGGAAGAGTGGAGGAGCTGAGAGTTGTTTATTTTTAGTTTTTTTACTTAATTCTTAAGATTTCTACTTAATTTAGGCCAAGAAATGAATTCCTCTTATGTTTAGAGTGAAAAGAAAAGACTTGATCGATCCCCAGAGAGTAAATTCACCCCAAACCTCCAGAGCTGCCAAAAACTGCAGTTCCTCAAATCTCCATAGACTCCCATGTTAAAATGCCCAACTTTACAGCAGAAATAAACATGTTTACAGCCTGGTACAAAAAATGGTTTTGGTCTCTATGACAACTGTACAGGAGCTGAATTGTTTATATAACTCGTCGATTTAAGGCTTAAATTTCTGCAAAATTGAGGGCGTGCCGCTTTGAGTGACAGGTAGTTGCCACAAACCGTCAGGCACCAAAGTCTCGGCTCCACACGCCCAATCATTTAGGGATTAGCCAGGAGTTTGGCAAACTCGGGCACCGCCAAGATGGCGACGGCAGACCAGCCCACTCTGAGCTTCAAAACCACTCTTCAGAAACCTATGGGTGACGTCACAGAGGCTACGTCCATCTTTATTTACAGTCTGACCGCTAGGCTGGGTGATAATTTGGCAAAGCAGTGGAATTTTATAACGATAATGAGAAGATATCATTTACTAATTTACAAATTGTTGTTGGCCTAACTATAACGATCCGTGTCTATTTCCATCCTTCCTCCATGAGGGGTCAGAATGAGGCGAGTCAGCAGGATTAACATTTTAATTTGTTTGATCCTAAATGGGAAATCGGATATTGAACGGGCAGCGCGGTGATCACACAAGCACGTTGGTGTGTTAACTCACCAACCACCATAGGCAAACAGGCCGCTGTACAGCGCCAGGCCGATGTTTCCAAACTCATATTTGGACCCCGTGAAGGAATTCTCTGGAAGAAGTCCGTCTGTGTCACCTGGAGAGGACGAGGAGAGAACAGGGACAGGGGTTAAGACTGCATTATTGCTCAGCAGGCAAGTTTACCGTCCTCTCTGGAACAATAAAATGAAACAATGATCTGTATTTACACAACACACACTAACATATGCCGAAAAGTCTTTGGATATTCAGTTTAAATCTGTCTCAGTATGTGGATCAGCGGAGGACTGTAGAATCCATTGGAGTTAAGACAGGCTGAGACGGTCAATAAGTGACCCAGACTGTGGCGTGAGTGTGGATCAACATGAGGCACGGACGGATCATAGGCACAAATAGAGAGAGTGGGGGGGGTGGGGGGTGAGGGAAGGTAAGGGAATTACTATTTTACTTGGCCATTCTGAAGATTTACAACATTTTTGCTCACGGCCCCTCATGTCTGACCTCCAGGTTTCTCCTGATTTGTGCCACATTCCTGATGGACCTGCTCCCAACATGCACACACATTCTCAGACACGGCGACGGTTGCTAAACCAACAGCCCCGGGGCAGTGTTGGTACTGGGAGGGTTAGCCCCTAAGCCACCGCGCAGTGTGGGAAAGGCTATCTGTCTTGTCTGTCCTGTCTCACGTCACGCTCTACCCAGAATCAGAGAGACACATGTGCGACCACAGAGTCCTGAGACCCACCTGCCCCACCTGGACCGCACTGCTCTACGTGCCAGCCTGACAGGGGAGCTCTGCTGGGGGGGGGGGGGGGCTATAACACAGGTTCCTTACGGTCGTTTCAACTTGTTCCTCCCAGTGGTGGAAAGTAAGTACATTCTCTCAAGTACAACTTTGAGGTACATTCTACTTAACAGACTTTATACTTCAACTCCACAAGTTTACAAGGAAATATTTACAGAACGATGTACAGAAATGCGTTGTGTTCAAAGTGCCGTACGCATAAGGTTGAACTCAGAAGGTATAGAGAAAGATTTGGCATCCAGCCACAGGCTGCAATCAAAACATTTTTTTCCAGAAGTCCTGCGCCCAAACAGGTATGACATGTCTGGAAAGATATTTCACATTACAGAGATTTTAAACTCTGCTGTACACTGACCTGTCAGGTGTTGTGCAACTCAGATCTGTGTCTGTATCAACGACAATGATTCAAACATTGAATGCTTTCCCATATGCTTACAGTCACTGAACCAAGTTTGGAGGCCACACATACACTAAGAAATCATGTGACGTCATTCGCCACAGGCTTTGTTTGCATATTTCTTTACACAAAGATACACACTGCTACTGCTCAGGGTCGTGTGCCTCCAAACCCTCAGCTCACCTCACATCCTCCGTGAGGCTTTAACGGCTGATTTGTTCCAAACCAAAAGTCTGAATCATTCCTGACTCCTGCTCTTATCCTTCCTTCTTCATCCCCGTTCTGCTCAGCTGTTATTTTGTGGGATGAGGACTCTGTTAAAAAGGTTGTAGAAAAACACAAACATATTCATCTTCAACCCTCGTGTGTTGCTGTGTCTCAGTTTTGTTCTTTTTATTTCATTATTATTCCTTCTTCTGTTCCTCCCACCACGCTGGTCAGGAAACCCTCCGAGCAGTGATCAGCTGGTCACATGATACTAGTGCCAGGCAGTGAAAGTACAGAGACACACACACACACAGACTGAGATATGTATACACACTGCAGAACAAACACACTCAAGGTGCACACACACCAACAAAGGCTGAATGAAAGTCAACCTGAGCTACTACCTCTAGTTCCTGAGTTTAAAACCAGGCCTGGTTTAATAATAAAGACTAGAGGGATTCACTGTCACCTCACTGGCTCAGAACAATACCTGCGTACTCTAACCGTACACCTGAAAGAAACTGTTCAGTACACTGGCAAATACTAGAGCTGGGAGAAAGGACGGACACCATCGGGGCCACAGCTGGGGTGACAATTAGCTTAGCATAAAACCTAGAAGCGGGGTGGGGGGGGGGGGGGTGTAAAAACTGGGGAAAGACACCTGTTTCTACATTTCTGTTTGTGTACAAATTGAACAAACAAGATGTATTGTGTTAATGAGAAAGGCGGGGGCTGTGTTTTCGAACTTTGGACAGAGAAAGGCTTTAGCTGGTTCCCCCTGCCTCCAGTCTTTATGCTAAGCTCAGCTAATCTCCTCCTGGCTCCAGCTTCATAACCATCACACAGACGTTGGACTGGTGTCAATCCTCTCATCTCACTCTCTGACAGAAAGTATCTGTACTTTCCAAAATGTTGAACTTTTCCTTCAAAACAATGACTAAAAACTTTTTATTTCTGTAGATCTCACAATGACATTCAGTCACTTTCGTGTTCAGGTGTGCAGGTGGCAGTGATTGAGTTTCTTTAAGGAGACAGTGGATCAAGTAAAAGGAGAATGAAGTGAGTCCATGTTTGTTGAAAAACAGGAATGGAGGTGGGGGGGGGGTACTATTCACTAAGTAGAATATTTACATTGCCTGATTCAGTCCTACCACTGTGCAAACACACACCTTTTATTCACAAACACCTCAGAGAGCGCCGTGACGGTGTGAACAGTGTGTGAACCAGCAGCAGAAAATCATTTCAAAGATGTCAGTACTGTTGTGTTAGTGTAAATGGGCATCAGTTAATGTTTTAAAAAAAAACTATGTTAATGTCACATAGAGAATAAGAAGCTGTGAAGGAAATCCCTGCATGACAGATGGAGTATGACAAAATGAAACTCAAGTGAATCAGAGGTGAGTTTTGGCCGCCGTTTACCAGGAAGCGATCATCCTCTGTGATAGTTTCGCTTCCAAACTGTGTGGGCAGGTGTCAGATTGAGAAAGCTTGGGTTTATTTGAGCTAATCAGATTACAACGGCATCTAATCTGAGACACCAGATGACTCCGACCTCATGAGCCACAAAGCTCCGCCGCAGGGTGAATTCGGTGTATGTAAGACACCAGCTGAGAGCACAGGTGTGTGTGTGTCAGAGATGTAGATATACTAGCAGAGTATTCACCAACTTTTCCAGTCAGGAATAAACCTCTCCAAATGATTATTTAGTTCAGAAAATTAGCCAGAAATGACTAATAAACAATCTATATCTTATCTTTTTTAATTTTCTTTTTGATCAGGTGGCTGGTTAAACAGTGAATGTAAATTCTAGCATCTATAAATCACTCAATAACCACTCTGCCAGAGACGACTGCATCACCTGGTGCGGTCGCAGAGGAGCAGCCTGCCAGGTGAGTTTGTTGATGTTATCATAGCCACACACCCAGGCTTTGTCTAAGTCTATATAATCTACAGTGTCTCAGATAAACAGTTGTTATAAGCACTATGATGAAAGCAGACTGGTGTTAAAGATTTAAGAATGGCATCAGACTCAATGCACTTACCAAAGGACTAAGAATTACAAATGAGTAGAATTACTCTACATGCTCCAGCTACACACCTAAACAGGTATTAGACAAGCCGCTTGCGTTCAACTCATGTAGATTAAGATCAGTTCAAGAATGAAAGCCAGAGAGTGACGAGCTGGACCAGTTTTTTTACTTGAGATCCAACTGATCCACTAGAGTTGAGACAAAAGTACATAATAAAAAAAAATATATATATAATATATATAAATATATATATAAGAAAAAGGACAGACGTTTTGAAAATCAATAATTTATCCCTTAAGTTCTTTTTCTTTATTGTGAAAGTGGCCAAAATTAAAGGAACAGAAAAGCACAGAGGGTCAACTCTACAGTCACTGACATGCTGCGTATTAGCCAGTGAGACTGACTGATAATTAGTTAAGATTGAATCCAAACTTCATCAATACTAATCCTTTGTTACTGTTCCATTATTCAGTTATTAATTCATTATTAATACTGTGAAAGTATCAAAGCGCTCAGTCCACAGAGAAATGCACACAGCCTGTATTCAGAAACTGAGCCTTAAAACGAGCCGTCAGGACTTCTGTAACTTTGTGATGTCACAACAAAACAGTAATCGCTCTCAGCCATGCCCCAAGCCCCGCCCAACTGCACACGCCATCCAACCTTGCAGGATTTGGTTTCTCTGAGTGTTTTTACCTGAAATCTGCTATATCTTTATTAGATCACTCAGAAAAAAAGTCAGCCAATCAGAGGAGAGACTCGGAGCCTCCTCTCTTTTGATTGGCTCATTGACCTGTTGTTGCCAGAGCTCCAGAGAGAAGCCTGAGAGAGGAGATGTAAAACTACAGACAGACAGACAGACAGACAGACAGACAGACAGACAGACAGACAGACACTTTATTTATCCCCTCGGGGAAATTCACGTAATAAGAATTATGGATCAACGCTTCAAATAAAACACAGCAACAGTGTAAAATATGGGGACTTAAATGATGTTCAGAGTTTACTATATGTAGCATTATTGTTAATATAAGGCTATACTATAAACCAAGTCAAAGATAAACATACAGTTTAATGTCCAGCTCTCCATTTAAACCCTGACTAAAAGCATGTTTTACACTGCTGAATAACAGAATGTCTAACTGCTTACAGCTTGCTTACACTTATTATATTCTTACGTCAACACGCCCGTCACCGGCTTCTAGAGGCCTTTCTGTTTAATGTCATGGTCACTTTGTTTCTCTTTCCTTAAAGTCCCCTGCCTCTTCATCTGTCTGCCAGTCTGACGTCAGTGGAAAAAAACTGACCCAAACTCCAGACAAACAAGTACAACTGACTGACTTGTCTGAAAAGAGAGGACCTGCTGAAATGTCCTGACACACTCAGTCTTACAGAAACTACTGCATTAGTCGGCCTCTATCAGAAACTGCATGTAAATCTGTGCGTGTGTGTGTGTATGTGTGTGTTATTCAGGCATTTCTTTTTAAATTTCATTGTAGATTTGACAGGAGAACATACAGTATGTTACAACAGACACAGCTGAAGCATATAGTTTTATTTGTACTCTGACCTCTTGTGCAAGCTCCAGTGCAAAACGAGTTCCCCATGAAGTACCACACATCTCTTTTCCCTCTGCCCGGCTCCTCTCTTCCCTGCCCACCGTCTCTCACTCCAACCTCACTGACACGCTCCTCCCTTTGCTACATGTCTTTCTGCTCAGAACAATCCCGGTCAGTGTTGACGTCCTGTTTGCTGACACCTGTGACCTCCGACCTCCACACATACAGGCAGTCTACTAAACGTGTGATGAAGGACTGAAGTTGGATTTGGATTACCTTTTATTGAGACATCTCAAGCTCCAGTGGCTGCAGGTATAAAATCTGTCAGCCCTGTCATGTTGGAGAAATAACAGCCCTAAAAAGGTTCCAGTTTGGTTCTGATTTAGTGACATAAACTTGATATAAAGAGGATACCTTCACATTTAATACAGCAGCAGCAGCAGCAAGGTAACAGTTCAGCCTACAGCCCTCTATTTTAACAATATATCAGCAGTTTTCGGGGAAGCCTTTTAACACTGCATGAGATGAATGACTGAGTTCAGAGAAATGACTGCCTTCTGAGTGAACATGCAGTATTTAATTAGTAAATGTGCAGCGTAATGTTAACTGTTAAGGGACAAGAAGGCCAGCTCTTTTCAGTAAAACAGATTAAACTGGAAATATACTTGATCGTATTGTCTTTTTTTCTGAAAAATGCTACCTCTAAATTGTATTTAACACCTCAGTATTTTGAAGTTTTTATATATATATATATATATATATTTAAATTTAGACAATTTTGTAGAGTGCTTCAGATGCTTTAAGCTCCTATAGTTACCATCAAGACTGTAGGTTTGTTGTTGCAGTTGGAGTTAAACTGAAACTGTGACTGAAACTGCCACATTTCAAAGTTTGGTTTCAGCTCGCCTAAGGTCACTGTCAGGTGTGAGGTCAAAGGGTCAGAGGTCATGGGTGAGCAGACAGAGGTGGCACATAGCTGGAGAAAACAGGTCACTGGTGTGGTCAGTTTAAAGTCCACTGTAAACTCTGGAGGCTTCTCGCTTTAAATGACAAATCACTTTGCAGCTGAGTAAAAATCTGAATAAACGGATCCTGCTGTCAGCTTCGTGCTGCTGCTCCACAAAAAACTGTTTTCCTTGTGATTACATTCAATCTGCAAGACTCGGCCTGTGACTGACTCATTCACATTCAGCACACACACTTGTTGACTTCCCTAGTTTTAGTGGGTTTCCCCTTGAATTTTTTTTTTTTACCATCAGAGCACAGATTCACTACGATCAAACGCAGATCTAATATACCCCTCTGTTTGCCCCTGTCCCTCTCTCTCTGAGGAGTACGGCAGTCGACAGCTTCTCTGCAGACAGGAAGAGACGCAGCCATAGGAGCACAGCAGGGCTTGGCGACAAACGCACACAGGCAGCAGGGGGGAATATAAGCCTACAGTTACCTGGTTAGAGGAGTTTTTCTTAATCATCGGAAGGGAGGCGGAAAAGTATTATGCTACCTTCGATATTTAGGACTGTAAATCACAGTAGTCTCTTTTCTGTGGCATGAACCCCAAAAGTCTTGGTTTAAGACGGCCTTCCTCTAGGGGGCAGAGTCTGATTCGCTGAGCTCACTTCCTGTCTGTATCAGACATGTTGATACACCTTCCTCAGTAAAGTCTGAAGTTGGACATGAGTTCTTGTTTGTTCTGCTCCTTTGTGCGGCTCAAACCTTCTTGCAGCTAATGAGCAAATTTCCAAATGAAAAGGAGCTGTGTTCTACTTAAGAGTCATTGTCTGGTATCTCTGTGCCCTCTCGTTTCTGGCTATACTTCACAACATCCTGTGACCTTAATGAGGGTTCGGCCCGACTCCAGGAAGCTGAACACCAGCTCCTCTGCCTCCACAGATTCACTACTCACATGCAACAAAGACGCCAGGCTGCGCTGAGATTAGCTTTGGCCAGAATGGGATTTCAATACCAGAATTTGATCAGTGGAGCTTAGAATAACTAAATAAAAAAGTTTATGGGTCTATGGATTACACACAAAATCTGCTCAATTAAAAACTAATTTGTCTTTGATTTCAGAACTATTTTAATTTGAGAACTGTGATTTTTCATACTGACTTTAGAGAAATTGTGTTTTGCATATGAAATGAGTTGAATTATCTTCACAGGGACAAACACGAACCAAATAAAATCTTTCTGTAAGTGAGAAAATTAAATAATGTAGTTTGAGGGCTCACCATCAGGGAGTGCAGTTGATGAGTACACATCAGGGGGGGTGCTTTTGCCACTTTAGTCAAATAAACCACTTCCTGTTTCAAGTCATGTGATACAAACTGCACCATTACAGATGCTGTACTGAATCTGTTGGGTGTGTGCTACTGTATGTTCATGGGAGTTTTGTAAACAGCTGCATGTTTGTTGCAAGGTTTTCCTCGGCTTTTGTGTGTATTTTAAGCCAACTGTTACTTTACTGGCATCTGCATAAACAAACAACAAACAATTTGCAGGGAGGATTACATTTTACGGGTGTGTCCTTCACAACTCACTTTTATCCCTCGTGTCCCACAGTGTGAATGCAAATATGGGCAATATATATAATACATTCAACAAATGGTTTGGTTAATTACAGATAGTTTGAAATGATTAATTTGGAGAACCTGATAAATTTATATCATCACAATGAAATTATGTTGGTAAGAAGTTTTAATTTTTCTTGTGTCTGTCATTCAGTTCATTCACGATGTTAAGTTTACGATGTAAAGCACCTGCACTAACAGTAACCTTGTGAATGTGTGTGTGTGTGTGTGTGTGTGTGTGTGTGTGTGTGTTGTGTATGTAGAGGTGCTTGCATAGCATACCTTGGCCAATCTTGACAAAGCCAATAATGATGATGAGTCCGAGCGCTAGAAGTTTGGCTGCAGCAAAGAAGTCCTGCACTCTGGTGGCTGCCTTCACACTGTAGCAGTTCACAAAGGTCAACAAGACTGCAGAGAAAAAACAGACAGGGAGTAAGAGACAAAGGCTTTAACTTATTAAACAACTCTGAGGTGCAACTTCCCTGGTTTCTTCACTTCAACCACATGAAAGGTCTCCTCATACACTGACTTACGGCACGCTTGCATCATCGCAGCGCGTCTTCAATCGCTCTGCATGATACTGTGCAACAGAGGAATTCATACTGGGCACATGAAGAACTTACTTTTCCTTCAAAGTGTTTTTGACATTTTATATATGGAACATAACTTCACACATTTTTAAATAGCTTTTTAACTGGTTGTGTGCGTACGTGTGTTTATTTGTGGCTCTCGCAGCACGATGGAAGCTGGAGAAGAATTCCCCGGGAATAAAATCCTTTCCTGCATACCCCTCTGTCTTCAACACACACATGTACAATGCTGGTACCCAGCCCCCTCCTCCACCATACACAGAAATCACACACATACTCAAAGTTGTTTAAGCGGTCCCTAACCCTGGACCCCATTAAAAGTGATTAACTAAAGCAGCAGGTCCCTTCAAAGCTCCTAAATCAGGTCGGGGCCACAACAGAAGGACGAGACAGAGCACAATGAGGCTCTGTGTTAAAGGGACCAAGACAAAGCCAGAGAGAGAGAGAGAGAGAGAGAGAGAGAGAGAGAGAGAGAGAGAGAGAGAGAGAGAGAGAGAGCCCGAGTGCCCAAGTACAGTAGAGGGCAGAACACACACACACACACACACACACACACACACACACACAGGCATCCAAACTCACACAGGCATGCACACACAACTGGCTAGTACTTAGGGGTATTCATGTATGTGCATGTGTGCACAAACTTTAAGCATGTGTGCAAGTGAACACATACAGAAACACACTGGTCTCAGTTACATAAAGTCCCAAAGAAATGGGTCAAATGGAACAATGACTCCCACCAAAATAGACCTATGGAGGTATGGATGTGTGTGTGTGTGTGTGTGTGTGTGTGTGTGTGTGTGTGTGTGTGTGTGTGTGTGTGTGTGTGTGTGTGTGTGCATGTGTGTAGAGAGATTTGGCTCTTAGCCCCACAGTGACCCTGACCACCCCACACCATAGGCACTCACACACACACACACACACACACACACACACACACACACACACACGCACGCACGCACACAGATAACTGATCCTCTTGGTCCATGGCCTTGTCATGTGCTCTCAGTCAGGCTTTAGCCTTCAGTCAATCTGAAGATTAGGTACTACGGTTACCAGCCGGTACCACACACACATGCACATATTCATCATACTCATATATAGTCATACACAGTGTCATGTGTATTAAAGTATTCAGATACACATGGAGAGTGAGATGGGGTTTGGTTACTCATTGCATGTGGCAGTCAAAGACAACAACCAGAGACTGGTGCTAATAGACTCAAGCAGCTAATAATCCAGACTTAATTTGTTAAGACTCTGTACAAAACAAGGCAGGAAACAAGCCTGTGAAACGCTAATAAGGTTTACCTATATTTTAGTCTATACAATAGCTTTACAGTTGAGGTTTAAATGACTGCTTTGAACGAAATTAAACATTTTTGTCTTTTTGTCATTTTATTGTATTCTTTAAGTATCTAATTAAAGCATATCCACAAATTCTGAACACAGAAAATACGATGTAATAATTGAGTAGCCTACAATATGTAGTCGCAGGTAATGGGAGGTCCCCTGATGATAATTGAACACGAATGAATCATGGGATATTATAGCTTTCTTAATTGAATTAGAAGATTTTATTTTAGATTTAACTTCCTTATATTTAATGGGATTTTTTTTTATAGTTTTCATTATATTTAGATACATTTAATTTTATATTTACATTGCATTCATATTTACACACTATGACCTTGTTAAACCTAGAAAGTGTGCAAATAATACTGTATTAGCCTTACTGACGTTTTTTCGCAGTTTTTAAATTAATTAATTATTACAAAGACGAAATATTAAAATTATATATATTCATTAAACATTAAATTAAATGTGAGTAAATGAAGTGCATACTAGCAAGATGCATACCAGCATCCTACATCCTCTCCGGAGCTGATGTAATAACGCAGCGTTTTTCACCAGTATTTGAGGCTCGCGCGCTGATGCTTGATGTGCGCGTGTACGCCTCAGTAGCTTCACACGTGGTCCACAAGATAAAGATCTCAGGATACTTGTGTCAACTGTATGTATATGGGATGATTTTCTCATGTCTGCGCCCCTTCAGACACACAGGTGTGTTCATTCTGACAGACTAACACAAACAGGAAGTAACCCCATAGTCCACCTGCATGACACACTACAACAACACAACATAGCAACGCCTTAAGTTGCATCATCCAGGTTCGGATACTCACGGATGCAGAGGCAGGCCACCAGCTTGGCCCCAGTCTCCGGCACCGGGCACTCGGGGAAAATGGGCTTGAGGAGGTAGGTGGCAAAAACGTAGGCGACGATGTACTGCGAGGACGGTCGGATGATGAGCAGCTCGATCCAGAGTTTGAGGAAAGCCGGTAGGGAGCCGTACACCTCCAGGATGTAGGCATAGTCCCCGCCGGACTTGGTGATGGTGGTCCCCAACTCCGCGTAGCAGAGGGCTCCCACCGTGGAGAAGATCCCGCACACCGACCACACTATCAGTGACAGACCCACCGAGCCGGTCTCCCTCACCACGCCGGTCGGTGTGACGAAGATGCCCGAGCCTATGATGGTGCCTACGATGATGGCCACGCCGTTCAACAGGGTGATGGTCCTCTTCAGGGCGACCCCGTCCTCCGCTCCCTCTCCTCCGGTGCCGTTGGGGCCCTTGGCGTTGCTTCCCAATGTTCCACCCTGGTTGGGGTCCCCCTTCTCCCCGCCGCTTCCCGGGGACAGCATCCTCTGTGTGACCTGCTTGTCCTCCTCCCTATCCGCGAAGGAATTTGAATTTCTCTTCTTAAGCCCCGACATCGTTGGCTAAGTTCCCCCTTTCTTCTTCCTCACTCTGGGGGGGGGGACGGGGACGGGGACACAAAGCTTCCCGCTTTGCTTACTCTCTCCCTCTCTATGTCTGTTCTTCCTCTCTCCGTCGCCCCGGTGTGTAGTCTGATGCCGGCCGGGCTCAACCACGAGGAGTCCGCGGTGTGTCTGTTGGTGTGAGTCAGAGCAACGTGCTTTCTCGTATCTCTGCTCTGACAGCGTACAAAGGAACTATGAAAGCTGGCATGACTACCCCTCTCCGTCAAGGCCAGCCCCTGTTTGTAGTTTGGCGTCTCCTCACTAGTACCTAAGCTACATCTCTTTTGCCCTTTCCCGCCCTCCAGCGGTGGAGAGCGGTACTACGCCACACCCTCGTGCCACACTTCCTTTAGTTTTGGGGCACCACATACCCAAAGGTTGGGCGTAAGATGACTCGGGAGTAGATTCTGGTGAAAGAGAGTGAAGATTACTATTACTACTATTACTTATCCAATACAAGTGACAGCTGTTCAGTCATATTTTTATTTTTACTTGGGTTAAAGTACAGGAGTACTAAAAGACTAAGATTTTTTTTTTTCGTCAACACATTATTGTATTGATCCGCAGTTTATTTACAGAATCTAATGACTGGAATAACTGACCGAATGCACTGACATTGTTGAACCTGTTGAATAAAAAGCTTGTAAGACAGATAGATAGATACTTAATTTATCCCCTAGGAGAAATTCATGTGTCCATTAGCTCATTATTGATAATGATAATAATAATAATAATAATAATAATAATAATAATAATAACAGTTAATAATAAATAAACAATAATTAGATTAGTCCACTTCCTTTGGCTGAAGTGTTGTATGGTCTATATGCTACAAAGCTGATAGAAATGGCCATAAAAACAATTGAATCAATAAAACCACAGCCAACTAGAAGCTGTATATCTGGGAAAAAAATAATACTCAAGTAAAGTACAGATACTTGAAAAATATACTTAAGTATGGTACTCAAGGCACCACATATCCAAAGGTTTGGCGTTAGATGGCTCAGGAGTAGATTCTGGTGAAATTTTCCCCAACCTTAACCTGAACCTAACCTTATTCCCTAACCAGTCGTGTGTTATGATGCTTAACCTTACCTCAGCCTTACCTCTACTCCAAAGTCTTGGAATCTCCTGTTTGAGACAGGTATTCTCTACATGGCATCACCGCTGCTTAAAAGGAAGTAGCCTACCAGAAATTCAACACTAAATTCAACACAATTTGAAATCAATCCTTTTTTTTTTGTCAGCCAACAACCCAAACCAACTGGACAGGTTTAATGATGTTTTAAGCTCAGGGAAGGACTCTGAAAATAGCCTGAAGCAAGTTGACACCACCATGGATGTGGATCCAGAACATCTTGAATCATTCTGGCTCTGGCTCATCCTCTTTAAAGCACTATTTGTTCACATTACTTTTGGGAGCTGTCATCACAGAGACCTGTTTGTGTTGACTGTTCTTGGACAAAATTCAAGTTTTAGTTATGTTGTAACTGGCCTGTCATTTAGTGTGTTTAAGACATGGGAGCAAATCAGACCAGCTGCAAAATAAAATCACATTCGGTGTGTTCACATGTTCAAAGCGGCAAATATATAGACCTAGACAAAGCACCACGTTTGACTTTGATCTGCATTTTCAGACTGGTCAGCTGAACTTTTTCAAATATCCCCAAAACTCATACAAAAAGACGCCCTGCTGTTGCCTTCAGTTGGATTTGAATTTGGTTCTATTGTTTCTATTGATTTCCATCTAACATCATTCATCAAACAGATACCGTAACACAGTTGTGAACTGCAACTACTTCCAAATTTGTGTTTGTAATCAGTTCACAAACACCAAACTGCATACATACAGTTCCCAAACCTGTCCTATGGTGGCCCCTAAGGACAAAACTCACTGGTCTGGAGCATGATTCTGCAGTCACTGGGTGAGAGGTTCCCCAGACAGACAACCACACCTTGGCAATTTAGAGTCACCACACTGTTGTATGAGTTCTGTCCTTCGGGGCCCGAGAGACCACACCCCTGTTGTATAATTATATTGCACCTTTCATCCCCACCAGGAATCATAGTTGTGTAAAAAAGCTTTTTCATTATTGATAAATTCATTATTTTCTTGATGATTTTTCATTCTTAAGCAATCAGCTGCAAGACTCTCGTGTTCTTGTTGATGTTTTAATGTCCAACAAAGACATTGTTTTCTTTATACAAAGATACAAAGGAGTGTGGGAAGACGCCACAGGCTGGCATTTACACCTGTCTAGAATCTCAGGTGATCGTGTTTGAGAAAGAAGTGCTATTTAAAGAAATAGGAGTCAAGTGGAGAAGCAGCTAGCTGTAGAGTTTGTTTATGACGGTTAGATTCAAACCCAAAATATTGCTGGAAAATGCTGCTTAACCAAATACCCCAGATTTTTGGAAAGACAACAGAGAGGGAGGCAAAGTATATAGGGGAAGGTTTTGGCTGTGTGGTTGGAGCGCGGCCCGCCTCGAGTGCAAGAGTCAAAAAATTTGAGAGAAGGAGCTGTTGGATCGGACTCGCATGGAAACATCAGGAGACTAGATTCAGTGTTCTGGTTGAGTTTTAAAAGTTCACTGGGAGAAGATCCAGGGCAGACAACACAAACGCTGCAATCTGACTCTGACTGCAGCTGACCGTCCATCTCCAACCCAGTTCCACCAACAGTTAACAGCAGCTTTCCAACTGATGTATCCTGCCTGTCTCAGAGCGTGGGGGATTTTATATAAACAAGAATAGTCAGTCCACCCTGTAGAGGTGGACTTTGAAAGCCCCCCCCCCCCGTGAGACAAACACACACAGCCATAGACAGACAATTTCCTGTGCTCAGATAAGGTGGACGTCGTCAACCAAATCCAGCCTAAAGGTGCGTTGTGATATTGTTTCTGTACGTCTGCACAAAGCCTGAAGATTTCAAGACCTCGGTCTCGCGTCGCGCCACAGATCGAGGGACGTAAATGCACCTTAATCCATGTGCGTCTTCCCTGGCTCATCTAATTGTGTCTGTCTGTCTTTGTAAACCTGTAGAGCGGCTCCCACAGGCCCCCGAGAGACATGGGAACAAATGAAGGCACATTTTTTTTTAATCACTGCGGGGAGGCTGATATCCTGGTCGCCGTCCACATCCTCACTTTTTTCAGCAATTCAAATGAAGACACATGAACGATGGGGTAAAAATGAAAAGTCAGGTCAATCTGATTATCCTGCCAAGAGGCTGACTTCAAAATGCTGATTTATAAATGCAGATCACACACTTAGATGTTTGCTAGTTATATATTCTGACATTTTTTGTTCTTTTTTTTACATGGTTGAAAAATTAAAACCAAAAGTTAGATTTACGTTGGAGACGTCATGGGAGCTAAAAAGGGTCTCTGTCAGGTCACCTGTCAGTTAAAACACATGAGCCAAAGTCCTGGTTCATGGTAAACTGTTGCACTGTCTTATCTAATTTATTTAGTTGTTTTTCAGTCTTTCATAAAGTGAAATGAAAAGCTGAGTTTGGGAGACAGCGCTTCTATGCTACATCATTATAGATTTAAAAATAATTCAGATGTTTTGAATAATTCATAGACTTTAATTAGGATGTGACGGCAGCTAAACACTGAACTAAAGTGAGAATAATCGAAGAGAAATGGATATTGCATTTGGCCATGTTGCAATTTCGATAATATTTTGATTAATTGTTCAGCACTACTTTTAAAACTTTTGTTAGGCCACATTTCCTCCATTAAACACCCCTTACTTGCATTGAAAAAACAATAATTAATGTCTGTAAAATAGACACTTGGCTACGTTTTTGCTGATATTTTGTTTGTCTTGATGACACATTAATCCAATTTCTTTGTAAGATTGAACAGCTTTTAGACAGATTATGATCAACTTCAGGGAACTATTCAAATCTTCAAACAAAGCCTCCATTTTATAGGCTGAGATTCACATAGCAGCAAGTGTATTTGTGTGCAAGCATGTGCATGTAAAAGCTCTACGCCTGCCAACATCACCATTAACTTCCTGGTATGTTTGGTATTGTTACAAAAACAAATCAGACTTCTGACGATCAGTAGCCGTGATGATGCAGCACATGGAGGAATACTGGCACTACTGTAGGTGAAACTTGAGACGCACAGTGTTGTTTTATGATGCAAGAAGGACATTTCTTCTTCAGGATTTAGTATTTGTTTTGGTGTCTAATCGTCAGAGGGTTATCACTCCATTTTCAGCAGAGTAGCACCCACAATCTGTTGCGTGTCATAAATAATCCAGCAGGTTTCCCACAAAGTCTGACGCACTGTTAATTGCAGTTGGTCTGACTCTGACTCTGTTCTCAATACCGGTTTCCTAGACTCATTATTTATTCATGCAAAAATTCTTCGCATGGCACCAATGATTGACTCAATTTAGCGCTGACCACACATTTCATCAATGAAAACTTTCATTCTTCCTGATCATCTGATTCACCCACTCTGATGGAATGAAAGGAGGAGCGTGGAGGTATGAGAGGGGGACGCTGCACTGATGGGAACGCGTTCACAAACGCTGTGCTGTGGGTGTGGGAGAGGTCGTGCTTCCTGCTTCTCCCCCAGGGAATCTGCATGTGGGCTAACCACTGAAATCACCAAATATACAAACATATAAACACCCAACATTGTCCACAAAATAGCTGGCCATGAATCAAGGTGCTTGAGGAACGCACGGATCCTTGTTGGTGATGTTTCTGGAAAGTTTCAGCGATGCATTGCTAGAAACAGAGTCTGTTTTGTTTTCATGAAAGAATCCTCTTGTTCATATTCTCGGTGATCATGGAGTTGCTGAGAATACTGCTTTTGCTTTGTTCAACTGGTTTTACATGTATTTTCTTTGGAGTAAATACTTTAAAACAACATTTCATATCAAAAAATGGATTATATTACCATGTGTAATGTGAAAGGAGTTCCTCATAGTGAGAAACCCACAGGGAATTATCACCCAGCCCTGCAGTTGCCCTCAGCTCTACGGAGCGTTTTAGCAGCTTTTTAAGCTAACTGTTTTGTTTTTGCGAACCACAAATTTACCGGTCAGTCTCAGCGTTTGTTTTTCAGACGCAGAAGGCAGCTGTTTTCGGTGGAAAGCCCTGAAGAGTCCACTGGATGCTATCTGCCCAAACGACAGACAAAGTTAGCATATGTGTTCCTCAGGAGTTAGACCAAGACGGGGCTCAAAGGAGGGTAATTGTTGGACTTAAAAAATACCAGTATTTGATCACTAGTACTGCCATGAAGCAATTTTTGTGTGGAATCCAATTTGGTTGTTCTAATGCACATATGTGAGCATGCGGATGATGTTATGCACATTCCTACCAATGGTTTCACACGATCCCACTGATCTACAGATGCAGCAATGCAACAACAAAAGCAGGCAAGAAGAAAACTGCTGACAAGTAAACACTGTTAAACAATGCAGGTTTTAAACTTGTTAGACTTAATGCCAAAAAGGCAAAAGACAGAAACTTTGTTTACAATTTTTTTTAAAAATCCACAGGGCACATCTTATTCAACATGTGGATAAACACACGACTCTAAATGTCGGGTGTGTGGCCTAAATAAGCAACTGTTTGTTAACACGTTAGCTGTAAGGTGATAATATGTCAGTGTTGTGTCTGAATCTGCCCTCTAGTGGTCGAAGGTCCTAGTGCTACCTTACAGTGGGTGTGACGTAGAAACAGTTGAGGCTCAATATATTTGATTTTAAGATGAAACTAAACTCTAGACTAAAATTTAGATTCTCATCGATCAGTAGTCTTCCCTATTTGTTTGTTTTTTGTATCTTTTTTTTTAAGTATTGAGAGATCAACTCTATCAATCCTTTACTGAACTCTTTTGCATTGACAAGTAATAAAATTTGTAGCCCTCTAATATAATTTTTCTAGAAACTGAAGTTCCCAAATGAGTGAATTGCATCTTTGTGTCAGTTCTTTACTATTTCTTCAGGGGTTAGTCGTACAACCGTTCAGCCTGTATGACTGTGTGCAATGACACGAGCTGCTCTCACAAACCAGTTTAGACTGCATTCAAATAAAAACAGGAATCCCATTGATGAAAGTCCTTTGTCTGAAATATCTGAAGCACCAAACAAACACATCAGAGGAGGCTGAGGAGCACAGAGATGAGTAAAAGAGGAGGAAGATGATGAGGAAGAGCAGCTGGCTAGGAGTTCAGAGGGAGAAGGGCCTCTCATTGTATGTTCCTGTTTATATCTCTGCCTGCGTGGAGAACTGGAGGGGTTTGCAGATTGTTGATCTACGACGATTCCCCTCACACAGAGAACAGGAGGACGGCAGGAAGACGAGGTCTCTAATCGGAACCTGCTTTCTTCAACTTCTTTTCATCTCTGATTCATTGAAGGCCAGTGAACACGGTCACAATGGTGCCATTGAATATCAGAGCTACACATCTTTGTCAATGGACATAAAATTGTAAGAGATTTCTTACACATGAAAGATTGAAGGGTCAGTTTCATCAGGTCAGTTTACCAATATTTTGGTATATGACCAAATACCTGCAATACTGAGTGGTAAAAAAAAAAAACCAAAAAAACAACCCTTAATATTTACATCTTGAGTAAGAAGCAATTGTCTTGGGACTGAATGTCCCCAGACAGTTTAGACAAGTCAGAAAACTATTAAGAGGACTACACCCATCTTTGAACTCAGCCTCAAATACACACCTCTAAAGTTTTGTGACTGTATCTTATCTTCCATTGTGATGCTTTCACGTTGACAAGCAGACATTTACATACCTGCCACCTCTGTGGTAGTTCCCGCTACAGTAAGGTTCTATACATTTTTGCCACGATGAGAGAGAGAGAGACGAACACACACACACACACACACACACACACACACACACACACACACACACACAGTGAAAACAATGCTGGCCTCATTGTCGCAGCTGGTGAAAATAGACTGTTCTATGTGCTTGCAGAATCCCACTTCATTCAGTGGTTGTAAGATGTTTTTCATTGACCTACTACAAAGACATACACACACACACACACAGAGAGAACAGTTAAAAGCTTTGGGGTCTCCAGTCAGTCTGTCCACTCTCATACAATCGGGGGAAGCCCAGTAGAGACTAACCGGTGTGTCGCTGTAAATCCAGGCCCCTCTCCCCTGCAGCCAAGCACAATAAACACTCTGAGAGGTTCGCTTCAGTCTCATTTCTTTGGTTTGAATCAGGTGGAGACCCAAATCACACCCAGCCATGGTAACAGTGTATAAAAGAGTGTTTAAACAACCCACCCCCAGGACCCCAGGCATTTGGGTGGGGGCCACCAAATATCCCACATCTGTCAGGGGGACTTCAAAGGTATCAGTGGGGTTAGGGTGGGGGATTGAGACAGATTGAGGCAGTTAGCAGAGGTTTGTATTTTGCAACATGTTCCTGCACTGGTTCAGGCTTAGAGAGGAATTGGGTCAGCTGGGTCTGCTTGAAGAACAATGGGGATGTAGAACCTTTTCTAGAAAGGCCGAGATGGTTTGTAAGCAGGAGCTTGGTGAAAACTCTTGAGTTTGATGTTCACTTTTGATTTACGGTGCCCAGTAAAAGGATTCATTCCCCTTGGAAGTTTTCATTTGTACAGTCAACAAAGTAGATTCATAATGTCACTGTATTTAATGTCGAAGTGAAGACAGATCTCTAAGTGATATAAATTAATGGGTCATAAAATTAAATAGCATTACACCACTTCATCTAAAAAACAAACAAAAAACAAACAAAAAAAAGATCCTTTTTACATCACACATTACTTTATTAATTTATTTAAACTATACATCTATTAATGTCAGCTTCTTTAAAATCATCTTTACATCTGTATCATGTGACACTGTTGGGTGGTTTTCTACACCCCCCCCCCCCCCCCGAGGGTCTCTGGGAGAAAAACACTTCCTGGTAGCACAGCTGGACAGGAGTCCATAAGGAGCCATCCAGGTGGAGCAAGGCATGCTGGGAGGGGAGAGGGGCCTAGTAGAGCCCCACAGGGCAGGAATGTTGGCTGCCCACTGTACAAATAAACAGCTAAAATATGTACTAAATACAGTGTACAGCATACATAACAAACACCTGCTAAAACATCGCACTGAGCTACAGAAGGCATGGAAAGATGTAAGAGTGTAAAACATCATGAAGGAAACGGCATGGCAGCATTCTGTAATGTGTTTATGATTCGAAAGGCAGACAGTGATAAAAGGCAGACGAAAATGTAAAACAGAAAGATTTTAAACTCCTGAAGATGTAACTGTTATAATGGATTATTTACCATCCATGAACAAATCTCCATAAAATGATTTCTGACGTCATGTCACTGACTCCAGCTTCGAGAGAAAAGGCCATTTAGACAAACATTTTACACAGACTGGACATTTGCATTGCAATATATTGACATTAATTGCATTCAAAGTTGAAGAAAAAAAAAAAAAATGAAAACATGATGGCAGGTCATGGTGCATGATTCAAGCACATTAATAAAACACAGCTGTACAAGAGAACTGCAGTACTGGGTCCCTTATCTCCATGTTAGTGTAATGCATTGGACGTGGATTGTGTGTGTTGTAACATCTGTAAAGAGAAAGTGAGACTGATACACATCAAAATCAAATCCCACACCAGGAGTCTTTTCTGCATTTCTGAAAGTCTTCTCAAACTGCCCCCCCCCCTTGTGGCCCCCTCTGTATTTATGTAATGAGTCCACAGCATTCACAATGAATTAACGTCCCTCAGTGCACATCACATAGCATCAGATCTTTTCAATACATATCCAGTCAGTCTATTCAGTGCAGCTTCATGCCTGGCCTCAAGTGGGGAATCGATGGAAGACCTACTGGGGTGACGGAGCAGGGGGGGTGGGGGGGGGTGGGTGCCTGATGTGAGCGTCCGTAAAGGGGAGGGGGAAGTGGGGTAGCTATTTCAAAAGACGTGGAGGGGCCGGTTTGGACAGTTGCATTGTTACAGCGGGATTGTAAAGACAACTGTGACCTCCCGCCCCTGCCTCAACGCAACTGTGCACTAATGGAGGAAACCTTCACTCTTGAATAGTGTTAAATGTGGCCAGATTTGAAATGGTTTTCTGGTTTGTAGTGCAATGTTTCAGATGTGAGGTGAAACTAAACGGGTTCTTTCATATTATGTGTGTGCTCCTCTCCTCCTTCTCTTCTCCTGTCTTTCTATCTGGCTGCCTCTCCCTCCTCTCTCTTTATAATAGTGCTGCATAGTAAGATGCACAGAGAGCACCTCTACTGTTGAAGGAGAGCAAGAGCAGGCGAACTGTCAGACTTCTTTATCTGATGCAGGGTTGCATAAGCTTGCTCTTTATTATACTCATCTGCGCTGTGTCTTCTCTGTTGTCACAACAAAGTCTGGATTAAGTTAAAAATCATACACTGAGGAGCATTCGGTTTCCATAGTTTAGAGCTTTTAAAGTTTAAGTAGCTCAAATAGTTGTTGTTGTTGTTGTTGTTGTAGACAGTTGGTCCCACTGTGTCACCTTTCTATCCCTCAGGAAGTCTCCCCAGTGTCTGCCACAGTTATTCGTGGTAGTACCTTTTGTGTTTATGACTAAAATTTTAAAAACATAAAAGCAGCTTAGACGAGTTAAGAGATTCTACAACTCTTTAACCCAACACAGTAAAACTGAATTTGTCCTATTGTGTTACTTTAATAAATCTTAGTCTTCCGCCTCAAATAAAAATAAACACAAGGGACGAAAGAAAAACAACAAAACCAGAGGGACTCATGAAGACAGCAGTTCCCTCCCAATAACAAAACCTGATTCAATCAGTCGACCTCAAAGTTTAGTCAGGGAAAAGTTCACTGGATTCTTCTACGATGTTCCTGAGCTCATTGAAGCAACCACTTTACTTGAACAGCAATTTAATGGAACAGGTGTGGATCGGATCATTCTGTTCTGTTGTGTTGTGGAAACTCTGCCAGGGGCAGTGAGTTACACAGAGAACATTTAAGGCACTGTGGTTATGGTGCTAGACAGTACAATAAGTAATGGAAGATAAATACTTATTTCAATTAGAGGTTTCTTAAAGTACATGTGCTACAGTAACCCGGCATGTTTGTGCGTATTAGTAACATGTTTAACAGGTTGTGGAGAGAAGAACCAAGGCTCAGTGGAGTATTAAACCTCATGTAATGTAAGAAACAAAGGCTTATGAGGGGGGCACCGGTGGCTCAACTGATATTAAGGCTGAGTCCTTGCCGCTGCACATGTCATACCTTGTCTCTGTGCCCTGCCTTTCCTGTTTCTCTCCACTCTAGCTCTCAAAATAAAAGCAAATATGCCCAAAAAATAACTATATAACTTTTATGAATGTCAGATGTACTGTATACAATATAATCTCTTGGTAACAGATGAAGAAAACGTACATTCGATTCATCTTAATGTTTAAATGATAAAATCAAGGATAAAGCCAACAACCAACAATGCAGGATTTTAAAAAAGTGATATTGTTGTAAAAAAAAAAAAAAAAGCACTTGATGATATTAGATAAATTAAGTATTCTACTGGAGACACAACTCCAGTCTGTTAAAAATCTCTTGGTTGCTGTTGTGTAAACCGGCAGCAGCTCCACCGTCCTTACATGGTAAAAACATCACCAGCAGGAAGACAGAGCAGACGCTCGTGTAGTATTGAAGGCTACTGAGTTTCTACTTCCAGCTTCGGTGCATTTCTCTGCACGGAGCTGCAGCTGTACAAACTCATGTACAGTAACTGAATAAACTGTATATGTATGATAAATATGATTCACCTTAATAAAAAAATCAGTAAAAACTACATATTTTCCCCACAGCAACCATCCCTTATGGTTATTGGTCTGAAACAGTCAAACCGAAATCTGAAAAATGTCAAGAAAACTAAAATCTCAACTACCCAGAAAGTGAAGTCTCCCTACATCCTCCATGTAAAACTGTTCACTGTTTGCAATTAAAACATCCATTCGCTCTGTGAAAGAACCGCATGAAGTTTCTCTGTAGAAACTTTACAGTAGAATTTCTGCTCGAAATGCTAATGAACGACATTGTGTTGAGATGGAATAAAGAAAAATGAGAGAACACAGACACTTGCTCACAGAGTAGTGTTTGTGGGTATGTTGATGTTCATTGTGTGTAATACTGTGTCAGAGTGTGTGTGTGTGTGTGTGTGTGTGTGTGTGTGTGTGTGTGTGTGTGTGTGTGTGTGTGTGTGTGTGTGTGTGTGGGTGTACTGGGTCCAGTTGCGTCAGTGGGTGTGTTTGTCGCCATCAGCTGATGGCGCCTCCTGTAGGAAGGGAGTGAAGGAAGAGCGGACGGTGCGACCGCGAAGAGGCTGCTGCACGCGGAAGTTGTTCACCATACTCTTCTGTACCTCCTCTTCAGCTGAGGTGAACAGGAGGCTCCGGAAAACCGCCAGCTGAAGGGTGGGAAACAGAAAGAGTCACAACTTACACAGGCTGATTTACTTGATCTTATCTGTAATAGCTGGAGGTCTTTTGCCAAACATGCTGTCATGCTAGTTTGCCCAGTTGTACAAATAGTTGGGCACACCCTGGAGGGGTTAGGATAGTTGCAGTGTGGCAACACTACTGAACACAGTTTCCCCTTTACCTTCTGGAACCGGTTTTGCTGAGTTCAGCTCAACCTGAAGCTGCTCCAGTTACTTTTTGGCCACTTGGGGGCAGCAGAACAACATCCAACAGACACAGAGTAACACTAGCTTTCATTTGAGGTTGTACTTCTAACCACCAAACAAAAAGCAGAAAACAGCTTCCTCCTGCATCTGGAGGAGGAAGCTGATTTGACATGAATGTAATAACAGGTTTAATATAATTCAAAGTCATTACATTCATTGTTGATATAAAAAATATTGATTAGTGCAAGAGACATACTATCTCATTTAGTTGCACCTTGATTCAATTAACAGAGAAGTTTAATGTTGAAAAATAAAACAAAATCTGGACAATGTGATGAAATATTTGGTTAAAACACACACACACACACATACATACACACACACACACACACACACACACACACCTGATCATGGCTGACTTCAATGTGCTGCTTCATAACAATCCAGGAGACCGACTCGGTCAGGGGAGGTGTTGTCAGAGAGCCGTGGTACGTCCAGTAGTCGTCAGTGTTGGTGGGTAACAGACAGGCAGGGTCGAACCTCGTAAACTCCACTACACTGTCCTGCAGACAGCCGGAGACAGAGAGAGCACAAAATAAACAGTAGTCAGTTAAACTGCTCGAATTCTGAATAGAATTACTATCTAATCATTACCTAACATTAAATATGTCAATGAGTGTTACACAATGAGTGATATAGAGGTGTCACATTTTTTTTTAATCTTATTAGCCAAACACAAACCTTATCAGACATTATTGGTGATAAGCAGTTCAGTAGCAGTGATGTAAAAGAAGGACACACAATGACTTCAAGTCAGTCACCTTCAAATACCAATCAAAAGGAATATATGAATATATTTTCAGGAAGGCTTTTCTTCTTTTTTTTTCAGAAATCAATAACGCGATGTAATTTATATCAGTAACAATTGTGATCTCAATCAAAGCAGTTTTTTAATCCATGGTTTGTCTAATTTGTCTTAAAACATTAAATTGATAAAAGGATTTTTAGCTCCAAATCTGGTTCCTGAGTTTAGTTCTCGGGACTATTTGGTGAAAAATATCCATCGGTACTTGGAGATTTTTGTGTGACCCTTGATGGAGGCCTGTCTGACCAGACCTGTAGTGTTTCTAATAAACACCAGAGGGCAGCAGTGCTTATCTTCCTGTCAAGTGCTGTTACCATTCAATAGTAGACTTTAAATGGACTGTATTTGGTCACTAGACTTATGAGTTCATTTCAGAGAGGAGCACAGCATCGTAAAACATCGTATGTGGACTCACCTTGTGTCTGATTGTAGGCAGAGCGTCTACCAGTTTCTGCAGCCCCTCGTGTCTCTTTCCCACCTACACATGGATTAGACATTAAGACATTAATCTTTATTGTACTCGCAGTGCAAAGCTGAATATATGGCACATACCACATCATGTATATATTCAACACACAGCAGAATGTGCCGGTTCGCATTGTGGATGCACCACAAGGAAGGTTCAAACACGTCTGCGTGGGTGCTCACACATGTGTGTACCTTAAGAAAGACTCCGATCACAGCCAGACCGTTGTCCTCCATCACTGCCTCCTCGAACAGACTGTACTTGTCAGAGTTCCAGTGGACCAAGTGGAGCTGTGGACACACACAGTACAAAAACCCATTCATGAACTCTGTGTGTGTGTGTGTGTGTGTGTGTGTGTGTGTGTGTGTGTGTGTGACTGTAACCTATAACCTTGCTCTTTTCACCCACCCTGTCCTGAGCCCAGGCGCACTACTTCTGTCCCCCAAATGACCCACTAATTCTTTCCTGCCTTCCTGTCTCTTTTCAAAATAAATGTCTCCATGTGACTAATTTTGAATTCACTGTGATGTGTTTAGTTTTTCATGTTGACATCTTATTAAAAATTAATAACAGCAGCTCTAATCATTTGCAGATACTCAAACTCAAATGCATGAACACAACACATCAGCTACTCACAAAGATGGGACAAAGTTGTCAGTCAGGACTGAAACTTGATCCTCTGCACACACACAAATACAGAGACTGTTGAGTGATGAGAGCTATGACATGGACACATTCCTAACACCACCAACAAGGGCTTGGCAGAGGACGCATACATATGCACACACACAGTGGAACCTCTTGTTATGCAAGTGTGCTGAGGTTAATGGAACAACATGAAAATAGATATTCTGTGGGCAAACGTGAGGCAGGACAACTGTACCAGTCTAATACCCCAACTACTGAGAGACAAATACACCATTTATGGGTTTGGCTTTACTGACATAAAGAGTAACAGAGGAACACAGCTGGATCAAATAATCTGGCACCGTGCAACCAGCAGAGGATAAACACTGATATAGATAAGGGATGATAAATCATTTTCTACACCAAACTTGATGTTATCAATACAATACTCTGTTTTTCTAGGCATTTCAAGAAGGATTCGCAAATAGAAGAAAAAGGACCGCAAACTAAGTCAACATCCACACTGTTTAAACAGTGGCAGCGTTAGACTTGTTTTCTTCTATTTCTCCTTTCTTCTTTTAACTCTTAAGAGAACATTTGGTCAAGAGGAAGTAATTGCAGAGTACAAGCTGAATTTCTCTCTCTCCATTACTTGCTTTCTATGGCTCTGTACATCTGACTTTTTCCATTCAGTGGCTTGGTCACACTATAGGACACACGCACCTGCTATAGATGTCACTGCCACACCTCTGTGCTTAACATGCACATTAACCTAGCAGTGGGCATGTCAGGGTATATTTAAAACAACAGAGGGTGTGCACAGCAGGATACTGATGTTACAGGTATGGTTTTCTTGTATAGCCCAGTTCAGTTAATGAATTTTTTCTGCTATAGCGTCAAACAGGTGTGTTTTTATCCCCAAAAAAGCCTGTAATGGCCCCACACAAATAGAAAAAGAAAAAGAAATGCAACACAATAATCGTTTTATCTCTATTATCTTGTTTTCATAATCGTTGGAAGCCAAAATCATGATCGAAAATAGAAATTAGATTAATCGCACAACCCTACCTCCCACCATGCTACAGTTACATTCAAGCATGCTCAAGGGTGTATACTGTGATGTCACTGCTGAGTATTGTTAGAGCTGCAACACACTTTGGTATTTGGTATTAAGTTAGTCTTTGAGGCGATAACTACCTTGATATAAATGATACAGCAAAATCTCTACTGGGCGGATCTCTATCATCTTGCATGGTGTGGTAACTGTGATTTTCAACTTCAAAGTAAAAGACACAGATCTGGACATAAAACCTCCTTCATGAAGTTTAAATGTTTAACTTTACAAGAGTGGCCCTAGCTGTATTTTTCGGTGTTGTTCTCTTGGAATGTGTTCTACTGTGAATCGTTCTTGTTGCAGCTCCTAAGCTCATAATATTGAGAGGCTCTGTAGATAAAAGCATTCTCCAAAGTGTATCATGTCTACAATATTAAAAAGAAAGAGGAGTATTCTTCTTCCTGTTCATCTTGGATTTTTTCTGGAATCATTTGGTTTCACATAACAAGCTTTACAGGAACTGGGACTTCCTTTACTTCTCTTTCCTCTTTTATGTTTCTTGACAATATTATAAAAATATTTCCTTCCTGTCATGTGCTAAAACCAATCCACTTTCATACTTTAATAAAACATGCTGTTTTTTGTTACAGTGTTTTATGTGATTCTCTTTTGTCCATGCAAAAAGCCAGTGCAGGAATAACTGAAGTTTCATGCAGTGTCTGTCTGTGTCAGTGTATGCATGTTACAGCACAGTACCTCTGCAGGGAAAAGCCTCCTGTCCACGGTGTGCTCTGACCCCCAGGCGTTGCTCTCACCCCAGTGGAAGTGGAACTGGCACAGCCTGAATTTGTCTTGCAGGGGGCCACCTTTCAGCGCTACACCGGAAAGTTAAAGTACATGTAGATCAGTACATTACACATTGACAAATACAGATTTCACAATCCTTTGTGAAGAAAATGAAACGCCAGCTCTCGACAGGAGTCGGATCATATCTCACACTGTCAAGTAAATGTTAACGTTAGTCGATTCCTCCTCTAAAGGAGGAAATGATTTCACTGAGGAACAGGTTGTTCTTGTAGTAACACTGACCTTGAAACATCCAGGAAACATGAAAGTAAGAGACTGTTTTATTTCCGCCATAAACTTTATCAGTGACAGTAATACTGACAACAAAGAAGGACTCCTCACCATCTATACATTCCAAAGTACCTGCAGTCGTGTGAAGATCACTCCATTGTTTCATTGTTTAAATTACTGTTAATAAAAAACCTGTTCTCTTGAATCCTTGTCCTATCCTTCTCCACATTTTTATATGGTTATGGTTTTTATATGGTTCAGTTATAAACCTGTTTTTGTGCTCTCAGCACCAGACTAAGCTCATAATACCAGGGGACCCACAGCATGTGACACGTATGAAGTGGTTAATTTTGCAGTTTTAAAACATTTGTAATTTAAAATAAAGTCTATTTTTATAATTATATTGGTTTGGACAGTGAGTGTTTTGGTGTAGCCCAGCAATTATACCAAAATTACCAACACTTTAAATACAGACTACATAGTAGTTGTTGAGGTCAGGAGAGACACACAAGTCACATGACAATCACCAGTTCCATGTGGCAATGGTTTTTACCAGCAGCATTACTTTTTCCTACAGACAGAGGGCTCTTTAAGGGGAGGGGGGATCAAGACGGAGATAATCCTCCTGTGTAGATCTAAACATGCATTCCCCCTGCTGAGGTTTTCTTGTTCAGATTTAAAGGGAAACTACTGACTTGCTATAATGAGGAACTTATACAGAACATAATTTTACTTGCGAGATTTCTACATGGCATTAATTGAAGAATTAAGTGGATTAATACATAAATACATCAATGAAGAAGACAGAGGAGTACTCACTGGACTTGTCTGTCGTGTCATCATACTCCACCAGGAAGGAGTAACCATTATTCCAGATTTGTTGGCAGGTGTCTGGGTCGTAATCGGTGACCAGAGGCTTCAGCTCTGAATCAAAGACACTCTTCCGTACAACAATGTCAATGGGAGACTGGCGATCACCTCCGGGTACCGCGAGGGGTCCCTGCCACATGGGATGCACTGGAGATGAGGAGAGAGGAAGAGGAGAAGAAGAAGCAGAGGGAGGAAATCAAACAGAATTAAAAGTAAAGGATTTAAAATGTAAAAGACTCATATCTAAATCACACCTCCTGCTGTCCATGCACAAGTAAAACAGTATTACTGTTTTAACAAGTGGGGAAAAAAATGCTGACACCTACTTTTCATGTTGTACTCTGCTGCCTGCTGCATTTTCAGACAGTCCATTTTGAAGCAAAAAAAAAAAAATCAAAGTTGCTTCATAAAAAAGCAATGCAAAAACTGCACAATGACAGTGCTGGACTGACACAGAATCCTACTTCTCCCTCAAGCTGGTTGAAGGAACTGAATCAAAAGGAGCAAATGAGCAATGGTACTTCCTTCTAGTCCTCTTACATTTTTTTTCCTTAAAGGAAATTACAAAATAAGAGCGAAGTGGGCTGGCTGTACAGAAAGTGACACACGGAATGTCCTGGCACGCCCCCAGCTCCACTCCACAGCGGGGGAATCAGACCAAGACCTCTGGCCAGTCAAACCGCCAGCTTGGACTGTCTATCAATGGACTTGCTTTCTAATTACCCAAAACTCTGCTCACTTTCCCTGCCTCCCTCCTTTTTGTTTTCCTTTACTCTTGAAATCCACCCAAAGAACAAAAAAAAAAAATTAACTCCACATAAAATCTTCTACTTATAAAATAAAAAAAAGCTCTCCAGAAAAAATATTTCAAGTGTGGTTATCAAAGGCATAAAAGCAGCTTATTTTATTGTTTTCCTCTCCATTCAACCAGCACAGGGCTTAAGGTTTCCACTGTGCGCCAGGCTGAACAGGTCTGACTGGGAGATGACCTTCATCTTCATCAGATTTCACCGGCTGCTCCTGGGGGAGGCCGCCTGACTCTGTTATTGCACAGACACACAATAACTGCTTTGAAAGCTATTCATGCTCATTCACTTGGTAATAGTCAAGTGTGAGTTTGGTCTGATTTGTGGCATGTCACTGCCACTGCATGACTCTGCAGTGCTTCTTTAAGTGTTACAGCCAGATGTCTTAAATCAGAAAATGACGTGGCAGGTATGAAACAAATGAGTTTCCTGCATCAGCAGTCATAAGCCAGTAACATGTATGAATATGAAAATTAGTAAGAGAGATGCCAGTATGCATAGAGCAAGCACAGATTCAGTTCCTGAAATAAACATATGTCCTGCAGAGGTGCCCTTGAGTAAGACGCTGACATTGCTGAACCTCTACCTGGTCACTGGTTTAACTCAGGAATCACAGGGAAGAAAAACCCTAAAACAGCCTTTTCTACCCTACAATTCATCACCAGTCAAAGAACACTGTTAATGCCAATTCTTACTTTTTAACAACAAATTACAATGATGTGCCATCCTGGTACAATACAACATGTCAATATCTTGTCACTGCTCAGCTAACAAAGTTGTGCTAACTCAGTGACAAACACATTGCGTGTCCTATAGGATAATAGGAACCATAAAAGCCTCACAAACATGAGGGATGTACCGATCCAATATGCCAGACTAGTATCGACACTTTGATGCTGTTCTGGATGTGAAGCAGCACTGACTGCTGGACACAAAGACACTTTCAAAGACAGTGCTTTTTTTTTTTTTTTTTTTTTTTTTTTTAACCACACAATAACATATGTTTTGAGCCAATTAGTTTAGCACAAAACACAGCTTTTGTTTGAGAGCAGAGACTTTCAAAGGTGAGTCAGTCCGGCTACCAAGCAGGATCACCACAGCGTGAGGAAGTACAGGAGCCCTTGTTATTAAAGTGCTCTATACCACATTACACTGTTTTCCAAAGGCGTGTTTTGAATTTATGGATGTGTTTTTCCTACATTTGTAGAAGCCAAAATTAACCATTTATTTCTGGATAGTATGAAAATTAACTTGCTGGTAGCAGGTGAAACTGCTGACTGGAAGTACGCACAACATAACCACGCAATGGTGGCAGTTTAAACACTGACAGCAGACACAATGTTCACTGTGAAAGACTTTATACTATATAGTATAAGTGGGCAATAATATAAAGTATGATATAATTTCTCCGAGTTTTTTTCTATTACTATATATCAAATTACATGGCAATGTCAATGTATATTGTAATTATCATGGTTGTGTCAGTACAGGTACATGAATCCATCAACTGTGGTACTGCCCTACAGTGAAAACATTCTTGGCTAAAATAGTACAATTTTACAGTGATATGTTTTGAGTAAATATTGCATTAAGCCTATAGTACGTCTCTTAGGCAGCAAGGTAAATGAAAAAACATCACTTGTGATCCAATACTTGACTCGTCCAGCTTGTCTCTCAGTAAAGAGGACCATACTAACTCACACTTCAACTCCGAGTGGGTTATCTCTGAATATTTTTCATGTCAATTATATTAATATAGTACAAAACATGGGAATATTTTCTACTGGAAAAACTAGTTTCAACAACAACTTTGATTTACACAGGAGTTTATCTCTAAACCTCTGCAGATAAAAGCAAGTGTCTGCCTGACAAGATAACATCACGGAAACTGGTATAACATGCATTTTGTTATCTGAGTCGACCGATCCTCCGAGGGATTTCTGCTCCCTGAGTTGAGAGTTTCAGGCAGCACTTTCTCCTCAGGGTGTGCGTCACCCCTGATGAGCTCTACCAAAATCTTTTATGTTACAAATTAAAGTTCATGTTTGGCACTGGGGACTGGGTCTACCAAACCCACTGAAGGAGCTGGAGGTTGTTCCTGAGAGGCTCAACTTAGGGAACCAAGTGGACAAACCTTCTACACCCCCCATGATGAAATGATGGGGAAAGCAAAAGTACCATTTTACGAACAAAAAAGAAAGTGTATCAGGATAGATCAAAGGAGAGGTCAAGAAACCCAATTTCTAGTGGGCCACTTCAAAGACAACCCAACAGCCCTTTCATAAAGCTTTGGCAGCCAGACAACTCTCAGTACAACAAGCTTGTTAAAGTTAAACATGAAATGTGTTTATTATCGTGGTTGAAGATAAAAGCTCTGCTGCACCGGACTAATTTTCCACTTCCAAAGGGTTTTTTTTTTTTTTTTTTTCCATGTTGACTTTGTGGTTGTTGTTGGCATGAGATTGTGAACAAGAAATAGCTCATGTCACTGGGTGTGGTGAGGAAGTTGCTGTAACTTGTCAGATGAGCTCAGGTGTCTCCAATATTCCACAGGGCACATCAAAATTAAGGGAAGTGCCTCCTACCAGAAGTCTAACATACAAATGCTCTTCAAGTTGCATTCACTATATTTATAATGGTAACAGGTTCTCGTTATAACTGCAACTTTTTTTTACCAAAATCTTCCACATGATATCAAACAAACCTCAGTGAGGATATACACATGTGCTGGAGACAATAAAGGCATAAAACAATTAAAGTGTGTGGGCGGTGCACATTTGAAAACAACATTCTTGACTATATAGCGACTTCACATACAGGCGCAATGTAGGTGAAAGGGCTTCATATGGCCCCTATATGGGCCAGTGATCAGGGATATCGATAATTGTTTGGAAAACCTGGAGTCTGTGGTCAGTCTCTGACACAGCTGAGTCAACAGAGAAGTGTTTGATCCAAATCCAGTGCCGGGGAAACTCCAGTCCAAGCTTTCCAAATCCTCTTCCTGCACGTTTTTCAGATGACAACAAAAGTGACCATTAACTGATGCCGTGTGACCCACAATGAAAAGGTTTCAAAGCCACAATGTGTGCTAAAACCAAACCAAACCGCTGCCGTGCTGATACACACACTGCCACTGTGGGCGGTAATGTATGAGATTTCAATGCCTCCTTTTGAAGCTGTATGACAATAAACAGCTGCGTCGACAAGCTGGGAAGACGAGACATTATGTGCAGCTATATAAACGTGTTTACCACAAGTACTTACTCTGCGACAGCACATATTTGCTGGAGCACGCCGTGAGGTTGCATCTTCTGACAGGCGTTATCCGGTGACTCTTGATGTGTCCAACGAGCTGTCGGTGAAGCTGAGAAGCCAGAGGTCTTATTACGGATGACAAAGTCACCATATTGATCAACCTAACGTTACCAGCTTCACAGCACGGCGGCTACAAGAGGCACTTTAACGTTCTTTAACGTCTCTCGCTGCGCTGTTTTATCCGAAGCTAACGGCTAGCTAGCGTTAAGTCTTCTTTGACTCCACAAAAGTTAGCTCTCAGTCACCGCAGAGCCCGTTCAAAACAAAACTATCGGCTGGCTGCGCTCCTCTGTCTCTGCCCTCTTACCGTATACCTGGGGGCGGGGGAGAGGGCAGGCTTTCGCTTCACACGAATTCAAAATGTGACCGCAAAACCCAACCGCCGTTTCACCGATTTTCTTGTCTGTAGCCCGTTAAATCGTGCGCAGGCCCTCGATAAGTGATAAGATAGTGCCGCTGTTGGAAAAATGTTTGCTCTGCAGGAGGGGAGGGGGGAGGGGGCTACAGTGCTGACCAATCAGCGGCCTCCTCTGAGGGGCGTTAGCGATGATGATGGCTGTGGACTGATAGCAAAACAGATTTAATAATAATAATGCAAATGTATTTATTTTAGATTTACTTGTTTCTTGTAATTTTATGAAGCCAATCAGTGGTGGAAGAAGTTTACAAATCGACATAGTGCTGTAACTGGGGGTTTTCATACACAATTGGAAAGCAGAAATATTGTAATATTTTTTATTTTTGCTTGTATTTCGATAAAGGATTCATAAAATATACTCCATTACGAGTCCTACATCGTACACTTTACTGAAGTAAAATCACATTATTATCACAAGTATTATCATTAATATCAGTTATCCACCATTGTGGACTACAACATTTTAACAGAGAAACTCCAGTCCAACTTTATAATTTTCAGCTCAACTATAACACTACTGACTTTATTCAATTTTTAAATTAATTTTTATTTTATACTTTCCAAAATGTTCAACATTTTGTCTGAAATCTGTCCCACTGAAATCAATGGACAGAACTTTTATGCATTTTAAACTCCTTCTATAAAAATTGAAAATGTTCATAAACCTTCGTTCATTTTTGGATATATTCAACTTTTAAATCCCATTCATATTTTTTACAAGGTAAGAGTTCAACTATCATGAACCTTTCTGACCTTTAAAAGTTGCTTGCTTGTTTGTATGTGGCAGGATGCTCACAGCTGCAGTGAGTGACATCACACACAGAGTGGGGAGAAACTGATCAATTGAACACTTTCTGATCGCACTGCAGCTTCAGCTTGTCTGAACAAAATACATTTGGATGCAACTACAAAAGTTTTCTTACTAACCAATAAAAGACCTCACTGGCAGCAGACGTTTTGACACGACGGCAGGAAGACCACAGCTGTAATTAATTACCTTAATAAAGGCTGCATTACATTAGTTTCACTTACTGTGGATGCTGGCTCACTGCTTGGCTTGTTGGGATACTTCAGTGGAACTGAGCATTCATTAATGTAATTCATTACACCTGTGCACTACTTGCAATGAGTGTATCTGCTTCAGTCTAGAAAACTGTTCATGAGCATGAGCATTCAGCATCTTCAATTGCTGTTGCAGAATTTTTAATCATGTCTCATCCTGGTTCTGTATTTAACAAGTGAAGATTAATCTCATCAAACTAGACTTTCTTAAGCGTGTTTATAGTAAAGTGCTGTGTGTGTGGTGTGTAGTCATGTTGCATCATGGCAACTCTAAAGAATGTCACACTGTGTAAAGAGATGATCACATGTCTGTCAGACTTTAATCCCTGAACACACAAAATATTTACCAGACATCAAGAACACACAGATTCATCTGATAATGATGGCACACTTAAGCAGAAAACAGGGTCCTACAGACAACCCGTCTTTCTCTATCTGCTTTTAGTGCGTTTACTTTAGATCATTTACTGAACTTTCAGATGTTTTCAGTGCTGTTGTGTTGACGTCTCTTATCTTGCTGAACTCCACCCTCAAGATAATAAACCAAGTCTACAATTCCAAAACAATATAATCTGGCTATATGCAGAAAACATCCGAGTTTGTGTTTATGACATGTTTTTGGATTATTTCCCCAATAGTCTTTGTAATTGAATGGATATGCAATATATTCAAATTGCAAAAATGATTGGATTTCCAAGAACTTTGTACAAACATGGAGACAAAACAAGACATCTCTGCATTGTTGAATTTATTTTTTTTCACCAAATTGGACCAAAGGGCTGTCAGTCTTTCAAGAACAAGTCAGATCACAATGAAATATAAAATCATGGACACTGACACAGGGGTTAAACTGGAGAAGTAAGCAGGTGCTCAACTCCTACCCTCTGTGCGAGTGGTTGTTCTTATGTTATTTAAGAACAGGACTCCACTGCCATCACACAATCCAGTTTAACCCCTGCAGAATGAAACAGAATGACTGGTTATACTCCATCTCTGGTTCTGTCTGTCACTGTCTTTAACCGTCTTAAAACAATTGGCAACCTCTTTGCTCAAACAACTAGTCATAGTAATAAAAACGCACTGTAACATGTTTACATCAAACTACTACTAGCTTGGATCTAAGCCGCTTGTGCTTAGTCAGCCTTTGAAGGATACAGTGCAGTCATTGCAGTTTCACAGTGGATCCATGTTAGCGCCACTGTGCTGCTCCATGGCTGTTTGAGTAACTTTTTTTTTGATTCCCTAAGAGCTGGGCACCTCACTGTGGCGGTGTTATGGAGGGCGTGGTTACATATTTTCAGCCAAAACATGTTAGTTCTAGAAAAGAGGTAGCAAACTAACGCCCCATGGCACAACGTGGCCAAACTCCCCGTCTGTGCCTCTGTGCTTTACCGACCCAGTCCATCAACATCAACAGCACCTGCAAGCAGGCGCCTTTGCTCAAGTACCACAATCTGCAGACTCCTGGGTCTGTCTGTCGTTTACCATCCCTTCACAACAATTGAGATCAATATTACAATCCAAGAAAATGTTTTGGTTTTAAATCTTTTGTAACCTGACCACAAAGCACAAAAAACACCCTGACTTGTATAGCATGAGAAATACAGTACGTTTATAAAAAATACAAAATAAGCACTTTTTTTTTTTTTACCATCCAGAGAAGCATTTTATAGGGACAAGGAATGAATAAAAATAACAAAAGAAGTTGCATGTGTTTTTCAAAACTTTTTAAAGTGTAGAATCTATTTACAGCATCATGTGGAGAGCAGAGGGATATGAAAGCACAAACAAACACAGAGTTGGGGAGGAGGGAGTGACGAAAGATAAAGCAGGGCAGTAAATTGTTCTTCATAAAAGAGGCGTTTTATTTAAGCCTACTGTCTGTCTTGAGTCAAAACGACAAGCTTGCAAAGAGTTCTCAGTCCTTCAGGAGACCACGGAGGAGGGGTTAGTCCAGAGCAATGATGTCATCGTCATCGTTGTCGGTGGGGGCAGCTGCTGCACTTGACTGCTCCGTCCGTGGACGCTTGGTGGAGGTCTCGCCAGTTTCTGCATCCGGGTGCTTCCTCTTGGTGCTGGTGCTCACTGTTGCTGCAGAGCTGGATGACACCGCTTCTTCCTCATCAGAGTCAACGATCATGATGTCATCGTCGTCTGCTGGAGCTGAAAGACAGAGAACGACAATGTTCACACTCAGGTTAAAGAGAGGAAGCACTAAGCCTTGGAGTAAACAACTCTGACTGCCGTCTTGGATTCTTTATGAAGTTAAAACTGACAATGTGAGCCAAACCCCAGAAATCCAATTTGAATGACACATCGATGAGTTAAAACTCGTCATACACTACAACACTGCAGTGATTTATAGTACTGTAAGGAAGGAATTTACAACTGTGAAAATTTAGCAAAGCAAGATTCATTTTATCCTCGTGTACTTGCTACAATCCCCTGGTAAACTGAATAATTGAATATGGTGTTCATTCTGTCATGTAATAGGAATGTGCGTTTGCAAGAATTTGATTGGTCAAACGCAGATAATGTTGCATTATGCTGTGACAAAAACTGGGTAAAGTTCAATGTTTTTGCTTGATGACACTGTTTTCTATACTGCTGTGTGGCCTCATGAACACGGTGGCTGCAGTGTCAATGTCTGTCTGAACACATTCCTTCTTTAGAGGACAAGTACAGCTGATCTGCAAGTCTAATCTGCTGCATCTACTTTTCTTTTACATGGGAACTGTTGTGTAGCACTGGTAAAACAACAACTTAGCAGCTGCCCCTTGCAGAGAACTTACAGCCTGCTTATCATGTTGAGCTTGTGAACCCACCCAGTTCCATCAAGTGTTTCATATCTACAATCATCTTTATCACATGATACTTAGGAATCCAGATATCACTACAAATAATGAAAAGCCAGTAAACACACATTCTAAGGCACTAATAAAGTATAGCACATACGTCCCTGCTCATTCCCACTCTCATTCACTAATTAGATCATTTAATACATAAACAGAACTAAATTAACCGGCATGACTGATGTACACCGCAGAAAAATGAAAAATTTCTCTGCCTCCTGCTGACCTTTAGAGGAGGTGGACGGCTGGGCGGAGTCCTTGTTGCCATTGGTGATGCTGTTAACCTCTTCCTGGTTAGTCTGAGGGGGCGGAGCTTTGTCTGGGGCCTCACCGACTACCTCAAATTCCACATCCCGCTCTAGCTCCTCACTGCCAACAAAGACAGAAACCAACACATATCATTTTCAGGTTCACTCACTGGAGTGGCTTCATCAAAACAAAATACTTGGGCACATTCACATGCACAAGAGGGACGTACGTGTGTAGGACGTTGATGAGGAGTGTGTAGTCTTGCAGGAAGTCATCAGCTTGCAGACGGCTTCCATTACGGATCCCAAAGTCAGCAAGAAATTTGCTGTTGTTGGCTGTGAAGACAGGATGGGAGTTACACACATGCCTAACAACAAGTATGTGTTTGTAGCACTAGACGTGTGTCAGACATTAATTTCCATTTCCCTAACACCACTTCATATTGACCAAATGCCAAATGTTTTTAAGACAGTAAACCAAAGTACATTTCCACACATTTCATAAATTATTTTTATGTCCATTTTGGTTCATTAGTTTAAATAAACTTACTCTAAATTATACAATATATAATTTTGTTACGGCTTCATCACTCACGCTGCCCTCTGAGATATGAACAATCTCTCTGATGTGTATCTCTGCTATGATAACATGTTCAAGTCGAGAACTGCTCATTTTCTGTTTTATGATTACAAACCTTACGAACAAAAAAGGGGGGCATGAAATCACTGTCCAGCCAGTAGGTGCACTTTAGCTATGGACCAGTTGACAGATGCTATTAGAGCACCCTCTCCTGTCCAAATGGAGACTCACTGCACTCCAGTTTTCATTTTCATCAAACCACTAACGACCCAAAAATATAATACTAATTGGTCTCCATTTTTTAAAATCATCACTCCAATGCCTAACTTTTCTTTTGTCATCTTCTCAGCCTCTCCATCTGTCTCTTGTCCCCATCCCCCATTATAGTTTCAAAAAGCCAAAATCTTAAGAGTAAACAAAGTAAGCATCTTTATGCTTACTTTATATATATATATATATATATATATATATATATATATATATATAATAATATATAAAAATGTATTTAACGTCTTTTTTCCCTGTGTCCTTACCCTCTGTCTCTCCTTCCTCCGAGGAAATGAGGATGGTCCCTTTTCCATCTTCTATCTGAACATCTGGAGCCACCATGCCAAACCTTTCCTTCAGGATCTGAGCATATTACAAAAACATTAAATCCACAAGTTAACAAGGCAGCAGTAAACATGTCACCTCAACATGACACCACTTGGGCCTATATACCATGTGTGGTAGATCATATACACATTTTCTGATTAAACAAACACTTTCATTGCGACAGGGTGATGTTCTCTCTTGTGGGTTCAGGTTGTTGTACATGTAAAACACAGCTCATCATATTACCCTGTCCTGCAGAGAGAGGACCATGGTTTTGTGGACATTGAGTTTGACTGTGACTTCAGGTTTGCTGGCACAGACATAGCAGTTGGCGCTGGGTGGGTCAAGGACACATGGGACCAGCAGCTTCTTCCTGAGGTTGGGACACTTGTTCAGGAAGATCTGAAAATGAGACAAATAAAAGAACCGTTTTAACCCCAATAGCTTATTCTGATATTAACCAGGTTACTGTGGCACATGGCAAAATCTTTTGCGTGTGCGGTGCCTGTTTTACCAAATTTCCAAAAACCCTCAGATTTTGACAAGTTTCACTTATCAAAATAAATATTATTCTTGCAACCCTTACATGAGCATCCAACAGGTCGGCACAGCTGCAATCTCTTGTAAAACACCACACTACAACTATTAATTCACACGAAAGGGTTTGAAACATTTATCCAAGCAAGTACAACCTGACCGAAACCTTGACTGAATAACAGGTTAGCATTTTCAGCACCTGGAGAATTGCAAACACTAGGCTACATAATGAGACAGCAGCAGATTTTGTAATACTTGGTGGTGACTGAACTAACCGTGCGACAGGATTCTAGTTCCCCTGCCAGGATCTTGAGTCCCTCCAGCACAATGAGTCCAGCAATGACGGCGTTGGTTGTGGCAATAGCTGGGATGATGTTCCCTGCCATGGCTGAAACAAATCACATAAATCATACCTACCATTAGAGACATTTATCTGAGGCTGTGTGTGTGCACTACTGTCTAACGGAATTAGGATATCTCAAACTTATTTAGACCATGCACAATATGTTTATTAAATAAAACACAGCAAATTCAAAGAAATGATAGTCTGTTTCCAATGTAACCAGTTTTCTGTTGGCAAGATGTGAGACAACCAACTTACACTTTACATCAAAGCGGCTCTTCATGTTCATGCTAAAGATGTGCATACGTAGGTTTGATGCTGCAGTAACAAAGTCCATGGCTGGAGGGTCATCCTGATGACAAGAGGAGGCAGTGAAGGCGTTAAACTCACATGAGCTATTCAAAAACACTTCTCTTTTAAAGCCAGATATGCATGTATCTCTCACTGTTTTCTGGAGGGATCATTTATTCACCAGTATTATTGTTCTCAGATTTTTACACCAGGTGTACAAACATTCCCTCCAGCTGTCTATTAGTTTGTGTGTTACCTTGTCCCAGACCAGCTCAGCACCTTCTCCCTTCTCCTGCAGCTGTGAGCTGAGAGTCTCCACGCTGTGCTGGAACAGCTGGCAGTAACCCCAAACACCTAGAACCTGCTGGTCCTTCAAACCGGAACCTGGAGTTTCTTCCTGAGGACGCACTGAAAATATGGACGACATGAACAAACATATGGATGAACATACTGATAAACAAATACACACAATCGTGAATAAGGCATACATTTATTGGCTATGTTGTGGACAGTTATGCTGCAATTACTTTAGGTATTCCAAAAAAAAAAACCCCTTCATACTCCTACATATTTTTGTCTATTCTGTCTGTAAATAGTCAAACAGAGACCTTGATTTAGATTTAATTAGCTGAACCCTAAAACTAAATTCGGGTTTGGTTTCCAGATACATGCTTAGTATCTTCCTGACAGTCAAGCAGACTGACATTTTTGGCAGCAATACCATTCCATGTTCCTTGTATTGCTGTTGTGATTTTAAGAAGTGGGTCTATTGCTATGACAGTTTTGGCAGCAAGCAACAAGATTGTATTTGATCTTCAAATATGTCTCACTAAACATATTTTTCACCAGTTTGTTTGACTTACCTTGAACATTGCAAGTCAAAACCTGTGTCCTACACACTTATTCACCAACACAGATAAGCAATGACGCGTGAAGCATACAGCTCTCTAATTTGAGTTTGTGTAAAAACCAATTGAACAGCTTAAGTTGTTTCTGACATAAATATTGAACAGACATACCACTTTTCTCTAACTGTTGCCAGTCCAGAGGTGTAGGAGCTTTCCTCTTCTTCCACAGCTTGTCCATGGTCAGCAGGTACATGATATCGTCTTTGAAAAGCTGGAGAGGAAAACCAATCATAACCAACTCTATCACGTTTGTGGTGATAAAACACTAAAACAGTGCTGCTAAAAATCTGTGCTGTGTGTTCAGTGAAACTGTTCTATGCAAATTTGTAAAAAAAAGAAACAAACAAAAAAAACAAACAAAAAAAGTTTGCATCCCGAACACTTTTGCAATTAGTTCATCTGTCTGACTGTTACCTTGTTGAAGAGTTTGACGGAGTCGTATCCGGTGGATCGGGCCCATTCCTTGGTGGAGATGCGCTTGATGTCCCCGTCCTTTTCTGAGGCTGTGGCACGAGCTGCTGTCTCTTCGGGGTTCCCTGTGTACACAACTCAGGTTTCACATAGTATAGGGTGCTTGTGTATTTTTACATCTATCCACCCATTTCCATCACAAATGGAGTGAAAATGAGATTTGAAGACATAACTCATCAGATATTGTGAAACAAATGTAAAGCCACGCTCTCACTTACATGCAGCCTCTGGGTCCGCTGTGTCAGGTGACACCTCTTGATCTGCATCCTCTTCTCCAAATAGCTGACTATGATAGACAGACAATGCAAGATGAACATTACAACATGTACTCACCTCTATTGTTTTGATGGTGGTGTGTTCGCATGCTTTAGCACATTTGCAGCATAATCACATACTTCTACATTACGACTGCTGGTTTTCAAACATGTGCAGTCTAGAGACAGTTTACTGTGCAATATGCCTATGTTTGCATTGTTGTGCATTTGAATGAGGCTATAACTTAGTTATGTTGAGAACGAGCCTTACTTGAAAAGATATTTGGCCCAGACAATGCAGTGTATGGGCTCAGATGGCGTGTTTCTTATGGTGCACCCTGGGAAGGTCTTTTGGGTGGGCTTAGGTTGGCACTCGTAGCACTCCGTCATTCCCTGGGAAAGGAAGAGAGGGTGCACGTGGAGAAATAAAGGAGGAAAAAAGAAAAAGAGAGGAGGAAAGATACAAAATGAGATGAGATATTCACTGCCCTTCTAGTACCTTACCTAAATATGTGCAGGGAACAAAATCTTTTCTGAGTAGGATAGTAATTCAACAGATTTTAGCATAACCAGGATGTGCATGTCCTACCTTCTTGATGACAGTGACTTGCCCCAGGTAACCAGCTGTGCCACTCTCTATCAAAGGGATATCAGCTGCCAAACACATTCTGTTCACATGGTTGCGGGCCGCTACAGAGACAAAGGGGGTTTTATTTTCCTCATAATTTGAAGTGTCGGCACTTAGGAGTAACAAAAAAATGTTTAAGTGGTCATGGTCAAGTGATGTTACCTCTGTTATCCAGAGCATTCATCACCAGCATGAACTTTCTGAAGAACTCCACATTGTAGTCAGGGCTGTTAGAAAAATAAAAAACGCAATCATGTTGATCACTCAATTCCATCTCAAAAGTACAGATAAAATTGATTCAATTAATTAAAATGAATGAAAGGGACAAGAAAAAGAAAGAAACTTACTTCATGACGCTGTCATGGTAGGCAATAATATTTGCACTGGGACAGAACTGCAACGCACTCTCCTTGGCCACCTACAAATCCACAAAGTAAGTAAGAAAGGCACAAACATCACACAGAAGATGATTTATTCTGCAGTCAAGTGTTACAGTAAGTGCACATATTTCAAGGTGTTTTACATAACAGCGTCAGGTCAAATCAAGATTTACTACAACCAGTGGCAGAGGTCAGTTTTCTGATGTTAACATACCTGTGCTTTAGACTTGCCGACATGTTTTTTCTGAAAGAGGAACTGGCGATTCAGGTTGCTGACATCAATTGTGTCCAGGTCAATCTGCCAAAATCAATAGGGGTGTAAAATCAGTAATGTATACATGTAACTGATAATATATGACAGACAATCCAAACAAACTGTCACACGCAAATACAACATCAGACAACTTCAGCGAAATCTTGTTTAGTCTAATTACAACAAAAATACCTGCTGGTGCACACAATAACAAATAATGACAACCAGACACTCAGTTGCATTTTCAAATATGTCTGAAGCAGACATGTGGCATTTGTTACAACTAAGGTTTGTAAAAACAACTCCCTTTACAAAGTGAAGGTCACAAGTGTGAAAATTACACTACAAGATTGACAAAACAGAATAATCATCTTGTGATATTCATCTATAGAGCTCTACAATTAAACTGGTTTCAGATACACTGACATTTTGAATACAGTAAACTACAAACTGGCCTCAAGCTACTGAACTTTAATTCCACTTCGAGATTTTAAACCTTCATTATCTGATGTTTATTACGATTCTTTTATTAATTCTACTTGTTGGTTGCCTGGCTGTATGTTGGCTGTATGTTGTTGTTGTCTATGAATATTTCTTGTTCTCTATTTAAAAAAAAAAAAAGTCATTTTAATTTAAATGAGTATATCTGATTAAATATTTTAATATACAAACATACATTTCGTGCCAATTTTCAATAAAAAAGTGATAATGGTGAACATTATCTGTCACTCAGTTTAGGAGCGACCCATTCACGGACCCCCAGAGGTACATAAACCCTTGTCTGGGACCCAGTGACAGTCACGAATGCTTAGCTGTAAACATTTGACTGTTGACTCTAGAAAACCCAAACAACCATTACTCTTAGCGTAAGTACAAGCGCTAAGCAAACATACACACATTTAAAGCTTGTATAGCGTTATTATATCTCGTGATAATATTAACAGTATATTCGACTTGACAAAACTAAACAAAGGGTTGTCTAAGTGTGTCTATATTGGCAGCCAGCTAGCCGTCAATTTACAAAGAAGCTGTCGAGCTAACTTAGCAGTGTTAATGGCGCCAAATGCTCCTGCTACATTGCTACGGCAGTGTTCATATTTTTACTACATCATGTCTGGGCCAGTCCACCTAACTATATACTCAGGGACAGGGAGGGCATCAAGACAAGGGCAAACATTCGTATGTTTTACTCCTTTGAATGCCACGTCTCAGGAATTAGTCCGAGCCCTCACACCTCCAGGCGCAGTGTGTGCAGCACAAAGACCTAGCATGATAGCCAGCTAGCTAGCTAACACACACATACAAACAAACACAAATGTGACGGACCACTTCGATGTTTTTGAACCCGGTGAGGACGAGATTCTTCAGCAGCTCGCAACCAATCCCTCCCGCTCCCACCACCAGCACCTTGCAGGTGGAAAGGGAGTCGGCCAGTTCTTTTCGGAGGGAACCCACCAGTTGGACCATGTCGACCGGTTAGAGACAGAACTAGAGCCTGCAGCACCGGGAGGCTAGCGGCTAGCTTCTTCTCCTTTAGAAACAAAGTCCCTCCCACTTCCGGGTCACCGACTTCTTCTTCTTTTTTTTCCGGCTTCTTCTTCTTATTCTCATTTAATTGGCGGTTGGCAAACCAACATGCAGGTGCACTGCCGCTGCCTACAGGACTAGAGTGTGTAAAAAAACTACTTATTTCTCACTATTAGCTCTGTTTCCTTCAGGCGCATGACTGTATATTGACCCAAGGAGGTTCCCTACAGTGATACTTAGCTTAGCTTTCTTAAAAGCTGATATCAGTTCCTTCCTTTCCTCCTTGTAGCAGATTCAAAATGACCATAGTGTCAGCTCATCTACCTTTTTTGTCTGATTTTTACCTTTTATGCAATGTCTGATTAAGTCCAGTACATCCTATCCTTCCTCTCGCTTCCTGTCCAGCCTCCTTCCCAAACCCATGTTTCTGGATATTATAAGAATGTCTTCCTGTATCGTTTATTATAATATTACATACTTAAATCTCCTAACACACTTGTTACCAACCCACCCAAACCTTAATTTTCTCTCTTCCTCATCCCAACATCCCCATAAAATGATAATGTTGGGGCGTTTTCTACAAGTCCCTGACTATAGGACCAGTAGTTACTTATTAACAGTTGTCTTCTGACCTCTAGTGACATCCCCCTCACTATAATTTTTCTTTCAGATGGATAACTAACATTTTCTACACTGTACTGATGCTAACTGTCAATTTGGAATCAGACAGAGCAGCCTAAATTAAATTAAAAAAAAACTCTATACATCATCCTAGGGATTTTTAAAAAACTTTTTGTGCAAAAACCTGTGTGCGTGTGCGTGTGTGTGCGTGTGTGTGTGTGTGTGTGTGTGTGTGTGTGTGTATCTTCACAGTAAAACAAACAATCATGAATCACGAATGCCCTGTGATGTAGGTCGGATTTCACCATCTATTTGGCAGACAATGCACAAAGTGAACAGGGGGTTGTAGATGTGGTGTTAGGGCACAGTGTTTGTGTTGAACTCAGCTACCTAGCATGAGGACAGACGGTGAGAACATGAAGGACTATATAAAAGTATGATCATTTAAAAATTGTCACCATGTGACAATGTGGGCAGTCCCTTTACAGTTGAGGCATGGGCAACTGATCTCCAAATATAGATAATATTAACATATGACATGAACTATCACATTAGCTATTTCGAACACACAGGTATCTGAGAAAAAAGACACCTATGAATGGTTTGTAATAGAAGGGTTATTTCTGTTACCTAACCAGCATGACTTTAGTGCAATAGGACCTCAAAATGTAGGTTAATCAATGAATGTCTGCTTCTGCCTGCCTATATCGGACATTACACTAATCTACAACGAGCTACAGAGACAATTTGTTGTCTAAATATGTATTTGTACTCTACTATTTAAAAAAACAACTTTCATTAAAATCTGTGTTCAATGGGCCCATTACTTGACTGCACATTATTAGGAGTAAATTCATTCATATTATCATGTTTATGATGGTGTAAGAGGATTTCCAGGTAGAAAGATGCGTGAGGCAATGACCCTAGGCTGTGCCCTACTTAAAGTGGCCAGAAATGTACCATAAATTGATGCTCTATAGTAACCTCACATTGAACCTAGTGGCTACCTGTGGCTGCGTGAACAAACAGAGTACATTATGGTCAGGATGTTGTCACTCTCAGCTAAAGTAATAGTTACTAACTATCTTTATATATGCAATTTGTTTTCTGTCACCAGCTCTATGAAACAAATAAGTTATAAAATGTTCTCATTAACGGATTAACGGTTGGAGAATCAGTTCACCTGCTGTGCTAATGACGCCTTGTTGCTAGGTTACGTTTTAACAAGCTGCCTTCAAGCAGTGTCTCAAATTTTGAATACAAAGTGGTATTTTGTGCATTTAATGAACACATAGTCAGGTTAAATGGTGCATTTGGGGGTTACAGAGAATGAAGGTCTTAGCAACAATTAGCGGTTTTAATCGCTACATATGTACATCAGTTTTACCCTTAACATTCCTCTTAATTCTGGCTATGTTGAGCGAAAAAAGGTCTGTGCACTGGTTGCTGAAACAAAACTACCAACAGCTAAACATTTATTTTCTGTTATGATGATATGATAACCTAATGTGTTATTGTTACAAGCTATTATTAATTCCACACAAAAGGTCTTATAGATCTGGACTTTACGAGAAACTTGAAGGCAGCACCAGTTGAGCAGAAAGTTCTCGTTGTCCGGACTCTCAGCTGGAATCTGCTGTGTGTGAAGTCGAGTCAATTTTATTTATATAGCGACAAATCATAACAGAATCTCAGGGCACTCTTCGTATAGCGTGTGAAGTGGAAGCTTTGGCTTTTAAGTAAGTTTTCTCATGCAAATATTTAACTACGCAATATAAATTTTCTATATTGAAACTTTAACGGTACGGCGTAGCTACATAATTTATTTAAAGTGAATAACCGTTAGATAAATATAATACCTGTAATGAATGTCCCTAAAATTTTGCTTTTCCGTCTCGTATTATCTCGTCGATGCTCTTTATTAATCATTTACATTCTGTTGAGTAAATAAATGCGTGTGGCTTGGAAGAATCAATAGGGCAATGGGTAACTGTTACACGTTTTATTTGTCCGTGTCCGTGTCCGTTTGTTCGCGTGAGTGTGTGCGCGTGGGTTGGTGAATCATCTTTTCAGTAAACCAAGTGTTTCAGACCTTAAAAGAAGTCAGACATGCTAATATGTTGCTCTCTCTCCACCCTGTTGGCCAGGATTGAATACAGTTTTACAGCAGACCAGGTAATAAAAGCCTAACGTCTCTAGTGGTCTGACCTCACGGTTTTGTGACCGGCCCGCCTCCCCCTCCGCCTCCAGCGGAATTCAAACCGAGACCAAGCGCTGTCCAACAGCACAGCTGGCTGGAGGAAACATGGGGTCCGCTGTGCACCCCTGCTCGGTGCTGCTGGTTGTGTTTCTGCTGGGGCTTCATCACTCCTCAGGTTTCTGGATCGTCAACGTTGTCTTCCCACCCAACGCCAAATCCAAAGCACCAAGCAACAGCACTCCACCACTCATTATAGGTAAGTGTGGTTGAAGAAAGTTGAAGTAGTGTTGTTGAAGAATCTTAGGTGCCAGAGTAACATCCCTGCAGATATTTCTCCATTTTCAGGATCTAAACTCTGCCTTGGCCTGATAACCACCTGGGCAAGAGCCCAGAACTCCATGGGCAGTGGCATAATGTGTGTCACCTGGTTTGTGCTAATTTAATTGAAATACATTAAATATATTTGGGAGTATGAACCACTGAAGTGCCGTGTCAAGTTTAAAGACTACTTTAATTAATTTTAAATTATGACAGCAAGCCTATGGCAAAACTGGCTTGTACACAAATATTACAGATAGTGTTGGGAAGGAGGGGTTAATGGCCACTCATCTATCTATCTATCTATCTATCTATCTATCTATCTATCTATCTATCTATCTATATAAACTGTCTGAAAAACTGCCTGTCTGTCTCTCTGTCTGTCTGTGTATTGATGTCTAGGCAATCAGTGAGACTGTGCACTGTACTCTGTACATTTGACCCTGTATTTTACTGTTTGTTTCCTCCTTATCTAGGTCATACTAAGGTTTTTTAGGCACAAAGAGCCAAAACATGATTGAGTGGTCATGCTGTGCTCCGACTGTCCACACTTCAGTTTTAGGGGTTTTGCTCTGTCTGGCTTTGTGAAGACCATTAATTTGGCCATTAGTCAATTTTTGGCTGAGACACTATGTCTCCTCTTTGCCCCTTGACTCAGGATTCCTTAATTTTCATCTCTTGTTATATATGTCATTGCATCACTTTTAAGAGCCATAACAGGGAAAACAGAACCTGTGAGTTACTTGCCCCTGTTCCAATAATTGTCTTGTGACCCACTCAGATTCATCTTGTGACCTCTTGGGGGTGTTGGGACCCCCAAGTTGGAAGCCAGTGACCCTTGATATAATTCACCTTTCCGTGCTTACCTTGCAAAGTGATTCACTGATGTGTGTGTTTGTGTTTCCAGTACCAGGGAACTTGGGGAACCGCCTGGAAGCTAAGATTGACAAGCCGACGCTGGTCCACTGGATGTGCTACAAGAAAACTGAACACTGGTTCCCATTGTGGATTGACCTCAACATGTTTATGCCTATAGGTGTAGACTGCTGGATTGATAACATTAGGTAACACTGAATGACCTTAAATGTCTATGCTCTAGCTGTATTACCTTTCACCTGCAAGCAGCTTGATGACATTTTCCCTTTGCTCTACATGTTTGCTTTACCGCAGGTGACAGCAGATGTTGCTGCTTATCACAACAAAAAATCCTGATCATTGATCAGAAATTGTATTTTGAGTGAATCCCGATTAGGGTCATGTTTATTTCTGTTGGTGATTTCCTTTCAGATTTCAGTGTTACTGTACATAATGAAAGGATTGTGTTACTCTGCTCCTTTAAATCTCACAGTCCCAGTCCAGTCAGACAATACCAGAAAGAACAATTATACTGGAGAGACCAAAATATTTTTGTTCTTTTTCAGATGTTATTAGAATCACATTAGAGAATGTGTTTGCCCAAGTAGATTAACATGAATGTCCATGTGCATGCCTCAGACTTGTTTACAACAAGACGACTCGGCGGTCATCCAACTCAGCAGGGGTGCAGGTGCGAGTTCCAGGATTTGGGCAGACCTATGCCATTGAGTTTCTTGACTATAACAAACTGGCTGGTGAGAGAAATACTACAGTACTGGTAGATTGGGAGTGGGGTGTGATTCTGTCGTATTTTCATGCATTTTCTTGTTGAATGACACAAAAGACTCAGATATCTGCTGTTTTTTGCAGGTTATTTTTACACCATGGTGCAACATCTGGTCAATGTGGGCTACACCCGAAATGAGACAGTCCGAGGGGCACCGTACGATTGGAGATTAGCGCCTAGTAAGTAACATGAATACACATGCACCTTCACATACACTCAAACTTACCCGTGGAAATTTTTATCTTGAGAGAATATGTAAATGAAGGTTTGGCACTTTGCATGTGCTGGCTTTGAAGTAAAAAGTCCATCTGAAAGGAAAAGAAGCCAATTCAGCTTGTCCTTTTTAAATACTAATGTCCTGTGGAGTTGGTATTCTGCCCCCCTTTCTCTATGATGGTACTAATGAGAAACAACAGAATTAGAACACAGGTAGAAAAAAAATCTCATGACAATAGAAATAAATTGTATGATACTCATAAAGCTCAATTCATCAATGTTTTTATATGTTTTTGGCAACTTTGAGGCAGCAGAACAAGCTATAAAAACAACACTGAGTATAAACATGTAAGCAGACAGTTGTTTATATACACACTTTTGGCAAACACAGAGCAATATTAGCATTAATTTAGAGTCGTGTTTGTGGTCACCTGATAAATAATATTCACTCTCTTTCTAACTCTGTTTTGGTCTCCAACAACGCCTGCGAGGAAATATTCAGCCCTTTAGTGGCGAAATGCTCCACTGTGTTCACCAGCTAATATCGTCTGCCCATCCTTAGTGATGGAAAGGTAGTGAAGTAGTGGGTTTATTAGATAACAGTTGCCTTTTGCAAGTGGAAGCGATGTCGATGAGAGTAGTAGAACTGAATCAAAAAAGTAAAGTTGTGGGCTATGAAACCGAAACAGTGAGCTGAAAGAAGCTAAGACGTTCTGTAACCTTAACTATAACGGATAATTCTCTGTAGGTTTGTCACTGAGAGAGAGACCTTCCACGTTACAACTTGTCATCTGCTTTATAAATATAAAAATATTGTTGGTGCAGCTTGTAACAGGAATTAAAATGACTACACGTGATTTAAAAAGGATCATGTATGAAAAACCCACAGCTGATAAAGTCAAATATCTAGAAGCTAAAGACAGCAATATTTTTTTCCCAGGAGTTGGTGGAGACCAAAACAGAAGTAAAAGGAGAGTGAATATTTGACTTACATTTAGGCATGTTCAGGTGGCCAGAAACATTACTCCAAAAAAATGACTCTGCTAGATGCATACATAGGCAGCCATTAGCTCGCATGTTTGCCACACAGTAACAACTTTATAAGGTGCTAGTATGCACTTATTGAAATCCCTGCCTTCATCCTGCAACCCCCCTGTCCTGCCTCCTCCCACAGATGAGAATGCAGAGTATCTCACAATGCTGAAGAACCTGGTTGAGGAGATGTACGAGCAGTACCAGCATCCTGTTTACCTGCTGGGACACAGCATGGGCTGCCACTACGTCCTCTACTTTCTCAACCACCAGCCTCAGGCCTGGAAGGACAAGTACATCAGGGGCTTCATTTCCCTGGGAGCCCCGTGGGGGGGTGCTGTTAAACCACTTAGAGTCCTGGCATCAGGTAATGCAAAGGACTTGAAGTAGAATACAATACAATAGAACAGAATACAATAGAAGAGGCTAGTTAGTGGATCTGCACCTGATGCTGTTAATATAACAAAGAAGTCTTCCCATACACCCTCTGGAACATTAAAACAACCCCCACTTTTGATCGAGTGTTTCCTATTTGATCCATTTAACCAAGCATGATCTGCAAAACTATACATTCATATTTGCACCTGTGCCTGTGATTTATAACCTTCCTGTATTTTTGACTTGCTGCTCACTGCAGGTGAAAATGACGGCATCCCGATGATTTCCAACATCAAGATCCGTGAGGAGCAGAGGATGGCAACAACTAATCCTTGGATGCTGCCATTTCAGGAAGTCTGGCCAAAGGATCACGTATTCGTCTCCACACCGACCTTTAACTACACCAACCAGGATTACAAGCGCTTCTTCAGAGACATCAGTTTTGAGGATGGCTGGTAACTAACAGCTTTGATGTTATTACTCCGCCTTGATTAACAAAGGCTGTTCCATTACCCACCTTAAATTTTAGATGTACCATATTGCTGCGTCAGTCTAAATTATTTGTAGAGTAGTGACTATGTAGCACCAGTGCTGATTTATGATCAGTTTGACCTCATAGCACACAAGAACCTGATTATGTGAATGGCAGCAGATAAGTCTACAGTATACACTAAAATTTTGTGTGTGTTTAGAGCATCTGTGAAGTTATTTTGATGAGTAACATACACAACCTGTTGGTGGCTTATTTGACACTAATGCTGGGAGTTGCTATGGTCAGACATTTTCAAATCCAGCATATAGGCTACAGTGGGGGCCTATTTGTAAGTTTTGCTATCGCTACATAGCCAGCATTAGCATTAACAGCTGTTTACTTACTAGACAAGAAGTGTTGTGGGTTCAGCATCAAACTTCATTTCTTTACCACCTTTATCACCAAGACCTGCCTCCAGTGGTGGAAAACAACACCAATGTTAACTCTTTTCTTCTATTAAAGTTAGCATGCTAATCAGCTAGCCCCAGCTCACTGTAGCGCTGCTCAGTGGGTGTATTATAACCTTTTGTATTATAAGCTTAAGCTCTTGTCAAGTGACAATCACCTGCTCCTGATAAGAAACCACATTCGGTGGCAGAGAAAACTTACAATCAGCCCCTCTAAATCTACAGTAACCAACAATTTTTGGTCTGTGTGTGTTTCAGGTACATGTGGGAGGACACCAAGAACCTCACTGGTGATCTCCACCCACCTGGTGTTGAGTTGTGGTGTATGTATGGAGTTGGTCTTCCCACTCCTATAACTTACATTTATGATGAGGAGTTTCCCAATGTGGACCCAGTGGACTTTGTTTACGCCGATGGGGACGACACAGTGGACAGCTTTAGCATGAGTCTTTGCAAACGTTGGAAAGGGCAGCAGGAGCAGCCTGTTCATGTAACTGAGTACCGAGGTCTGACCCACCTTGATATAGTGTACCACGAAAAGGTGCTCAACCAAATCCAGCATATCCTGGAGGGCAAATCAGACATACCTCAAGAAATTGATGTCAGACCTGGAACTGATTAGAAAACAACAGCATTTAAGAGTTTGACAAAAACAAAAACACATGTAGTACTGGATTTTTAGTCTTTTCAGTCTGTTCATGTGTCATGCAAAAAAACACATTATAAATAGCTCCAACCCCTGTCTTGGCCCAAGTAAGTCCAAACCAATGTGGACTTGCAAGTAACCTAACCCTGACCCCCCAGCCCATAACCATGACCCCTTTATCAAAACTAAATGCTGATGACTTGCAATATGGGTTTGACCCCCATCTTTTTATTTATATTCCCAAGCTGCCTATTTTGTTGTGTCTGCCTTATATTTTATGGTGCTCATGATGAGATATAATATGGTTATTATGGTACACAACATTATCGCAATAATTAAAAACATAGTAATAGGGATTTTTGATGATGTAGTCTGTGTGGTTTTATCACAAATCATTCGGCAACATCAAATCCTGTAACATCTTTAAAAAACAATTCTGGTTTGTTTACTTTTGATGAATGATGATTTAATAATCACATTGTTATTATATTAAAATACACACACGCCCAATGACACATATTTGTCATATAATATCGATAGAGCATGACTGTAAGGAACATATAGGTTATAGGGACCTCACCAGTAGCCTATTATTATTGTGTATGATATAACTGTAATATTTCTGTTAGGATTTATATAGTTACAGACATCCGTAAAAATATTTTCGAGAAATGATCCTCAGTAATTTATAGTAGCTTGTACACGCAGATGAAACCAATGATGTAAAATGATAAGGATATTTTATATTACCGTATAAACATGCCAAGTTTGAATGTTTCCACCTATAATAAAGCATATATGATCACACAAGTCACGTGTCAAGTGATTAGGTCATGTTATAGATCCAATGCAAATGGCAAACTTTATCTGTCCCACTACATCTGAGTCGATAAGTTTAGACTTGATTGCTGAAGTTGCGTTGCCGGGTCGATTACTCTGTGATCTGTTGAGGACCTCGTGATCATCATCTTCTCGTTCACCAATCAGCGTCAACGGTCACGTTGTGGTAAACGATCAGAGGAAGAAAAAAAAAACGAGCAGTGAACCAGTGAAACTCAAACGCAGAGCTACACACACACATACACACACACCCACACACACAAACTCACACACCGAAGATACACATCATGACCATTCGGCTATGAGACATCAGAAGTCATGGCGGGTGGGCACCGGATAATCGCTATCTCTTCGCTGCTCCCAGTCGGTTTGTTATTGTTGCTGTTGTCGGATCGGAGCAGCGGGAAACCGCTGGAGAAATGTCTCGGCGACAAGTCTTGTCAGCCCCCAAGACCTCCCGTTGTCCTCAGTAAGTGTCTTCTGCTGTATTTTACAGTGTTTCTGGGCTTGTTCACCTGGCCATCTGTTGCAGAATAATTGCGCAACTTACTGTCACCTCTCAGTCACAACAACAGCTAGCGACGGTGGGCGATATTCAAAACAGGCCAAACTCTAGTCAAAATACAACCATTTTAATCTGTCATTGCTTGTCGCTAACGTCACACAAAGCTGGAAACAATATGATTAGCTTTTCAAATTACTTCTTAGCTATTCTTCAATTCGGCTTGCGCACATCCATCCAGTCTGTATATAAGTCTATTTATTTTTCACTTTATGAGATGTTTGGCCTGTCGGTCCCATTATCTTCCTCAAATCAAAACATCCAGCGAGTCATCGTTAGGAGAGGCGTGTACCAGGATGTACTTGATCTGTGTTTGGAAAAAATGCAATTTTTGAGTATTGTGTTTATGTTGTATCGAAAACGGGTTTCCAACGACTCCGAAAAATACTTAGTCATCGTTTGTCGATGATTGAATTTGGCTTTCAGGGAAGGCGTCCTTACATCACTATATTCGTGAACGGAGTTCGGCTGGAAGTGAGTCAGGAGGATCATCACAAACAGAGAACAGTTATTACCGATTGCGTTAATACACAATTGTTAAATAGAGTGCACATTTAACCGCTGTGTCTATAGACATGTTACTAGTTGTTCTTGTATTGAATTAAAGCTGTTCGTGTGTGTGTGTGTGAGGGGGATTGTTTACAGTCGGAGTAGTCCTCTGGTCATATGACTGAGCTGGAAGAGAGACTGACTTTCCAGCACTGCAGCCAGTTCAGTTCTCAGGATACTGGGGAAGTCTCTGTTTAACCTTCCCTGGACTCTGTTTGACCTTGCAACAAAGTGTGTAACTTTTTATGTAAATTGCAATTCACAATCCAAGTTAAGAGTTACAACATAACATATATTGCCATTTTAAACGGGTCTTGGTTTCAGAGTAATTTTATCTGTGTTTGGACAAGGTCCAACCACAGCTCTGTCTGAGTGTGTGATAAGCGTCTGTGTAACTACTTGATCCACAGTGCCCTACTGATGTTTGTTTGTGCTTGTGGTTAAACAGCCAGTGTGTCCATGAAGGTACCATGCAATTTATCTCACCACATTATACAGTCATTCCCTACTAATTCTAACCAGTTCCCGACCTTCAACCCTACAACAATGTACAATAAGTATTTTAGAGTGGGACATGAAGCTAAACAAATAGCTTAAAAAGGCGAAACACTGACCATTTATTCAGAATTCATGTGAATGCACCACATTCAGAGAGATAGTTTCCATATTGTATATGCGAATCTGAATCATACTGACTCATTCACAGTTCAAATTTAGACTTAATAGTGAACCAATTTTAATTTTGAAAGTGTTCACTCAATAAACACTTTAAAGTATCAGTACAAATTAAGTTTCAGTCAATTAAGTATTCATTTATTTACCTATACCTTTTTAAAGTAGCATTCTGACATGTCTTTGTGTGTGACAGGGCCCCGAATAGTCAAATGACTTGTTCATGTCCAAAAATGCTGTTCAGAAGTTATTATATAAAAATAAATGGTCAAATTTATTTTGGTTTTTACTTGGAAACTTCAGGAATGCACGTTAATGTCGGCACACTAACATGATCACAACGGCAGCGTTAACATGCTGATTTTAAGTAGGTTTGATGTTTACTATGTTCACCATGTTCAACGCGTTTGCTGACATTCTCTAATTAGCAAAAACACAAAGTACAGCTGAGGCTGATGGGAATGTGGTGAGATTTGCAGGTATTTAGTCATAAACTAAAGTATTGCAGAAAGTGAGATTTTGACCTTATGGTGAAGATGAAAGACTCACCGGAAGTATTACATTTCTTCCCGGAGGGGCATCTTATGGTAATTGAAGTCATTAGGATTCATCTTTTGGATCCTGTTAATAGCCCAGAAGCCTATTAAAGACCATTATTGTTCATCAATTTTTTATAACTGTTTACAATAGAAATGTTGTATCAGAGTGACTTTGCAGTAACTCTGAGCTCACATTACTCGTTGCAGTTCCTGGGGATCTGGGGAACCAGTTGGAGGCGAAGCTGGATAAACCCAGTGTTGTCCATTACATCTGCTATAAGAAGACTGACTCCTTCTTCACTCTGTGGCTCAACCTGGAGCTGCTGGTCCCTGTAGCCATCGACTGTTGGATAGACAACATAAGGTATGACGTGGGTGTCCCTGTGTGGGTCTTTCTGTTTGAATACAGTTATCAACGAAGGACGGTTTGTCGGTTCCTGATGAATTTCTCCATCTCACCGTTTTTCCAGTTGTATGGCATTATAACAGGGAGATTCTTTTAAATGTTGAAAAACACATCTTTTTGATATTTTATAATGACTTATAATGTGATGGTAAGTGTGGTGTTTTTCTGTGGTGGCCAAATAGGATACATATTTTCCCTTTGCTGTTTTTGTGGAGTTAGATTTTTGTGAAAACATGGCATGGTGCAAACTCCAAATTTCAATAGGGAGTAGGTAGATGGGTTCAATGACCTGGTTGACTTTCCGTGAATCAACCTACACTGGATAAACTGACCTTTGAACCCTCCGTTTATCAACGAGGAATGTATGGAAACAGAGGGTGAGATAGAATTCCTTTAATCTCTCCATCAGCTATCAACTAACAGTGATCCTGTGTTTTTAGCCATTCAACATAATTAATATTTTACTGGAACAAAATCCTGTTTTCAGAAAATATATATTGTATTTTTTTAAATCAATTTAGAGACGAGAACTGTGAACTACAATATCTTAAAGAAATGAGAACTTTGTCATGATGCAATTAAATAGGTGGAGGGTTGATGTGTTTAGTCTTGAACAAAGTTATCTTAACTATTGGTGTGCTCTTGTTTTGAAATGAAAGCAACAGTAGAGTAGATAGAGGAAAACAATGATCAGCACTCAAATAACTGGCTGATCATATGCTTGTACTTTCTTGGTTGGCATGGCAATCACAACAAACAGTACATTTTTACTGAAGCTGCACAAAAGTTAATTTAAAGCTGACTAACCGGCTTAAATATATTCTAATCTGCAACAAAAATTGTGTCTATTTTGTTGTATATTTTGTTATGTGTAAGTAAAAGTTACACATTATTGTGAATATTGTAAAATTGAAACAATTACATATAGATCTTGACAATTCTTCAACAACCTACACATTATATTAGCTAACATTAGCTCTCAGAAGCTAGTGGTCATACCAGACCAAGTAAGACTGTAGCAGCGAAACCTCTGAATTTATTGAATAAAGCCTCTTATTGTTAATGAAATCAAATTCAGGTTAGCATCAAATCATTAGCAATCAGATCAAGCTAACGTAAGATTTCACCTATGAAGAACAAATCCACGCTTAAATCCATGTACATGAAATTACCTAGAACCGTGACAACTTGAATGACTGGCTAAATACAAAAAGTTGGTGAGACATGAGAGTCATGCTACAGGTTTGTGCATGTTTAGATGCATCACACTAAATGGATACAGTAAAGGTTTCACTGTCTGAGTCACTGGTTGGCAGCTTTAGTGAAATAACTTCAATACATTTTGGTAAAGGTGAATTTATTTTAAACTCTCATGGGTAAAGAAAATTTCTAATGCTGATTACTATTTGTACTATTTTGAGAAATAATCAAACCCAGTTTGAGTGTTTCTCTAGCAATCATAGATGTTTTGCTCTTCAAAAGTGTCCAAAAAAAAAAATTTAAATGTAAATGTTCACTTCTGCTTGCCAAACCCAGATGTCCTTTCTCACATCTGCTGTGAATAACAAAACAGGAAGTGTTTCTGTTGCCTTGTAGTAAGATCTATTTCTGAGTGTTTGTGGAGAACCAATAGTGATCTCCTTGTGACAATTTGTGAATGTGTGTGTGTGTGCAGATTGATCTACAACAGGACGACACACACCACCTCGTCCCCTCCGGGGGTGGATATTCGTATCCCGGGGTTCGGACAGACGTATTCACTGGAGTATCTGGACCCCAGCAAACGCAGTGTGGGTGAGTTGAAGGCACAAAACCAAACAGTCCCATAGAGAGGTGAGAACTTCCAAAAATACCCTCTCGCATAACGTCTAAATGTGTTCTCACAAACGTACACAAGGACGTTCATGTTTTGGGGAATAGGCTGAAATGTGTGATGCTTAATGTTTTTTTTTCGTTTGTGTGTGTGTCTCCTAGGCATGTATTTCTTTACCATAGTGCAATCACTGGTAGACTGGGGCTACACCAGAGATGACGATGTCAGAGGTGCTCCTTACGATTGGAGGAAAGCCCCGAGTAAGCAAACACACACAAACACACTCGGAGAACTGCTGGAATTTAGCCCTGATTAACATCTCCTCCCTTGGTCTTAACCCCTAACCCATGAATGATGAACCCTCACCTGTAAAACCTAAAATACTTTGTCTGGTTCATGTAGCTGCTCCTCACTAGACCAGGAGGTATATACAGCAATTTCACCCATCAGGCCACATTTTTCAACTGGTGTGCTGCTGTTAGAGCTTTTCTGTCCAAACCAGGGACCAATCGAATGTTAGGACTTGGAAGCGCTCCGCCCTAATGTTGGAAATGCAGAGAATTTCATTTGTTTACTCATCTCCTCTGTCGTTCTTTCTCGCTCTTCCAGATGAGAATAAAGTGTACTTCCTGGCGCTCCAGCAGATGATTGAAGAGATGGCAGAGAAAGCTGGCGGGCCTGTGGTGCTCATCGCTCACAGTATGGGCAACATGTACACCTTGTACTTCCTCAACCAGCAGCCTCAAGCCTGGAAAGACAAATACATCAAAGCTTTCATCTGTCTGGGACCACCGTGGGCCGGGGTGGCCAAGACCCTCCGCGTGATCATCTCTGGTAAGAGATAGAACCAATTCTACGGAAACAGTACTACTCTGCATATGTTGTGGCTCTGACTGTGTTGGGTTGTACGTTAAGACTACATCATAACTTCTCTTACAAAGAATAAATAATCTAAAATACATTTTTCTGAATTGTTACAACAAAAAAACAGTCAAGCATGAACCTACATATCTGCAGAAGTATAGTAAATAAGCATTCACAGGGTCTCTCTTGCATCAATGGTCTCTGTGTTACACCATAAAGAGACTTACTAAATGCCTCACACCCTAAGCAGACATGGATTCAAGAGTAAAAGAGATGATATGGAAGTATGGCCAACATACTGTATGTCACACTTTTTAAAATGCTGTTTAATTATGATGTGAGCTGACGCACCATATCTTCAAAGGCAAAATGTTGCACCAATCACCTTTTGCTTGATGACCCAAAAAGAAACGTCAGTTAGGTTAGCATCATCTGCTTGTTCCCTCTCATTGTATGATAGCGCTGACCCTGAAACACACTGTCAATTTACACATGACTTTACACACAAAATTAGTGATTATATTTACATTTAGCTCTCGCAACCCAATCCAGAAGCGTTACCTGTGAAGTTGTCATCTGTGAAGCCATCTTAGTCAGACACCAAAGGAGGAAGTTGCCAAATACATCTCTAATTGAAGCAATTGAAGCCTGTGTAATAATCCCCGGTAATATAAAGTAGCTGTTCTCATCCAACATTTGTTCCTTTACTAGATTAGTTCATAGTTGCTAAGAACAAATTGCATAAAGGAGAGTTGCATCAGATTGTGTATGTTGGTAACTGTTGCCTTGCAGAATCAAATAATGATATACTCAGGGTTAAACGATACTGTGCAACACATTATACTGTATGTTTACGTGCCATGTTTTTCAGGTACAGTCCGGACACCAAGTTTTTGGACAGTTTCACATTTTTTGTTCATCAGGCTCATTCAGTTTGAAATAAAATAATGAACACATACATTTAAGTGCCAAGTCGCAGTTTTAGTTTTCAGTAGGTTTACCTCAACTGTACGTCTCTCAGGACATGAGAAGTGTTTTTTTTTTTTAATCACGTAATGAAACTGTTGGGTTTTTAGGTCCTGGTCTAGAAATCCTTTTTCCAGTTTCACTTCTCTGTCACTGGTTTCTTTTCTCGTCCTACAGGTGACAATAACCGCATCCCAGTCATTAGCCCGTTGAAGATTCGCTCCCAGCAACGCTCTGCTGTCTCCACCTCCTGGCTGCTCCCCTATGCCCACTCTTGGCCCAAAGATGAGGTGTGTGTGTGTGTGTGTGTGTGTGTGTGTGTGTGTGTGTGTGTGTGTGTGTGTGTGTGTTCATGTACGTTGGTACACATGCATTCATCAGTAAATGTCTAGCGGACTCAACTGTCATTACCCTTGTTTCCAGCTGCAGCGGGCAGCACCAACATCCCACTGTATGCTACTGCTAGCTAAGCAACTAGCGGGTGAACCTTTAGCATTTTGTATTTAGCAGCTAAAGATCCAGATATTTTCTTCAAGAGTTGGTCGAGACCAAAAACAGAGCTAAAAAGAAAGTGACTATTGGATATAAGTACACAAAAACACAACTTAAAATGAATGCTAATGCAACTGTTTGTTAGCGTGTTAGCCAAAACAACTTTAAACAACAACCTTTTAAATAGTTACTAAATAAGTCTCTCCACATGATGCACTGTTTTACTATTTAAGATAAAAATGTAATAGTGTGAACAAAACTTATTAATTTTTGGCCCTCCACCTTAAGGTCCTGGTGCAGACACCCACCGCCAACTACACTCTGCAGGACTACAAGCGGCTCTACTCGGACATTGGTTTTGAGGATGGCTGGCAGATGCGGCAGGACACGGAGCCACTGGTAACCGACCTCACACCCCCCGGCGTCGCCGTCCACTGCTTATATGGCAGCGGCGTCGAAACATCTGAGGCCTTCCAGTACTCTGACAAATTCCCCGACGTGGAGCCCACGGTGGTGTTTGGCGACGGGGACGGGACAGTGAACCTGCGGAGCGCCATCCAGTGTAAGCGGTGGGTAGGAAAGCAGAAACAGCCTGTGATGTTAAAAGAGCTTCCAGGGAACGAACACGTGAACATGTTGCTGAACATGACGACTGTGGCTTACATCAAGACCGTGCTGTTCTCACCCTGATGCCGGCAGGGAGACCGCTTTACTCACAATCGCTGTAATATTTAAACTCTACACAGTCACACTCACAGCCATAGAAGGACAGACAGGAACTAACTCATGTTGTCTGTCTCTCTGAACATCGACTGCCAAAGTATTCCCTTGTACATGCCACACTGCTCCAGAAAAAATGTTGTAGTTTTGTAGGGTAATATTGCAGAATCGAAGTTTTAAATTAATTTTATAGCTGTAATTATACAATTTATGTTAATGTCAGGTTGTTTACTGTTGAAAAGCCTAAATATGATGACTTTTATATTGGTCTCAGATTTGAAAGAGCTCAAGATTTTACCTACTAAATCCATGTTATGATAAAAAAAGACATGTGAAAAACCAGGGATAAACTGTATGTGCCACTCTCTGAGATGTGGAAGTCAGAGCTTTTATCAGTGTTGTGAAAGAGATTTCTGAACTCCTTTTGACTTTGATGTTAGGATTAATGGTCAAGCACATATTTTATTTGCATCTTTCCTAGTGCAACACATCATGTGTCAGTCTTTGTTTTTATATATATATATATATACACACACACACACAAACACACGTATTTGATATATATATTATATATTTGATTAGTTAACAAATCTTAGACTTTTACCAAAAACAACTTGATTAATTTTTTTGTCATTTGAATCATTTGTTGATTTTTTTTTTTCTTTTAAATATGTTTTGCATGCAGCCAAGCTGTAAGTCCTTGATGGTCCAACTTTGTTGTTTTTATTGTGTTGTCCATGTTACATGAGTCGTGTGGTGAAGGACTGGAACCATATGTGGAAGTTGATTTTAGTCACTCAAGGTCAAACAACAAGATTTTTCAAGTTATAGACAAAAAAACATCTTCACTTGAAGTCCACTTGCTGTCATTTTCTTGAGCTTTCAACTGCATCTCACAGCCTTAATCAATGAAAGGAGTGGGCTCCATTCATTGAACTTGTTCTGTGTAATGATGAAGACCATAAAAAAATGCAGTTGAAAGCTCCAGGAAAAGCTAACAAGTGGACTTTGAAAGACTTGAAAAATCTGCTTTGACTCAACAGTAAAACAAAATGACATTTTAAAAGTTAGACAAAAAAAATCTGAACTATGGGTCCACTTACTTTTTCAAAAAACTTTCAACTGCTTCTCATGGTCTTCATCAATAAATAAAGTTTTGATCAGTTGTTGTGGAGGTTAGCCCAGTTGTCCTCACATGACCTATGGATGGAACTTGAGTCTGAACTTCAGACCGTAGTTTCGTAGTTAGGTCGCATGATGACAACTGTATCTGCTGATGAAGATCATGAGATGTGGGTGAAAGCACCAGAAAAGTGGACCTTGAGTTTGTTTTGTTTTGTTTTTTGTCAAACTTTCTAGGTGGCTGTATGAAAATGTTTTTCTAATTTGGCAAAAAAAAAAAAAAAAAAAAAAAAAGCCAAATGATAGTGAGAAGTGTTTTGTTTTTTTGCAGCTTGTGGTTTAACATTCATGCATTATTCAAGTTCTTTTACTTCAACCTGGCCAGCATGCACTCCTGCTTTACCTCTGTCCATACATCACAAAGGAACGGCTGTTTCTCCTTATACTTCATGTTCTATAAAGTATATTTTAATGGTTCTGCACAGATGTTTTGACAAGTTTAGTATGAACCAGGTGCCTGGAGAGGCTGGATTTACACAGGCACCAATGATGGGACTTTTATTACTTTATGGAACAAATCAGATCTTTTTCTTGTATGTTTTATTATTTGTTATTTCCTCTCGTTTGGATCCGAAAATGTCAGACTGATGTTATATAGAGTTTATATCGTGACTCCCTGTCCTTGTTGAGAGGCAGCCAGAATCTCTCTGACTTGGGTGATCGTACTGTACCATCCAGCCCTGACTGGGGAAGACCAAGATGATATACTCCAAGTGTCATATCTGCTGTGAACTATTTTAGGATTGTGTGTCATAAACATGTGTTGCCTTCAACAGAGTAAAACATGTCAAATATTACATTCAGCCACTGACATTTCTTTGTGGAGTAAATCCCTTTAACCGCATTCAACAGATTAATGTTTTTGTTCTTCCGGACAGGGCAGTTGTTCTCTGGACAAGCACAGGACAGAAATCGTTTTAACTGTGCTGTAAGTGATGACAAATCGCTTCCTCAAATCGCTCTGTTTACTTGTCAATGAGGTAAATGGCAAGATATGACGGAACCACTCGTTGAGATTACATTACTGATTAAGTCCACAACTTCCTTTCTTTGAAGCCTTCGCATGTCGCCCCCCTCACATGTGCAGCTTCTCTCGAATCAAAGCTTGTTTCAGTCACACTTCACCCCTCTGAACTCTAAACACAACTTGTTGTATCTTATTGTCCAAAGCAAAAGTAAGTATAAAATGAGTAGCAACTTTATTTATATTCAGTATTAAAATAGTGAGAAACGAAAAAAAAATACAATAACATTTTTTTAAACCCTGATTGTCTTTGTCGGGGCAGGACATGTTACATATGTCTCAGCAGTTATTAAAGGGGATTCCCTGTGTGATGACAGCTGATGTGTTACTGTCCTCTTTATGGTCAAAATGTGAGTAACAGTTGTAATGTATGAGGTGAGTCCTTCCCCTGGCTTTGCAATGTGGTTCATGACCTGACATGAGATGTTTCAGTTCTGTCTGGTTTTAGGTTTCCAGGGGGAAGCGGAAAGTTTTGTTCCCTGTCCGGCAGCGCAGCTCCACGCCATCCAGCCTCAGACGAAATGGCCCCTCTTCATGTTCATCAACCACACGCTTAATAATTAAAATAATTAGACACATAAGAACAGTGATCAGTTGGTAAATCATCATGAATTTTGAGGCCAATAGGGATATTTGAATTTTAAAAGACTTACTGACATATTGGCATTATTCCATTTTTAGCATAAACACTCATTTTTAATAAAGATGAATTATATCTATATATAAGATATATACTGATCGGGACATTTTACCAAAAAAAAAAACAAAAACTTGTCAGTCTCCTTGGTGGACATAAGGACCAGAAGAGCGACATGTTTGTGCGATAAGCTAATACTTGTCGATATATTGGCCTGCCGATCAATCGATCTGTCTGGCTCCAAACAAACATAGGCACCTTAAAATGGACTGAATTGTAGTACACCCTTAGATTTTGAAATTAGGAAAAAACATATTATTTAAAGGGAAGGATGGACACACAGTGACATCAGTGTTGAGGATGGACTGAAACGAGAGATCTCAGTACCTGCAGCTCCTGAAGGCATCCCTTCATCTGCGCTGTCAGGTCTCCAACACACCAGGCGAGACTCACATGGAAAGATGGTTCCTAGACGATACATCAGAGGGAAGATTGCGGGGTTAAGACATGAATGTGCACTCCTCCAGATTCTTTTGGATGATTTGTTCACATTCCTAAGACATGATAATGACGTCACATCATTAAATGGCTGATTATTCTGCAGATTCACTGTAGTTATCCAGGTAGCAACGCTTCCAACACACAAACTTTTTTTTTTTTTTTTTGGCAACAGAGCTCAGAGGAGAAAATCCATTTGTTGATCAGAGACCTTGTAGAAAGTTTCGAGGCGAAACTCCATCATCGTTCTGTCCACAACTTGGACCAGGTCCAACAACTGAGCATGCCCAGTGTACACTTCCATACCCAAGAACGTCCTGCAGGGGACAAACAGACAGCAAACACAAACAGGCCGTCAGAGCATGACGAACTGGTGCTCAGGGGAAATGAAAACAGAATCATAAGGACAGCAGACAAGTCAGACACATAAAAACAGGTCAAGAAAAAGAGAAAATGAAAAGCTTGGACTTTACCTCGTCCCCTCAGCGTTACAATAGACCTTTAGTTTCCCTGCTGAGCACACAAACCTGGCAACAAGAAACAAGAAACAGGAGGTTTCAGCTAGAATTAAAATTTCCCTAAGTCTATGTCCTCGGCCACCGTCCTATTTTAAATTGACAACGGGCCATGAGTAGAAAAACTAACCGTTTGCAGTGTGCCAAGTCTGCCCTGAGGCTCTGTGTAAAGGGCTGAATCCAGTGGTGTCTCAGCACCACCGTCTGAGACAGGCTGAGGTGGAACTCCTCCTGTGGGGTCAAATCCACACCATGAGCCCTCGCAGCTGAGAGCAGCTCCTCCAGCAACTCCCTGAACTCCTCCTCAGGGTGGTCTGATGTGGAGAGGAGACAGAGAGAAAACATGTACATAAGAAACCAGATGGGAGTACTCAGGATGCAACTTTGGTTGATGATCTAGTGGTCAAGTCTTACATGGCAAATAAACGTAAGTGGCCCAGTTTCCTCTCTCGTGCTTGAAAGAGCGGACACGTCCACCGTGAAGAGAGCTGTCTTCAGTCTGTGTGTCCACTTCGTCCGGAAACATGGCCAGCAGGCAACCAGGGAGAGGCAGCCTGCAGGACACACAGCCAATGTCATTCAATATGTCTTCAGTTTCATTTAAAGACTCACATCTTACACTACAATTAAGAAACAATTAAGGTTAATAAATTACATTGAAAGGTTAACGTGAAATCTATCAAACAGTTTTCCGAAGCCATCTTGTTCATGTGTTAAAATTTGAGAAACAGGAAGCGGTAGTAAGTGAAGTTGCAATAGACTCATCTGAGTGTTTACCATTTTAAACATATTTTTTCACATTCAGGTTAAGAAACTTCATGGTATCAAGCAGCTGTACAACAATAAAGTGTCTTGAAACAATATTTAATCACATAATCAAAGTTTTTATGTGGGAAGCTAATAAAATCTTATCATGTATAAAATTATTTATGTTCTGGCTCAGTTACTCTGGCTGCAGCCATGTTTAATTGTTCAATAACTTCTCTTAAAACTTCCTTTGGCCAGATGGCTTTCTAACCACAGGAGACCAATAGATGAAGGTGCTCACTGGTGATGAGTTTTCTTTTATTATGAATCATTTTGCATTTGTTTAGGTAGGTAGGTAAGTAAGTTACTTTATTTATACCCGTAGGTAAATTCTGTTCACAGTAAAAGAGTCATCTGTCCTACAGACGCACATCCAACACACAGCACAGAGAACACCACGTGCACAGGGCAAATGTAATAATAATAATAAATAAATAAATAAACTAAAACATTGCTGCTGGAACAAAGCTCTCTCTATATTGTTTTGTTCTGCACTTTAGGACTATGAACCTTCGTCCAGGAGGAAGAAGCTTAAATTCAACATTAAAAAGTAATCATTTATCGACTATCGGCTATCCGCTGTAACTGTCTCGTGTACACGGATGTTGGGTTAAGCTGTGACTCACCAATCAGCTGACTGGACCTTGTTTATCTATTTCTTTGTGTTTTCTAACCTGTATATGAAGCCCATCTTGGGACAAACTTTGCAAATGAACTTCAACATGCTTTGGACGGTTCAGTGAATACTCTGAGCTGTGTGTCTGTATCAGTTATGATGAAGATGCTCTTCATTTCACAGTGAACTGTAATATCTGCTACCACACATCCCTAGTTACACACAAACACACACCTTGTTTTAATATCCTGTTCTTCAGTTTTGGGTTTCTTCCTCACTGGGCAGAGATCGTTATCATCATCTTCCTCTTGACACTTTCGGGAGCAACTGTTTAGACCAGCCGCCGCCTCGCTGTCCTCCTCCTCCGAGCTGCTGCTGTAGCCAACCAACATCCTCCAGTCAGCGAAGAGTCACATCAGACTTTCATTAAACATGTAAACTATCTAAAAGACCCAAAGGAAGTGACATAGTTATTAAAATGTAGGGGAAAGTGACATGTTAGCTTGAATTCACACGATCAGCCGGTGTGTGTTCCGCACTGCCCCGCGCTTCCGATGTAAACAACCTGTTGTGATGGTAATATAGTTCCCAGTGAAACACAGTCAGTACCGCTAATCGGTTCCGGCTTTAGAGGTTTGCTAAAATATTTGTACCGCGCTTGACCATGTTTTTTTATATACTGTGATGAAAAGATATTTTAGTTTGTCAAAAATCAATTTATGCCATGACAACATCTACATTTAAAATGAGTTTTAGCTGAAACTGTAAGATATCATTGTTTTTAATCAGTTAATCAATTTCACTAATACATTTTATGTTTCTCCCAGAAATAAATGTGGTACATGAAAACACTTTTGCAAGATTGTCACATTAAATCCATCAGACACAATGTTCCGTGTGTGTGTGTGTGTGTGTGTGTGTGTGTGTGTGTGTGTGTGTGTGTCTCTGTGTGTGTGTGTTGTGAGCATGCCAATTAACTCTTGGTTTATTCATGTTCCCGTGCGCGGGCAGGGGCTCAGAAGCTAGCCGATAGCTAGCTAGCAATTTAGAACAAAATGCGTATCTTTTCGCCAGACGCAGGGATGCCTTAGGAGTCATATAAATGTACGTGTGAAACGAGACCGTTTATGGGGAGATTTGGGAAACCGTGGGAGATTTTTCGCCCATTTTAATGACCCGCAAAGCCCAGTTTTTTCGGCCCCTGGAGCCACAGCGCTCGAACAAGAGAGCACCCGAGCACCGTTTGCGGATGTAAAGGGGGGACCTAACGTTATATGGGGGAGTAGCTAACCCTACGATACACTGGCATCTTATCGGGAACACTCAGCGGGCTTGACCGGACGCACCAGGTATGTAAATGCAGACTTTCTCGTCGCTGTTTACACGCACCACTCGCTAACAAACGTGTCGCTGCTGCGGCTGCTACCTGGCTATTATTTTCCCGTGGCTAGCCCACTAACGTTAACACTAGCTCCCTCCTGCGCCTCTGTGGCTGCGTTAGCAAGATGCTAGGCTAGCTAGCTAACCTATCCTGATTACAGTGATCTTTGCTTGGAGACGAAAAACGTTATGATGCGCAGACGCTGCCTTCCACTTTTTTTTTTTAACCGCGAATCGTTGGGCATTTGGATTTCTGCATAGAAAGGGGTGGAACTACATAACCAATAGAATAGAGATTTAAATTAATCATTTAGCATTAATCGTTGATGTCCAAGTGTATATGTTAATGAGTGCTCACTTGCTGTGTGTTTCTGTGTTCACGGATGTTGCACGTCTCCAAGTAGCCCGTTGTTTATACTTAGATTTTATTGAATCAGGATGCTATAAGCGATGTCAACACAAAGTGCAAACCATCGTAAGCCATCCTTGTGTATATGACTCCATAATAAGCACAACTGATAAAAACTTTCTTACTATTTCCTCCTCTGTAAGAGTGGCCGTTGAGAGGGAATGAAAAATCGGCTCTTGATATTTTATTATGGAGGCTGTCTACATAGCCTGACACCTAACATTGTAACATGCGGTACAATATTACAAATCTACTACTTAATGTCTCTGTTTCAGCTGAGTTTACACATACTAGTCACAAGTTGTGCAGACTGGCCGCTAAAGCTGATGTAGCAAGGTTTCAAAAGCAAAAAAAGCAAGTTTTTTTTTTTAAAGTGTTTTGCTGCACAGGTTTTCTTTTTCAACCAGGATGTAGTCTGTCAGATCAGTGGATGTTGGAGATGCAACATAACCCTGGAGTCCATGGCTTAAACTTAAAAGACATTTGTTATTGTATAATGTCTTTGTGCATATTGATATTTAAACTGACTTTGAATCTCTTTTTAATACAGATAACACCTGAAGGCCGAAGACTAAGTGAAAGTATGGGGTTTTCTTAGATCTCTCCACACTTGTCTGCTCTCCGCACAGCTGTTCTCTTCTGCACTTCGGTGTTCCTGTCATCAAATCCTCTGTCACGGCCCCTTCACCAAGCACCCTCTCCAGTTCTTCAGTGCCACTTGCTGAGATGGAGTGAGTTTTTTTTTCTGTCCTGTTTTCTTAATACACTCTGAAGAGTTTAGCCCATTATTTATTTATGTGCCAATCTCCCTTTCTCACTACAGTTGGGCCACACCAGCTGCCAAACTGAATCCCTACACCCGAGCCCGCATGACAGAGGCCTGGCAGCAGCATGCTGTCGCTCCACCTCCAGTCGTCCACACCATCCCTCCAGGAGCTGAGAACGCATTGGGCTGTGCCGTTTATGGTATCGTACTGCAGCCTGATGCCACGTCCCTACAGCAGCAACAGACCCAGCATGGTCAGCACAGCCAACACAGCCAGCAACACAGCGGGGGTCAGCAGCATGGAGGCGGGCAGCATGGTCAGCAGCAGCACACCACCCAGGCTCAACAGACCTCCCTACAGGTGGGGACAGAGGGAGGACACAAGTGTGGGGCCTGTGGACATGATATCTCCCACCTGGCTAACCCACATGAGCACCAGTGCATGGTGAGTCAGGACAGGTCATTCCAGTGCACCCAGTGCATGAAGATTTTCCATCAGGCCACAGACTTGCTAGAACACCAGTGTGTTCAGGTGGAGCAAAAGCCATTTGTGTGTGGGGTGTGTAAGATGGGATTCTCCCTACTCACTTCTTTAGCCCAGCACCACACATCCCACAACAGCACCAACCCCATGAAGTGTTCAATATGCGAGAAGACCTACCGACCTGGTTCCTCTGGCAACGCCACACCAAACTCAAACAATCCCCAGCAGCCCAGCAGTGATGGGGCATCCGCCAGCAGCAGCTCATCCATTCTTCCTTTTCCCTCGGCCAGAGACCGGCCGTACAAATGCTCTGTTTGCCAGAAGGGCTTCAAACACCTGTCAGAACTCACACGGCACGAGAGGGTGCACACAGGAGAGAAGCCCTTCAAATGTGACACGTGTGACAAGGCCTTCAGCCAGTCATCACATCTACAGCACCATCAGCGAACACACAGCAACGAGCGCCCGTTCAAGTGTGCAGTTTGTGAAAAGAGTTTTAAGCACCGCTCCCACCTAGTGCGCCACATGTACGTGCACTCGGGTGAGCACCTGTTCAAATGCAACTTATGTGAGCTGCACTTCAAAGAGTCGTCAGAGCTCCTTCACCACCCCTGCCACCCGCAGGGTTCCCGCCCATTTCGCTGTGCCACATGCGGTAAGGGTTTCAAACGGCCATCCGACCTTCGCCAGCATGAGCGCACGCACTCTGAGGAGCGTCCCTTCCACTGTGATGAGTGTCAGATGAGCTTCAAACAGCAGTATGCACTTGTGCGCCACAGACGCACACACAAAGACCCTACTGACCGGCCGTTCAAATGCAATCTGTGCGACAAGGGTTTCATGCAGCCCTCTCACCTCCTCTACCACCAGCACGTCCACGGCATGGACAACCTGTTCAAGTGCGCTTCATGCCAGAAGGAGTTCAGCCAGTCAGGAGAGCTGCTCAGACACAAATGTGGCGAGTCGTCCAACACCTCACCAGACAAGCCGTATAAGTGTGACGTTTGTGGCAAGGGCTACAAGAAGAGCTCCACGTTACAGCGTCATCAAAACTCTCACTGCCAAGAGAAGCCGCTCAAATGCTCGCTCTGTGACCGGCGCTTCCTGTCCTCTTCGGAGTTTGTACAGCACCGCTGCGACCCGTCCCGGGAAAAGCCGCTCAAGTGCCCGGACTGCGAGAAACGTTTCAAATACTCATCAGACCTGAACCGGCACCGCCGCGTTCATACAGGGGAGAAACCGTATAAATGTGGCCACTGCAACAAGGGCTTCAAACAGCGCGAGCACCTGACAAAACACCAGAGCACACACTCCAGAGAGGGCCAGTTCAAGTGTGTTTGGTGTGGAGAGCGTTTCAGTGACTTGGGCTCTTTGCAGGATCATACGGTGCAGCACACGGCGGATGGAGGGGGTTACCCTGTGCCTCAGTGCATATAGATCCCTGGAGACTTTTTTCCCCCTGAACAGACAGTTCCCTAAACTCCCTGTCCTCTTGTCTAAACCTTGTAGGCTATTTATTCAGCCTAACATTCATCACATTTTCAGGACAGCCTAAAGCTATTACTATGGCATTGATTTCCACCAGTGCTATATCAGGTCTTTGTTGCTCTAGTATCCTGACATTACATTACCCCCAACCCTGTTATTCCATGAAATCCTGAGGAGCACTTTTTTTTTCTCTCTTCCTTCTTGAACCTATTCCCTCCGCCTCTTCTTTTTCCAACCCCACACTCAGACAGTTGATAGCAGTGAAGAGGCCGCAACCACTTAACTCCCATCAGTCTTACTCTCTGCCAACCAAGTCCGACTGACTGTTGCGGACAGAAACAGGTGCCATAATTCAGGTTGATCTAACAAATACTTAAATCGCTCCTAATTTCCTCCCTTCAGAGAAGGATAAATTGTCTTGACAAAATCATACAGCCATTGTTTTTTTTATATTTTGGCAGTGAGTATATTGTAAAGAGTATTGAATGAATCAGTAGAGTCGAGTCTCCATCTAAACTAATCTGGCCAGAAACTGTTTTAACTGTTTGAGTATAGGGGTTCATTCTCTTGCTTTTGTTTTTCTTTCACCGTCTCTCCCTTTCTTTCTACAGTCGCTCCTCCCTCCCTCTCCTCAGTTTCTCCCTCCATCAGTTTTCCTCTTTTGCTTCTTGTCTCAGCCTGTCGCCGTTTAGTATCAAAGACTGGAAAGTTTGACTAACCCCCTCAGACGCACATGCACTCACATTCATTTGTCTTTGGTCAGGTGAAGGATGACTGAGAACGCTTTTGGTTTTTCATTTTCCCGCAGTAGAACAGAAACGGTCCCGACCAAACACCCCCGCTTCCTCATCTCTGGGTTTTAAAGTTTTTTACACTTCGTATTTATGAAGTAGCCACTAATGTCCTCAACATATGTGAAAGAGAAACAGTATGGGGCTTAGTTTGGGGATTTATTGTCCTGTAGTGAAATAATTCTGATGATAAAATGTCTGTGAGTGTATGTGTGGGCCGTGATTTTTATTTTATTTTTTATGGCTATTCCTGCTTCTACCAAAACACCAGTACTGAAGCAGCACCTGATCCCGGTGCTGTGTAGACTAACCACCCAGCTGAAATTAACTCCCAATTAAACCCCTAATGGTTGATACCGATCTCACCCTCCAGTATAGACGTATATAGAAATATATATTTCACACTAATATACTTGTCATATTCCTGCAGAGGTTCAGTGCTGTTAGACTAATATGTACTGAAAGTGATCATTACACTTCCTCTCTCAGCCTGTACATACTATGGATGTGTGAGTGTACTTAGCCAGATGAGTTGGAAATGTCAGAACTTGTATTTCTTAAGAAAAAAAACAAAAAACAACAAAAAAACAAAGTATTGAAGAACTGTTTTTGTATTCTTGCTACTTTTTACCATGTGAAATGTTTTGACAATTGCTCTTTTGTTGTTTTTGTAGTCCATGTAGTGATTGTACTGATATGTTGCAGGGAATCTCAAAGAGCACCCTGTGTGTGTGTGTGTGTGTGTGTGTGTGCGCGTGCGCGTGTGTGTGCGTGCGTGTGCGTGCGTGTGTGTGCGTGTATGTGCGTGCGTGTGCGTGCGTGTGCGTGTGTGAGAATGTAAATGGTATTCTGTCAAACAGGGAAATTCAGACTGAAGAGAATTGTATTAGAAATGTTTCATCAGACCTGCGCCTTTTTATTTTCTAATTTTAAATTTACTAACCTTAGTGGTCTGTCAGAGCTGTTTGTTTCTTTTCGCGGGATGAACCTGCACCTTGTTAAATATTTTCCATGTTTTGAAAGAAATAATAATACTGTTTTTTCCCGTTATGAGTTGCGTTGAGCTCGACGTTGTGTCTGTCCGGGTGGGTTTACGCCGGAGTGAATGAGCGCCTTCCTCTGTTTTTCTGAATGCTATGAGATTCTTGAGAAGCCTGGAACATTAGTTGGTTTACGTGTCGGCTGTGGTCGCCATTGTTCTTTTTTTTTTTTTTTCTTCTTTTTTTTTCTGTCCGTCTGGGGAGCCGTTGCCTCCTCTCTCTCTTGCCTTCCTCTCGTTTAAGGTTGATTCATGGTTTGAGTGCAGTATTGGAAAGTATTTAATACAAACAGAGGAGGCCAAGGAAACGGAAATTACATTTTGTTTTTATTCTGGCTTTTGATTTTTCTTTTTGTCTTAGCCTTTTGGTGGGGCCACGGTACCTCTCTCTGCCTCCTCTTCCTCCTCCTTTGATTTCTGTGTGTGTCCTTCATCATCATTATCATCATACAAGATCAAATGGTTGGTCCCGTCAGCCATGGTGTTTTAATTTTTAATTTCTGAATCTGGCATTATAAGACTTTGAGAACAACTTCGACTTAAAGTTTAAAAAAAAGTACTGTATGTTTTTCATTATTTCACATTTGTTTATATATATATATTTTTTATTAATATTCCTTGAATTGATATGAATATCTATATTCTTGGAGGGAGAGACCAGGGCCTTGGGGCAGGTTTGGGATAAAGATGGCTGTATTTTTTTGTACTCAGCTTTCACAATGTAGAATTTTATCTAAGGCCAAAAATCAGAGAAGAAGAAGGCAGTCTCTACACAAAGATTTCTGTGGTGGTGTAAGAGGTGAAGAACTATAACACGAACACTGTTCATATTTGCCAAGAACTACAAGTGCTCAAGGACTTTGACTTGTTAATTGGTGCTGACACATCATCAGATGTGTTTAATAAAAAAAAAAAAACTAAAAAAAAAACAGACACTCCAGCTGCAGGACAAGGACCTCACATACTGTTCAGTGCTGACAGTAGAGTTAACATGTATGATGATGATAATACAAGTGTACGTTCAAAGCCAAAGAATAATTCCAGCCCAGCAGCACTGGTATAGCAGTTAGTATTAGTGAGGGCGACTGTCTGGTAGTGCATTTTGTCCTGTGTGTTTATAAATTAGACTCATAGTAACAGTAACGGACCAATCAGGACGCAGTGAGGAGTACCGCAAAGTGATAGTGAGAGAGCTGCACTTGGAAAAAAAACGTCACAATCTCGATCAATTCTTGGTTTTAAAAATAAAATTTAAAAAATCCATCCCATATCCAGCGAGCAGTCGGGGGTGAAAGGAGAGGAAGACCTCCTGTATAAGCACAAACGAAACGCCCTCTGCATTTTAACTGCTGGTTTCAGTGGAAAAAGTCAGTTTAGGCACCAGTTTACCCACCGGCCATCCTACCCTCCCCACCCCTCTTTTCAGTTCCAGTGAATAAACCCATCAGACCCTGGTGTCTCTTGCTCTCTGCATGCTTGCTGTGTTAGTTCCTGTGTTCAGTCCCTGGGAACTGGTGCCCCCCCCCTTCCCACCCCCGCCCCTTAACCCTATCCTCCCATCCCCCTCCCTCCCTCCCTCCCTCCTCACAGCACTGTTCCCTCCTATAGCTTTTTCAAATTGTACTGTAGTTTATGTGAATGATGTTGAGAAAAAAAAAAAAAACCTTTTAAAAAGAAAAAAACTTTGTGGCGGCGTACAGTACGTGTACATTCATGCTAAGATTATCTGTATGTATGTAGCATTCAATTACACAGCACTAACAAATAAAACTTTTTTTCATTTATAAACTTACACGAGTTGTGGGATTTTTCAAGCAGGGATTTTAGCTGAAAAGTTCTTTCTCTTATGCAGAAGATTTTGTTTTTGACATTGTTGGTGTGTTTGATTTGTAACATGTTTCGTCCTCGTGTGTAAATTCAGCAGAGTATGATGCCATTTAAAGACTTTTATTCTTGTACAGGGAGGCTTGACGTGTAGCAGTAGTACTGACATGAAATAAGATTTAGAGACAGATGGCTGCAGAAATACATCAAGTGCCTCTGACAAGCCCCAGGAAACATTTTAAGACTTCCCAAATAATAAGAATAAGAATTTTCCAGAAAGAAATTATGATTAAACAGTCAAACAACATGTGTTTATGAGAAATATGGGTTGGATTTGTTTTTGATAGCAGGACTGGACCTCATACTGCAGCACACAAAGAACAGGGTCAGGGCCAGGAGGTGTTTTTAGCCACCTTGTCAGCAAGTGTTCACCCAACTGTGTCCTAGAAAGACACAGATTCACACCATCAGCAGCCGAGTTCACCTCTTACCCTCCAGGGGGGCAAGGTAAGAGAATTTACCAACGTGGGGCAACAAAGTGTCCTGAGTAATATTTTAGCTGTAGTTCGTGTCACTGCAATGTGGCTGTGCATAATGAAAAACATGCAGCTTTATATTGACGATTTATATGAATAAGTATTTACACATGTTGAAATTTGCCCCATTTACCAGCAAAGACTGCCTGAGCACAAACTGTGAGTTCTGTCACACATCATTTAGTTCCACTTGAAGCCAAAGCCAAGATATAAAAAACATCGGGGACAAGAGTCCTGCATGAATTAATAATTGTTGGATAAGAACTGCTTTTTTTTCTTTCTTTTTTTTTTTTGACCGACCAGCAGTCTGTTCTAGCTGATCTTTCCCAGACACATTTATAAGATTTTACTTTTATGTGTTTGCAAGATGTGTGTATGGAATTAAAGGGAGCTGCCACTTTGAAAAAAAGTGATTTTATAACATATAGCATATTACACACTGTTCATTTCATGCTATTAATCAAATCTGGCATCTGAGACTCAAAAAAACAAACGAACAACAACAAAAAATGATATATATGGCAGGAGGTGATATAGCAGAGCTAAATTTAAGTTCATGTTGATGGTCATTAATCTTTCCGCAGCTGGTTTCCACCAAAATGAACTATTACACATTCTAACAGGCTTTTAAATCAGTGTCCTCATTGATCTCCTCCTGCTCTGGTTCTACTACAGATGGTTCATACAGTCACAATCTGCCTGTCAGTCTGAACAGCTTTCAAGTGCCAGTTGAAGGGAAGGAGAGATATTCATTGGCCTGTAGTCCTGCCCAGATTTTCGAGACAAAACACTTATTTTCATGAATGTTTAATTGTTTGATTAATGTTTAATCCACTATTAATGCTCAGAAAATGTCATAAAACAGTGAAACGAAGCCCAACAAATTGTATTTTATGTCCAAAGGGCCATGTCTTTAAAATGTTTGTTTTGTCTGACCAACAGTGCATAACCCAAAGGTATGGTTTTAATTATTATTATTATTATTATTATTATTATTATTATTACTGATTTAATTGTCTGTTCTATTTCAACTTTAATACTTTACTTTCAATCCAACATTGACAAAAAGACTTAAAAGTGCCACTGATTAAATTCTAACAGCAACTGAGCAAATCTCAACAGGTCCGTCTCCATGACACCTGAGCAAATTGCTGCTGACGACCATGTTATATGGTTGAAAGCAGTGGGAACATGTAGTAAGAGACGCTTGAGTTTTGATTATTTTCACAAAAAAAACATGTTTTCTCAGCTGCCAGAGCAAAACATATAATAATTCAGAGGTTTTATCAATTAAGGATAAAATGGTCTAAAAGCCCTGAGACTTTTGTCCGTCTATCTCATCCTCATCGCTGGGGGGCGCTGTCTCCCGGCTGCTCAGCCGTCACACTCCTCATCTTCACCCCGGCAGAGAGCGGCTTTCACATCCGGGCGGCTCTCTCGCTCCTCTTCAATCGCAATCCGCTTCCCTTCCCTGCGCTCTCGACCGGGGAGGTCCGCGGCTGCAGAAGAAACCCCCGAATCCCGGGCCCCTTCGTCGGCGTCTGGTACCGCCCCCCCGCCCCCCCCACCCCGAGGCGCTGCTCTCCCGCACAGAACGGTCGCACATGACGCGGGCTCCGCCGATGGTGGTGCACGGCGCCGAGCGCTCCCCGTCGGTGCGACATCTCCGCGCTGAAGTAGCATCGCTGGCTAACGTTAGCTAACAACATCGATCTCTCTGCTACTCCACCCCCCTCTCCCTCCGGTCGACCCCCGCTACCGATCCGTCACATCAACAGTTGATTGATAGCTAACACTGGACCACCGAGGGCATCCCCCCCCTCCCCGACCGTCCACCGCCTAGCGCAGGAAGCCCACCCTTTTTCTGCCCAGATTTAGGGCCCGCAAAAGGGAGTAGCCTCGGAGTTTCAACCCGTGATATTTAGATCACCAACCCCCTTTCCTCCTCCTCCTCTGTGGCCTTTTTAGGGGTCCGTTTTTATTCTCTACCTCAACACCCCGATGCCTCCCCGTCCCCGTGTATAACCTCAGCTGCACTATCACCTCGGCTCTGATCAGCCCCCCTCCGGGCTCCACCGACACCGGCGTTGCTGCTTTTGACAATCCGACCAAGGAGCGGTGCTCGGCGTGCACTGGCTGCGGCGAACCCCGGTGGGCATACCCGGTTCTCTCCATCCCTACCTGCCTTTTTTTTTTTTTTTTTTTTTTTTTTGCTCAGTCTGGCTGCAGAGGGAAGCTAAGTGGCTGGCCTGTTCCACTTTCACACCCACACAGTCAGCAAATCCAGTTACGGATCTAACCTACCACCCCCCCCCAACCCCGAACCCCCTCCAGCTTTGTCCGTGATCCCCCACCGCAGCAGATCTCCGTGACACACGCCCCGCAGCGCCCGAGCCACGGGTCTCGCCATGCCGGGTCCAGTGGCCGGTAGCAAGTCCCGTGTGTACGCAGACGTCAACACGCTGAAGAGCCGGGAGTACTGGGACTACGAGGCCCACGTACCCAACTGGAAGTGAGGACATTTCTGTTTACTGCAGTTTGCTCTAATCACATGCATGTGATTCCTGACCACAGCTGATAACTGGTCTCTGTGTGTTTTTATGGAAGAGAGGGAGAGAGAGAGAGAGAGTTTGGTAGATGTCTGTCCACTTATACATATAGTTGTGAGGGTGTGAAGACACTATAATAGTACAGTCTCCCAGTCTCTCAGCCCACCGCCCTGCTGTTCTGCACACCTTTCCTCCTCTTTACTTCCATCCCCGTCCTCATCTTCACTCTGTTGACTGGAATAACCTCGTGCCTTGAAATCAGAGCCAGAAATCCCTTCACTCCCCGAGGCACAGCTTCATCTCAGTAACAAGGACACTTAGCAACAGCCTGCACACTGACCTGATCACACGCTGATGCTGAAAATATTTTTCTCTCTTTCTCAACGCAGCCACTCATGCTCTGCCTTGTTTCACTGTCTGTCCCTATAGCAACCAGGAGGACTACCAGCTGGTTCGTAAGCTGGGCAGAGGGAAATACAGCGAAGTGTTCGAGGCCATCAACATCACCAACAATGAGAAGGTGGTTGTCAAGATCTTGAAGGTGAGCCCTGAGTAAAATGCTGAATGTCTGGGCTGAATGCGTGGTTTGGAGTTGTCCACTGGGAACGGAGTACATGTGGTGATATGTGATATTTTCATGTGTGTGATATAAAGAATATAAAGAGTCGTGAATTGTTTAAATTCCTGAAAACTGAGTCTGGATGAAAGAGTTTGTCTCAAAAGCTTCTCAGGAGTCTGTCTGTGGCCACTGATTGATTTACAGTTACTTAACTTTATACATCATGCAGAGACAGGCGGAGGAGATCAGTTCAAACTGCTGGTGTGGGACTTTCACACACGATCGCACTCAATCTGAATTGTTAATATTTTCCATGATTTACATGATTAATAATTTTAGTGAAAAAGGAACAAAAACAAAATCCCTTCACATGTAAATTGACTGTAATATAGTTTCATTTCTTAAATTGGCTGTATTGGTGTGTACAAATAGTAAATCAAAGAATTAATCGATCTATTGACATAAAAGAAATAGTCAACTATTTAGATTTTTTTTAAGCAAAGATGCCAAAGTTTCCAGCCCCTCAGTTATGAGGATACCTTACTTTTCTTTGTCTTATTTGATGATAAACTTAATATCTTTGGTCTGTTGGTCGGACAAAACATTTTGTAGATATCAGGAAATCGTGATGGGCATTTTTCTGTATTCTGACATTATTTTTTTTTATCATCAATGAATCTGCCAATGATATTTTCAAGTAACTGATTAACTGTTTGGTCTGTAAATCTAAAATCTAAAAAAAAACAAAAAACAAGCAGCAAATTCTCACATTTTAAAACCTGGACAAATCGAATGTTTGACATTTCTGCTTGAGAAGTGTCCGGGAAGATCGATCGATTATCAGAGTAGCTGCTGATTCATCTTCTGTTGATCGGCTAATTGTTGCAGCTCTAGATTCATCCTTAACGGCAATAATTGTTCATGCGAGCAAACACCTGCTGCTGGATTCCCAGTGGAAGAATAACAAAAAAAAGAGTTGATGCCAGCTGTCCCCACACCGCTTTGTTTTCTCCTTGTGGTTCAAACATTATTGAATGAGGATGTGCAGTTACGTTATCAGCTGGATTTAGTGTCTCGATTGTGCTGTGGAGGACAAATAAATAAGTAAATGTATTTACTATTACGTAAGTAAATGCTTAAAAAAATAATATTTTAATTGATAAATGAGAAAAAACAAAAAAATTAAAGCTGAAATGAATATGCAATTGATTAAATGAATAAATAAATATTGGTAATGAATCAGTAAATACAGAAATATCTTTCATTTAATTCTACAATGATAATAATAATAATAACAAAAATAATATACATTTATTCATTTCTGTATTTCTACATTTAATTTTATATTTATTTCTTTTAAATTATTATTATTGGTAAATGTATTTATTACTTTGTCTTTATGCTAATGAGGTGGGCGGTACTAGCCTCACGCTAAAGCAGGAGTGTGATTGATTGGCTCTCTTACTTTGATACTTAATTTGACTGGTACACCTGCTTCCTGCCTGTTCTGCTCGTATAGTATTATTTATTCATTTATTTCAGACTGCATTTAAGTATTTATTGATCTGTTTATTGATTAATAAGTCACTCATTGTCTTCCACAACAGACAGGCAGTAAAGCCTTCTGTCCAAACAGAACTTGTATAACACAAAGTTTTTAATAATCCTTGTTGAATTATGCAGAGAAATCAGTAAATTAAACACAGTTATTCCCTTGTTGTTCTGCCACAGTCTGGTGCTACAGTAGTTAAAATGCCCCCTAACCAGTTATACAGGCCTCCTCATGACTTCCTGCTGCACCAGCGTCTGCTCAGCTGTGACGACGGAGATTATAACCACTTAATGAAAAATAAGATGGACGTTGTTTGCAGCTGGTCTCATGCTGTTGCAGGTTGTCTGCCGGTCATTTAAATGTAAGCGTCAACCTCTCAGCTGCACTAAATGTCGTTGAAGTGAGATTGACAGCCCGACGCTGAGGAATGCAGAAGCAAGAATCAGCAGGTTCGAGATGAGGAGTCACAAATAGCACACGGGCAAACTTCTCTGCTTTTACATCTTTTTCTTTTTTTTTTTTTCCATGTCTTAAAACCAGAAGACTTCTCTGTTAAATCCCTCGTCTTTGTTTGTCTTGTTTGCTCGGGTCACCTGTTGAATCAGCCGGTCAAGAAGAAGAAGATCAAGCGAGAGATCAAGATCCTGGAGAACCTGCGAGGAGGGACCAACATCATCCGACTGGTGGACACAGTCAAAGACCCGGTGGTAGGCGCTCTAATGACTCTTTTGTCTTTTTTAATACAATGGGGGAGAAAAATGAAATGTGGGATTGAAACACACCCAAAGTCAAGAGTTCATGTAGAAAGTGCCGCATTTGCTCACGCTGCCAGTTTCACATAAGGATATACAGCAACTACACATCACTTCTTAAAGGTGCCTTGTGGCGTTTTGCTGTAAACAAACACATTTCTGTTTACATTCAGCATCTCTTACCAATGCTGAATGTGCTGAATGCATTTCCTTCCTCCCATAAAACATTTGCACAGTAGATTTCTCTCTCTCTCTCTCTCTCTCTCTCTCTCGTTGGCACATTTGCTGCGTTTCTCGGTGTGTTCCCGCCTCTGGCTGTGGATCAGTGCAACAGCCTGAAACCTGCTCACACACACAGATCGCTCTGTAGTGCTACTACTGTTCAAAAGCTCCACAAGGAGAAGCTGCGAGTCAGTGTTTATGTCGTGGCATTAGCTCACAGAAGAGAACAGAAGAAGAAGAACAGAATTATAGGTTCATAATGTCTTAAAAGTCAGGAGCCCACATGAACATCGAAGCGGGTTTTTTATACTGTAATCATTCCTCCTGTTCATTCCAGGTATTAAACACAATGTCTTCCTAATGCGAATTCAATGGAAGTGATGGGGGCAAACCAAGAGGGTATCTTCTTAACTTACTGTTCTTCATATGCATCGGCCAAAGACTTGGGGCTGTATTTTTACACAGAGCGAGGTCTGTGGGTTTTTTTCCTTCATCGCTTACATTGACAGCGCACTGAGAGTGAACAGGCGGAAGAATTACATCCAGCAAAACCTGCGTCAGTCTTCAGCCGGGCACCGAACTGTTGCTTGAAAAATAGTGAACCTGTCCTTCAATATCGGCTCAATCCATTGTAGTGGGTCGCTGTCTCCCTAAAAAAATCACTGTGACTGTTCTTGTATTAAATACGTTTTTTTTTCATTTACTCTCATCAATCCCAAAAACTGACTCTTCTTGCAGCGTGCAGTCGAATGGCCACCTTATGGATATTAAAGTGAAAGTAAGCAACTGTCAATAGTGTAATGGGTTTTTTAAATAAAAATCATGGCTTTTAGGAGTGATCACATGTGTTGCAAATGATATAATCACTTTTAGGAAGCAATGATTGTTGATTATGGGCTGGATGTGATGATTCCTTCTATGACAAGAGGGTGAAAGCTGTCGGCATGTGGGAGAAAGAAATGTAATTTTAATTTTGCTGTTGTGATTGTTTTTTCTTTAAAAGTTTCTTCTTTCATTACTGCTGGGAATTTCTGGAATATCTGAATTTGCAAAAGTGTATAATCCAAGAAGTGTGAGTCCAAAAATCTGATCAATTGTCTGGAGAGTTGTGAGAATATCAGGGGCTTTTACAGCTGTGTTTTCAGTCGTAAATCTGTGTTGGAAACCGGACTGAATGGGCCCCTTTCATAACTTTTTCTGAGCTGGAAAACATCAACAAACCAGGAAGGAAGAATATTTTTAGGCCATGGAAGCACGCTGACTTAGCCAGGAGGTCTTTCAGTGCAGTGGTGGGAACCTGCAGGATCTTTTTGTTTCCTGTAAACTGCAGAAAACTGTGATTATATTCACAGTTTTTTTTGGCGAGCTTGGTTGGAATAAAGCAACAGCGACTGCGTGCAGACAGTTTTACTATATTTTTTTTTATTACCACTTCACTTCCAGCAAGGTAACGGTTAAGATCTGTGATTAATCAGCTGACTGAATCAATAATGAACCAAATCTTTTCACTGTTGTTGATTTTTTTTTATTTTTTCTTTTGCTTCCTGTCTTGACTTTGTGACACTCTGCGCCCCTCTCTGTCTCACTGTGGTGGCTGCACAGTCCAGAACCCCGGCGCTCGTCTTTGAATGCATCAATAACACAGACTTCAAGGTACAATCATCACCTCTCCTCTGCACGCTCCTGTCCGTCTCCTGTTAGATGTTTGAGGCCACATTGAACGCTCTCTGCTTTCGCTACGTCTTTGTCACGTTATACTGACGTTTTTATCATTAATGGTTTCAATATGGTTCAAATCCTCACACACGTTTGTGTTTCCCTGCAGGAGTTGTACCAGAAGTTGACAGACTATGATATCCGTTTCTATATGTATGAACTACTGAAGGTGAGACTTGTTTACATCACAAACCATTAACACGTGACCTTTTTTTTGTTTTAATAAGCAGAATTAATAATATTTAAAAAATATTAGTGTCACTCTCCAGGAAATACACGACACCACGATTCGTTGTTACTGATGGATTTACTCATCTTCTCTATTTCGAACTGCTCCATCTCCACCACCCTCGAACGAATTACACACATAATATTGTACAAAATAATCACACACACACTCATATTACAACAAACTACAGAAACGTAAACACAAACATACACGACGACAAAGTAAATAAACAAACCTCGCTGGCTGTACGTGACCAAGAGGGAAAGAATGGACCAAAAATAAATTTTAAAAACAGGCAGTGCTTCACCTTTTTAACTTGTAACATGTTACAGCTTAAAGTGTCCCCCGTGCAACACAGGCACAAACTTAGGTTCCTACGTCCTGCATAAAGCCAAATCAAGTAAAAGAAAATATGTCATGTGATCATATATCATAGAATAATGAATCACATCAGTGATGTCTGCAAACAAAACATATCAAATGACACATAAATATATTTTTATGGCAGTTCAAATTAGAAATTGTGAGTGTATTATTGTGTAATGAGCAGCCAGTTTATTTTCTTGGCAAGGTTCCCGGGAATTCAAAAGACTGTGTGCACATACGTTTATCTTTGTCTTTTCTGACATTACGTGTGTGTGTGTGTGTGTGTGTGTGTGTGTGTGTGTGTGTGTGTGTGTGTGTGTGTCAGGCTCTGGACTACTGTCACAGTATGGGAATCATGCACCGTGACGTCAAACCCCACAATGTGATGATCGACCACCAGTTGAGAAAGGTAGGTGGTGCCCTATATAGTCTATTTTTCTCTCCACACACCCACACACCCTCTGAATATTATCTCTCACCCTGCTATTTCAGCTCGTCTGTTCTTCTCTCACTGTTTATTTTCTCTCTGGCTTTCTCCTTTCTTTTATCCCTCCCCCCCCTTTTTTTTTTTTTTCAAATTCCTTATTCCCCCCTTTTGAAATGGAGCTAGATTATTCTTAGCTTGTAATGCAGTTACTGAGGCTTTTATACACATGGATTCACTGTAACGTGTGTGAGTACATCAGGAGCGAGATTCTTAAAATAACAGCAGATGTAATTTCAGTCTAAATAAACGCGTGTCTTGCTGCTCTGCCGGTGATTCAGTCTGCAGGTCAGGACAGCTCTTACTGTCACTGCCCTGAACGTCTTATAAAGACTGGCAGTAACGCAGCGAAGAAGAGCGCCACCTGCACAAACCTCGGGGTACATCCCACTTCCCTCCTTCCTCCTCGGGTTCAACCAGCTCAGTAGCGCTCCTTATTCATTTATTATTCACCATAAGTACCGGATTAGTGTTCACTGTTCTGCAGTAAAACACAGATTGCAGCAATAAAACAAAAGAACTTTAGAAAGACTTTTGTTTCCATGATCTGGAATTTAACCTGTATTTAACCTGACTGTCAGTCAGGGAGAGCAGCAGAGTCTCTGTTGTTATTGTTATTAGATAAGGTGAGACTTTATTGATCCCCACAGGGAAATTCATGAGCTACATTACACTGAGATGATTCGCCTCAAACTTTCAGCCACAAAATTTTCTGCAAATTACAAAACTTTCTAATTATAACCTGCGTTATATAATAATGGATTTACAAACTGAATATTTATAATTGCAGATGCAAATAATCTTTTTTTTTATTTTTTTTTTAAATGTGTCGTGAGTGGAAAAGTCTCTTGTGCTTTCAGGGTCTGAGCGGTAAAGTGTGTTTATATACACAGTAGAAGTAAAGACTACATTTCTGATGAAGTTGGGGATGTTTGTCAAAGAGTTAATCCTAAGAAGAAACATCCAGTGATTAATGATTTTTGGACGTATGTGTGCATCAGAAAACTCCAGCGCCAACAAACAGCTGCTCGCCGGAGAGCAAACGTCTCATTTCGCTACCGATGTGTTTTCTCGACTCCTCTCTCTTGGCACATCTCTTCCTTGCATCTCTCTCTCACGCTCTTCAGTGGGAGGGACTGAGGCCTGAGGAAAGGACTCGAGTGAAGGAAATGTGAGCGTAATGAAGGGAACTGAGATGCACCCGAAGTTAAAGTCAACGAAGAAAACATGGCACTTGATTTTTGTTGTTTATCTGTTGCAGTTTTAAAGCTACGCTACCTGTTCCCCAACACAATGTTAGTTCAGAAATAGACTTCCAGCCTTGTCCAGCAGGGGGCAGCAGGCTAATGTGAGTGTGAGTTGGAGATGCAGCTGATGTTGTTTTAGTGACACTTTGTAAATACTGTGTGGTGAGGCTGAAGGAGGAGCTTCTGTGTGTCTCCTGCAGCTACGTCTAATAGACTGGGGTTTGGCAGAGTTCTACCACCCGTCCCAGGAGTACAACGTCAGAGTGGCCTCACGATACTTCAAAGGCCCCGAGCTCCTGGTCGACTACCAGGTAACACACACACACACACACACGACAGTTACACACACACACACGGATGTTGTTCCAGAAAGACTCTTTATCAACACACACAACACATCGAGCTTTCTGCAGTTGTAAAAGATTGATGAGAAAATCACACGTGGATGATTTGGATGTCTTTGTTCTCATCATCGGCAGTGCTGTTTGATGATTCTGTGTTTCAGATGTATGATTACAGTCTAGACATGTGGAGCCTGGGCTGTATGCTGGCGAGTATGATCTTTCAGAAAGAGCCGTTCTTCCACGGACAAGACAACTATGATCAGGTACCTTCTAGAGAGAGAGAGACACACACACACTCGCACTCACACACACTCTCACCGGGCTGTGTGTGGCATCCTGTGTCTCATGTAAGCATGTCTTAAACATGTAATGGAGACGAGCGGGATTTGTAACCTGGACCTTTTGTCGGACGTCGTCTGTAACGTGTCGCTCTCCAGTGTTAACGGTGACAACAGGAAGAGGGCGCCTTGGTCGCAGCACAGGCGGAACTGAAGCTTTAGGAGTTTCTCACAACGACAGACGGTGTCTGATCCGAAGAATCAGTTCAAACTTCAAACATATTGATCCTCTTCCATTAAAAGGGAGAAGGAAAACAAGTGTGGCTGGATCCTGGAGAAGAGAGGGCATCAAGTGAAACTAACAGTAGAGATATATTCATGTTTCAAAGTGCTGCTCAGGGTTTGAACCCACATCTGTTGTGTTTTCCAGTTGGTGCGAATTGCCAAGGTGCTGGGGACGGACGAGCTGTTCGGCTACCTGCGTAAATACCACATTGAACTGGACCCGCGCTTCAAAGACCTGCTGGGACAGTAAGTCCGCTGTGACTCTGCCTCAGGGATTCACATCACAGCCCAGGCACTGTGACGTACAGACTGGGGGAGCCAGGTTTTATCCTGCGTGACCTTAAAGTCGCAGGGATGACTAAACCAAAGGCTCATGCATATGATCTCTTCTGGTTGTAGCCTTCCACTCTTCCACTCATAAATCAGGAACAATAGTGTGGCACTCAGAAATATACTTCCACAAACACTTTGAATACAATGTTTTCAACATAGATCTCTGACAAAGAGAGAAACTGGTTATTTTCAGATATTAAATCTGGTAAGTGAAAGCTTTTTAATTAAAAAAAAAAAAAAGTGGGTGCAGGAACACAGGGAGTCTTAATTATCAATTTCTGATTTGCACAACACTAATTGACCTTTTTCCACTACAGGAATTTAACGTGTAGCCATTATCACAGGCTCTGTTTATGTTTCCGCCCCGTGTGGAGACGTGTGTCTGGAACTGAAATTTCTCTGCAGAAAGTATAAATCGGCTTTTACACGTTCTTTTAAGTTGTATAACAAACATGTTGTCCTGCCTGCCGTTATGAAACTGCATTACGGTGCAGTCACAAATATGAGTTCACCTTTTCCCCTGCGGCCTCTAGTTGTAGCTCCTCTTACGTAATCTGCTGAGGGGAAGTTTGGAGGTGAAATGTTTTTGCCACCAGTTTGAGACGTGTAGTCACAGACTCTGAAAAGTATCTATATATATACTATATTGCTATAATGGACGGAGTAAAACAACAAAACAGGACAGAGGACGTATCGAGACGAAGAGAGAGATCTATCATTACCGCAGCACTAACCGTAGATGCCCCTTCGTGCCCCGCGGGGTTAGTGTCAGACTATCAGTGTGCGCTGTGTCTCCCCGCAGGCAGAGCAGGAAGCGCTGGGAACAGTTTGTGCAGACGGAGAACCAGCACTTGGTGAGTCCTGAAGCTCTGGACCTGCTGGACAAGCTGCTACGCTACGACCACCAACAGAGACTGACGGCCACAGAGGCCATGGAGCACCCCTACTTTTGTAAGCAGAACACACACACACACACACACACACACTGCTACCACACACCGTTTGCACAGGTTACACACATACAGGAACGCACATGGGGAGGGTTTCTGGTTTTTAAAAGCAATACAAATCTTGATTTCAGTTCATCATGAATGTAAACACACAGGAAGGTATACAGCAGGTATACAGCAGGTATACAGCAGGTATACAGCAGGTATACAGCAGGTATACAGCAAAAGACTGAGCAGTGCACTGGTGGCTTAAATACACCACCATCATGCAGGATATTTGTCATGAGTGTAGGAGTGGACTCTGGCTTTGCTTTTTTTCCTTCTTTCTATTTATAATCTCTAAAGTTTTTCTGGGTTTTAAAATAGTGTTAAAATCCAAGTAGCATTAAAGGTCCCAATATTGTATAAAGTGAGATTTCCATGTGTTTTCTGATTATAAAGCAGGATTAGGTTCTATAGTAATACTGTGAAAGTGTCAAAGAGCTCAGTCCACAGAGAAATGCACACAGCCTGTATTCAGAGCCTGAGCCTTAAAAACAGCCGTCTTGACCTCTGTAACTTTGTGATGTCACAACAAGGCTCAGAGCCTCCTCTCTTCTGATTGGCTCACCGACCTGTTGTTACTAAACTACAGAGAGAAGCCTGAGAGAGGAGATGTAAAGCTACACTGAGATGGTTTTTGGTTCTTAAAACCACAAATATATCTTCCTGTGCATCAACACTTCAGATAAAACACAAGAAAAGTGTCAAATATGGAGCTTTTAATTAAGTTTTATAAGAGGTTTTTATATGTTGTTCCTCACGCCTCCTGCAGACCCAGTAGTAAAGGAGCAGTCTCTGTCGAACTCTGACAACAACATGGTTTCCAGTGGCAACACTACAGCGCGATGAAACACAGGTAACCATTTGAGAAATAACTCTCTGATCACTGTGTATTTTTATGTATTTTTTATTTATTTTTTATTTTTTTTGATTGAGATTGAAAAGGTCTACATGTAGAATCAGACAGTATGTCTCCTCTCTTCTTTCCTCCCGCTCACTCTCTCTCTTTCTGGTGTTCTTTTCGCAGAGGTGGAAGAAGAAGGATGTTCGTTACCTCAACTTTGTACCCGGTTGTGACAGTAACTTTGACAAGTGTACAGTGACAATGGATCAAAGTAACTCTGACCAGTTACACACTCACAGATATATGCATACGGATACACACACACACACACACACACACACACACACACACACACACACACACACACACACACACACACACACACTCACACACACACACATACACGTATATACATCAATGCAAGCACACCTTTTTACACACACATGCAGACATATACATACACCCTACTCCTCTGTATCAGTCTGTGATTGGCTTGTCCTGGTTCCCTGTCCAGCAGCCTGACCAATGAGCTTGAAGCTGCTCCCCCAACCCCCCCACCCCACCCCATCCCCCACCCTGTCGTCCCCTCAAATGGTCTCCTGTCCTCCCAGCTCAGTCTCATGTAGGTCAACAAGGACAAACTACTTTTAAAGACAATTCAATCTCTCCTCCTCTCTCTGTCGTCCCTCCATCCCTCCTTTCTATCATCCCCATTTTGTTTGCATCAGCATGGAGAATGATCAGGAGTGTGAGCCTGTACAAGTCCCTCCCTCCCCCGTCCCCCGTTCATCCATCCGTCTGTCTGACCTCCCCCCTCTCCTCCTCTTCCTCCTCCTCCCTCCTCCCCATCATGTACCCCAACAGACAGACAGACGTCTTAGCACTACTCCAGTTCTGAAAGTGGCATGGTGGACTCTCTCTAGATAGAATGATGATGATAATAATAATAATATTAATGAAAAATAAATGATTTTTATTTAGATGAACTTTGCCTGTGACTGGAGTGAATTTATTGCGTTAGTTTTGTCTTCGTTAAGTGTCAAAGTCTGTCTTAGTGCTTGTATTTATATAATATAATATATTTATACAACGGCATTATGTAATTATAGGCATTAGGAATTTAAAAAGGGAGAAGGTGTGGGTGTTTGAAAGGTGGAAATATGTTTGTGCTCCACATAGATTTTTATATAAGGAGAGAAAGAACTTTGAAACGTCAGCATGGGCCACTAAAACCCTCCAATGAAGATTATTTTTATTGAATTATAAAAAGCTAAGCAGCTACTACCGAGATACGTCCAGCACAGTGTAATTACAGATGCCATTAGAGCTGCAGTAACATCTTATATGATTATATATCAGTATTGATGTAAATGTCTATTTGAGGTTATTTAGAAACACTTAGTAGTTTCATAAATAATTCACCAGATAGTCACCAGAAATGTTTACAAAAAAACAACTTCCTATTAAAATATCAGCCAATTCATTGATATTAGACTTTTTTATCTGCCAAGTATTAATACACAGATCGGCCTCAAAACTAGTGATTAGCCAGAGAAAGGAGGACAAGAGAAATCAATATCCATATACAGGAAGAGAATAATCAACTTTTCCAAAGTTTGAACAAAAAGCAGTAATTTATAAATCATGTGACTGTTATTGATGCAGTGGAGAAGAATTTATACCCTGAGATAAACTGTTAAAATACTCCACTTCTAGCAAAAGGTTTATTGTGTTTGCTTTTTCTTACAGAAGCATAAACACGTACAGCATCAGCAGTTTATGGTCAAAGTGGAGATCATTTTAATTTCTTAATAGTTTCTAACAGTGCGCCGATCTTAATCTGGTAAGTAGGTAATAACTATTGCTTTCTGATAAATATAGTTGTAAAAAAATAATATTTTATGATTTTTATGTAGTAGTATATGAGAAAAATAAGTAAAACCTCAAAATTGCATCAGTGCAAAAAAAAAATCTGTAACCTGTTATAATTTGTGTGGTGTGTTTAAGTTAAATGGGTTTTAACGCTTGTACTGAAGCTCTCACCGGTCTGCACCTGTTTCTTTAAGTCTTCACAAAGTGGAAATTGACTGGACAGTATCTTTTAATCAAAGTCAATATCTGTATATATATGTATATGTATCTTTATATATATAATATCTGATATTCTGTCAAACTTTCATACAGATACAACTAAAAAATAAATGTTTTCCAGAGGAATAAAGATAGAAGAGTGACAGAGCATAAGAGCAATAACGTGACATTAATAAAGCAGCAAATACTGATATACAGTAGCATATTATGAAATTAATAATATACATGTAGAATCAAAATAAAAGAAACATACATATAAGAAAGGAAAAAAAAACATTTTTGAGATGAGATTGAAAAAGTTCAGTATATTTAGTTTTATTGTTGTATTTCATTCTCCGCTGAGTGAACTGTCTTCCTCTCCCAGCATCGCTCCCTCTCCCACGCACAGAGACGTAATCACTAAAAACTTTCCACTGATTCTATTTTAAACCCCCGACCTGTAACCTCTACCTCGTTCACATGTGCTGCAGCCCACACTGAAAACTAAACCCGACAACCAAAATGTTCCCGATGACGTGTGGACGCTGCACAGTGAGACAAGTCCACCCGCACTCTGCGTTATTATGACATGCGGTAATGAAGAGTGCTGCAGCACGAAAGCTGAGCCTGTTGTGTAAAGCTGGGACAACTAGTTCACAGCCGGTTGAAATGATGGACGATGTTGTGACACCCATAGGTGAGGAAGCTAACCCAACAGCACCAGACAGTGCAGTCAGATGAAGTTCGCAGAGAGCTGGTGAATGTAAGGAAGCTTTTAGCAGCTAAAGAGACAGATGTTTTTTGTCAGGAGTTGGTGGAGAACCAAACCAGAGCTAAAAGGAGAGTAAATTCGTCTTCATGTTGCCCTGTATTGGCTGGATGTATAAATAGGCAACAGGATGTAAAGGGTTGTTTCTAAAATCAGTTAATGCAGCTTTAAACCTTATGATGCTTCAGCTGCTGACGGCTCCGTGTGTTCACCAGCTAGTTGTTGACTCAGGGCTTATTCTTCTTGTTGCTGGAAACGATGCTGATGAGAGAGAGAGAGAATCAAAACATTCAAGTTGCAGCAGAAAAACCAAAAACAATGAGAAGAAAGTCCTTTGGACTATGGACTTGGTCCTATGTTTATAATAATCGTTATTATAAGATAAAAACAATGCTTTCTCTGTATGATAATAACTATATCATTGAAAAGCTGTGCCTCTTAAGAGAGAAATGCTCCATCAAAATGTAATAATACCCAAACATTTACAGGTCACATGTACGGCTGCCTGCCACTTGATCAAATCACATAAGAACTAATATTTCTATATAAAATCATTCTGCTACAACACACTGTCATATTACTGCCTGTTTGTTTGATCACATTGAACCTGTGCTGGGGAAGTTACGCTTAATTGCAATGTACAGGTCACTAAACATCAGCTGCTGTTGTTAATGTGTGTGTGTGTGTGTGTGTGTGTGTGTGTGTGTGTGTGTGTGTTGGTTGTGTTGTGTGTGTGTGTGTGGTGGTGGTGGGGGGTCTAATGTATCAGCTTCCTCCTTGTATAGAAACCAGAGCTTTGGCTTCCTGTTCAACCTGACTCCTCGCCTGCATTCAGGTACACCCTCTCTACACACACACACACACACACACGCACACAAACACGCACACGTGCACGTACAGAGAGACACATAAACCCAGGTGCACATGAACACTGGTACCTTCTTAGCATCTTGGCCTTGAAACGTTCAGCAGCAAAGTGTCAAATCGATGGTTGCTACTGTCCGGTCAGACCGCCCCTGGTTTCCGGTATCTCTCTCCACCACACACACACACACACACACACACACACACACACACACACGTGGTCAGATCTCTTTTTTGCGTGTACAAAAGTACAGGTGAGCTGTAGTTTCCACAGTATTTAGTCTGCAGATGAATAATTCTGGCCAGTAAACAAACAAACGTCTGGACCTTGTGGTCCTTTTCCAGTTAGTACTTTTCCATCTGACTGCCTCCTCCTTTGGTTCACATGATACCGACCCATCGAAAAGTTCTTATAGTGTCTCTCTGTTTCACAGTTTCAAGTTATACTTTACAGTTTCTTATGCAGATGAAGAGACTGTAAATATGCAGCACTCTAGTATAAGACTGTCTGGGAACATTTGCAGTCATTGATGCTGTGCTACCCTATTATAAGCTTTTTCCCACATGTACCTTTTGACATGTGATAGCAGGAAAAACACAGGTGCAACTAATTTAATTTATTGTGTCTCAGAGCCAGCCTGGATGAAACCGTGGATCTCCGCTTAACGGACTGCAGTCGTTATTGATATGATTACTTACACCTGGTCCGCTGTTCAATAGCTCTGTCGAACACGATCAAATACGTGTCATACTCCATCCAAATATTCAGTCCTATTCACGGCCAGGAGGAAAAGCAGAGGTGTAAATAATAAATTTAATGACAGCAGTATTTTATTTTGCTGCTTCAGTTTCAGGCTCCCACAGTGCACGCTGTCACACTGTCATGGCTCAGCGGGCGCAGGAATAGATTGGAGACATTGACACCTGTACTTTTTTTTTTTTTTTTTTTTTAACTGTGTCAAATCAAAATGATTGCTGTGGAAAAGGCCTACGTCAGCTTTAGGCTGCTTTAACACCGTGTTCAGGGTTTTATGCCTCGTTTCCTTTACTGTATGTCTCTCCTGCCGTCACCACAGCCACGTGTTGGTAGACTTTCAAAGCTGAAAGAAAGTGGATCAAATTCAAATTTTTACAACTATTGTAGAGTTTCATCTCACGTCTCATCTTCCCCGTCATAGCAGGCAGCTGTTTTCAAACTCCGTTAAACCCAGTATACGCTACCGGACTGACAAAGCTAGCAACTAGCTGGCGAAGAAGGTTCAAGATTTGGTAGCTAAAGAGCCACTGCCAGATATTTTTCACCAAAATAAAGTTAAAATGAAAGTTTTTTTACTGGAGTTACATTTATCAGGTGGTCAGAAAAAAAACTTTGCAATACCAGATAATAATATGTCAGAAAAGTGTCTTTGTTTTGGAGTTATTCTGCTCTGTTTTGGCCAACAATCAGTGAATACAGCCTCAGTATTGCTTGTTTCAGCTGAGCGCTGTGAGATTTGACACCACCAAATTTTTAATCATTCTATAAATTATGGTTTCTGAGATTTTCAAATTGTGATAGATATCAAGACACAAGTGTGCTCCTGTATTTGTGGTTATTATGTGGCACACTGAATCCTCTACAAGAAATCAGTATCAGTGTGTTTGGTCAAAAAACTCATTTTCTCAATGAGCTTTTTACTGCTAAGTAATTGTGTCCTACAGGAACACAGTATTTTCTGCCAAGGTTTGAACACGAGAGATTTCTGTCTCTCTGTATTCTGTTTTCTTCAGACTGATTTTGAAGTAGGTGTGGATTAGTTGGAAAAAGGTGTGGTCACGTTGGTCATTACCAATCAAACCTTTTGAATGTTAAAAACTTTTCCATTTAACCAAACAAAGACTGGATGTGCAGTCATATTTTAATTTGTTTTAATCACAGTTCTTTAAATTTTATTGCACATTTAAGAAACACATGTATGTTCACAAAGACAACGCTGCATGCAGAGTAGTTTAGAATTTAATTTTAGGTAATGAGTTAAATGTGACCACATCTGCCAGATATAATCTTAGGGTTTTTCAGTGGGTTATTTTTTGTGTTTGATGTTAGCTGATTATTGAAAACATATTTAATACAGTAACAGTAACATAAGAGCAGCACACTTTTTTTTCTTCAATGAGTAAACATTTATTTATGAAATTAATTAAAGTGATTAAACGTTGACTTGATAAACGATATCAAAACACAACAAA